AAACGCCTATATGAGTTTCTGGTCAGATTCAATCAGCTGCCCCTCCTTACTTAAACCAGCTTATCTGCTGCTTAGCTGGATATAGGATGACAGTTCGAAAAATCAGTTTAGATCGAATGCAGAGGAAATAAGGTTTATACACATTTAACAGTGCAGGTAAAAACCATTAAAAAATCATACACAGGCTAACTATTAAGGGTGTGAACTGTTTGTTTAAATCTGCAGTTGCAGGTTAAAAAATATATAAGTGTATATCATACATTGTTTCTGATACTTACTATGTAAAGCAGATCAAATCCTACCCTTTAAGAGCGTCGATGTGATAAAAAAATGAAGGTGCTAAGTTAACATTTCTAGATATCAACACATACTTACAACTGAATTGAAGCGAGTCTAGTTCTAGTAAGCGAAGTGCCTGACTGTGAAAATCTTGTAGTAAAGACCGTAATTAAAAAAATTGATTGGTCAGGTGATCATGGACAAAAATAAAACAAAATGAAATATATTAAACAATGATGACATCTATGGATATATATTATTTACACTCAAAGAAATTCGAAAGAAACTGAGTTTTCAATGGCTTTGAGTTAAAATCCTTAAAAAGCTTCTGGCTCCAATTTAAATTTAGACGTCTTCTTTAGGCCAAATAGATTATTTTCCATTATTTTTCATCAGCAAGATAAGAACTTGTCATTTTGTTGAATTTTTATTTGACAGCATCTTTTGAAGGCCATTATGACACTGAACAGTATTTACTCAGATTTTATTGGTCACGTCCCAGCGGTAAGGAGTTCTGTGAAATCAATATTGCATGAACCAGCGAACGGGTATTCTAAGATGAAGCGAATCCTGTGTTCTGATTGGTTACCCGACCAAGCAAGATAGACAAGATAAACTGATCCCTAAATGTTATGTCTACTTAAACTAGTCTAGGGGGAGCCTGGACCCCATATAAGCCCCAGGCTTCCAGTTCGGGCTTCCCCGTCACTATCTTTAGTTCTAATTTTTTTTTTTCTCAGACGGTGTCCTTCCAAACGATGTAGCCCATCGGGACGATTTAAATTTCAGAGCCTACTTGCTCGAACCCTGTTATTTGTAATCCTGGATTAACTGTAAAAAGAGCATATGTGTTGTCATGGTAACTAGCCCCTCCCTGATACCGACTGATACTTTCTGCAAAAGCTATTTTAAACCTATTCTGTGATATTTTGTTCGTCAAAGCTAAAAAAGACAATAGTTTGTTGTTTAAAAGTAATAATTTTTGAGCCAGAAATAAGTTGTTATTTGTTTATTCCTTAGGCACATTTTGGCAAGTGTTGGTTTCGGCATGACTTAATGAGTGGCACTGTCTCAACATTCTCAAGGAAAAATGCGAGGCTTTTGCACAAACAACCAGATAACCAGTAAAAACCTGAATTGGTAGCCATTCTAGTGACGTCACAGGTCCCTAGCAACAGCCCATGATAAGCTCTACAAGTGTACATTTTTGTAACGCACTATAACCTCCAGGGGCGGCGCGAGAGAGGTAGAGACTTGCAGCAGTACTATATTTTTCTGTGACTTTTAAATACGATAATGTTTTTTAAAAAGTGAGCTACTTTCAAACTTTGAACTTGGTTGTGAATCTTTTCTAACTTCGTCCTCACGATCTTCTCGTTTTTCAATATTCACCATTTTCACATAGACCATAATGCACCTTGTTTACCCCCCACCCCCCACAGAAGTAAAAAATTGCATAACCATCGTTTCCGATCTCTCCAAGGTATTACAGTTGTCTCAAGAAAAATCGAAGACAATGGTTATGCAAAATTTTAAAGGGGATAAACAAGACGCATTATGGTCTATGAGAAAATAGCAAATAGCGGACTGAAAAACGAGAGGAAGGATTTTTCCATCCCCAAGTTAACTGCGCTGCCATTATTCTTGACGCAGACAAGTTAAACCCGGAATCCTTGGCTTATAGACAATGACCCTAAAGACCATGTAATTATTAAGGCTGAAAAACTCAACAAATTTCCAAGCGTTTGTTTATGTTTATCGAAAAGTGTAAATAACTGTCAACTCTCCATAATATATAATATCAGCGGTAGATCCAGACAATACTCAAGCCTCTTCAACTTAGTCAACATAATACAGCGGTGTTAAACATTAATTCTCCGCATTTACAGATTGCTGACATAACGACAAGAGTCGACGTTAGTCTCCTAATTAAATAAGGAACTTAATTAAGCAGGGGCGATTTTGAGCGAACTGGACCGGACAACTCCTCGAAATGAGGCCTTTCCCTAATATGCCGTAACGCTACCATGTTTGTATTGCTTAGAGTTTTTACTCTTATATAGAGATGTTTACCCAAACATTTAGGCAAAACCACTAGTCAAGAATGCAACAATTTCACCTCCGGTCGCCACCCGTAACTAAAAAAAACCTTTAAAGCCTGTGGCAAGCGAACACTCACAGTACCCTCGATAGCGTCCGCTTAATGTAGCTAGGAGTCAGCTAAATAAAGGATTGTTTTACTATTCCTACAATTATCCTCTTGATAGTGATTTATCCATTGGATGGCACTATCCACTTTTTGAACAACTAGAGCCTAAAGAAAAAGGGAGACTGCTCGCAGTCTATAAATATGGAAAAGAACCTCGAAACGAAACGAAACCTCGTTACAGAGAACAAATTTTGCCTGTCTCTCGGCACTTCGTTATCTCGAGGTTCCATTGTAGTTATAATCTCACGGACGAAAATTGCCTATCAGAGATTTGCAAATAAGAAACAACACTTCTGCCCACTGTTTGCTTTCAATCGGCCGGTAATAGTGTAGTCTTCTTTTGGTGGCGTAAATAGTGCAAATAAATTTGTTCCACTTTTAAGTTCACTTCCTCCTTAATTGAATTAACGTCAAATACGGCGAGATCTCTTGCAATTAATATCGGAGCCTTAGAGTGCCTTCCGCAATCTCGAGCTGCCAGCCAATCAGACCTCGTAGATTCAAGGACCAACCAGCTCTCGAATAATTTTATATTTACTTTAGATCTCACGGCGAACCTCGGCAATAAGCATAGTTACAACTTCACGAAGACTAATCACATAGAAGAGACTGGTTGACATAAGTCCAGGTAAGATAGTATGCGAAAATCAGTTTCTGTATGATAAGTATGGGAGAAACTGTGATCTACTTGTATGTTTGATGATTTAAAAATAATAACCTTATAACTGAGGTGCGAATTTTTAGTTAAGGTCCACACAACTCAAATGTATTTAAGGATACATATTACATTTTGTATTTGATGATATAGCTTGTGCCTGAAATATAAATGCTCAGTTATTTACGTTCCTTTTAGCGCTCGTAGAATTGACATTTCTTGAGGAAGCGCTCAGAGAAAAAGATATGTATTTTTCTTTTTCGGTTGGTCTTTTCGCACTTTTCATTCTCCGCGAGTTTGATTTCGTGCGAATTTAATACTCGCAGCAATCAATCTGATGTGTCATGTTATCCACGCTTAAAAACAAAGTTCTAAGATACACAATAATCAGCAACTCCATGTATTTTTCTGTTTTATTTTTTTTTATAATGGAAATTTCTATTCACCACAGGGATTTTCGGTGTATAAGGTATTAGCAGCTTGAAATCTGAGTAAACATAAAATGCAAAAAGGCCAATCTTTTTGCCAGCTTTTTGGGTCCCTTTCTTCAGATTCAGCTCTGACTAAAAACGTTTCGCAAATTATTTTATCTTTATTGTACAGGATATGTAACGTGTGCTTCATAGTATGTACAACACAAACTGCGGAGAATCTTGGGTGGGGTTTCTACTGCCAAATTTTTTAAATTGAAGGTCATAAAATTCATTCTGCAAATACGCAAGTCATAACAAGTCTAACAACTGCGTTTGTTTGTAGATCAGTCTCGATTCTCTTTGCTTGAACAGTTTTCTGATGATTAGAATCGCTCACACAAGTCGACTTTTTTCGGCAACGAAATTCGCGACAACCAGTTCTGATGATCGACTGCACGTTCTAAAAATGGTTCTAGAACATTTTAAGTCTCTTTTGACCCTCGGGAGCCCAACTAATAGCATTACTGTAATTCTAAGCCTGAGCCAAACTTACATTCGCTACAAAACTGGGCACCGCACGTTTAAAGTCTTGCACAGTATTAACGATTTTTTTGGCATTTCACTGATCCACAATTTGCATAAGCTTTTGCTCGTACTGCGCATGGGAAAGGTTTGAATTTCATACTGGCACTCTAATATCCTTCATTCATTATCATTAAGTTCATATCACATACCACAAGTTTGTATACGTGGCCTTGTTTCTTCAAAGTTTCAAGCTTTATCAGGAGCCCAGAGGCTCCTGGCTATATCGACCTATATCCTGTAGCCTTGGGTCTCTAGTGTCCTTCTTCCTTCTTGTTGTCATGATGATGATGATGATGATTGTGATGGTGATTATTATTATTATGGGGAAAGGTGGAAATAGGTTTACGGTCACGCTGTAATGAAAATCTCAACGAATACCAACAGGGAAGAAACAACCCAAATAGTGCGGAGAAAGTGGCTATTTACAGCCGCAGCAGAACTGGGAAAGAGGCCCTTTGATGAAATGGGAGTCTCGTTACCAGAGGCTGCGTAACCCTAGTCAAGTCAAAGGGCAACGGAATGATGTCTTTGCGATGACTCTTTCTAAGACTTTGCTAATCACTGATTTACCGGGCACATTACTAACAGGCCATTTCCAAGTTCCAAAAACCCTCACTTTCAAAATGAGGCTAAGTGCACAACCTTTCTTGTGAAGATGAGTTTTATATACATAAGAATGAAAAATCATTTCGATATCAAAGGCAGATAGCAGAACCGCCATGATGATGATGATTATGATTATTATTAGGGGGAAAAAGGTGAAAATAGGTTTACGGTCACACTGTAATGAAAAATCATTTCCATATCAAAGACTGAGGACTTAACCTCGTTTTGATACAGAGGCTCGGGGAACTCGGAAATGACTAATTTCCTGCTTATTGTTATTAGAATGGCTTCCGTTCCCGCCATCCTTCTGTCAGTGCTCTTCTTCGTGCTGATTTTGATTGACGTGACCGGGAATATGTTGGTTTGCCTGATAGTTTATCGCAGGAAGCAGATGCGGAGGCCAATGAACTATCTCCTGGTGAACCTCGCTGTAGCTGACATTCTGATTGGCGTATTCATGTTGCCTAGACACGTGTTTCATCATACATTTGAACATCCCACAGGTAAGCTCAGAATAGGTGGATCACCTACCCCTCCCCTAACCCAACATTTTGCCCCTAGTGAGACACAAATGTTAAAGTTGAGTAAGGGGTGGGGTGGGTGGGAAGTTTCCCAGAAACCTAAATTGATCCGTAAAGGTCATCATTGGAGGGTGTTTTCTTCTCTTGTCGTGTGAGGTTCTTTTATTTTTGTGTCTCAGTTAACTATAAAACATGTTGAGGCTGGAGAAAGGGAAGACAGAAAGAGAGTGGAGAACGGTGAAAAAGCTCGGTCGGCAAGGGAGAGGTAGTATGATGATAATATACTGAGCTCCCCCTTCATTAAATAAGTGGCTAGCGAACTAAAATTTCCCTGCAGTTATCTTCATATGTCCAACACTAACGGAAGTCCTATACAGGCGACTCTCGATAACTCGAACCTCGCGCTAACTCGTAGAAATTTTTGTTTCCCTTCAGATCATTCTATATAATTCTACCCTCGATAACTCGAACCATGTTTTTAAGCGCTTGACAAGTCGAAAAAAAGCAGTATGAACGTCTGCGTGGGAGGCTAATCAGGGGGCAGTACTTCAGCTGAAACATACCGCATAAATGTGATCTAAAACCTCGGTAATCTCCTGTGTACCCGAAAAGCGAAAGCAGGCGAGACTTCAATGCTACCGGTATTTTTCCAATCCTCTGCTAAGTTCATTTATTTCCTAAAAACATATCATTTTTTTTCACATTAAAGGTACATCCGGGAACTATCTATGCAAGTTCATAACAGGTGGTGTGTTTATTTGGCTGAGTGCCGCTTCATCCGGAATATTACTCATAGCTATTGCTACTGCGCGGTATTTCGCGGTGGTCCATCCACTAAAGCGAAGACTCCGCTTGAAGAATAAACACGTCTTATGGATTATGGTCATATCTTGGGTCTTCGCTTGCTTATTAACAGTGCCAAGTATGTCCGCGATTGTTTACAGCCCAAGCAAAGATTTCTGTATCGAGGAGTGGGCGGAGTGGTACCCCAAGCGAGGTCACGTTGCCTTTGTATTCGCGGTGAATTGCTTGGTTCCTATCATATCCATGACACTTTTATATTCGAGAATCATTCATAAACTTTGGAACAACCACGAGCAGGTCACAAATTTGGTCCAATACGCAAGGCTGAAGGCTCGAAAGCGAGTCACATTCATGTTGATTGTCATAACACTTGTGCACACTTTGTGCTGGTCGCCGAATTATGTCCTGTATCTGCTGATTTTTTGCGTTCCCGGATTTTACTACGGTTCAACGGCTTATATCATCACTGTTTTGTTAGTTCTTCTCAACGCAGCCGCTGACCCGTTGCTTTACATGTGGTTCATGGAAGGGTTCAACAGGGCCATTCGAAGCGTACTCTGTTGTTGTCATGGTAACAGAGTAGTAGGCGTTCCCACTGTTAGAAAAATCAGTAAAACTCCTGTTGAGCTCGGTTTTTCTACCACTGTGGACCCAAACTAGCCTAATACCTAGGCCCGCCTCCTCCTAAGGCGCTTCGTTTGGCACTTTAGTCGCGAACAGTGGTGGTCCCAAGAAAGACAGGAGAAGAAGGGCGAGGGATGACCGGAAGGTTAATTCTGCTTTCTCTATTGCGGGCAAATTTACAAATTGTCCATTGCGGGCAAATTTACATCGAGAAAGAGAGCCGTCCAGGTACAAGGCAGTCCCTAGGCCTCGTTTTCCCATGCGTTGAATTGGTTCTTTTGGATCACGTGGTCCAAAAGGATCGCTTGGATACGTCATCGAAACGGCCTATGAAAACGCCGTACAGGAACACAAGGCAAGATCGAAAGCAAGACCCGGACATGGATAGTGACAAGATCGAGACAAGTAAAGAAACCTTCGACAGTCCTTCACAAAAGGTCGTCTGAGTCCATGTGACACGTCTCTGAAGACCGTAAAGGGAATATTTCTTGCTGTATCGCTAGTACTAGTAGTCCGCAAGACGTACAAGATAATTTTAAAAGATTTGCGGTGACCTTTCATTAATTCTAGTCTATTCTGTCTGATGTTACAACATTTTTGTAGTTTTGACGATTTACAAAATGATTCCAGCTTTTGATTCCATTTTTTTGGCATCGAACTCTAAATCAGCTGAGTGCGGAAGTTCAATTGTTTTCCGGCTATTTCAAATGACATTTTAGCCCTTAAAATTTAATAATTTTTAGGTCTAGTTCATTCTGTAATGGTAAGCATTTTAACTGGCAACATATCTTATAGTAAAAGTAAAGAAAATATTGAAAAAAAGTACTTACGTCTTTGTAAAAGTGGTCAACGTGAAAATTCAAGAGCTTATTATAAGTCAAAAATCAGCGAGTGGCTGCGAATGGCTGGAAAAATTCAAGTCACGTGTTCAACCCTGCATAACACGTAACTTGACCTGTAAATAGGATGGGTACACTCTATTGACATTTTGATTGGTTTAAACAGCACTGTTGCTAGATGCAAAGCACAATCACATTTTAAAACCTCTGATTTTCAAACTAACTTCTTTGTAACAATAAAAAAACAATTGTTTTGGACTGTTCTAAGCTCCACGTCTCTCTATTTTGAGAATTTCTCAACTTGAATCTGACGTTTGCCGTTAAATCTCTCTATTGTAAACTTTTCAGCGGCTTTTTCAGACATTCCAACCCCTTCGAAAGCAAAATAGGGAGACTCATTTTGGCTTTGAAGAAGTTTATAGGAGCGCCGAAGGTATGAGCCTCTAGGGGGGTCTGGGACATGTTTCCCTAGAAATTTGCAAATTTAGGTTCTCTCACGTGCATTTTGACATCATTTCTGAGTTGTTCTGTAAGACATTGTACGAGAGGAAAGTGTAACATGTAACGTTTTACCCTCAGATCGCAAAAAATACTAAAGATCATGGCCCAGTTGTTCAAAAGGTGGATAGCGCTATTCAGCGGATAAATCACTATCCAGTGGATAGCGCAATTGGTTTCCCTAATACTTATCCGTGGGATAGTGATTTATCCACCTTTTGAACAACAGGGGCCAGTCAATTTTTTCCCTTTTCAGAATTTCATGTTAAATCGGGAGAATCTGTTAAGAATCAGGGGAGTGGGAGACAACACAACAAATCGGGACGGTTGGAATGTCTGACTTTTCTGACATTGATGCATTCCCTGCATTGTAAAAATGGAAAATGAAAAAACAACAAGAAAACAACTATTTGAAATAAACCTTAATTTAACACTACCAGGCATTCCATCAACCTCGTCCCCAGGTATTTCGCCCCCGTTTTCTAAGGGAAAAGCCCTGGGGACGAGTATCCCGATCTATCCCGAATTAACACCACTGCAACACTCACGGAAAAATAAGCTCGTTTGTTAATCAGCCGCTATTCGGCTCCGCATTGGGTGGTGGGGGGAAGGAGAAAAAAAATCGGTGAGCGAAGCGAGACGAGAGGTAGTCGCGGCTCGCTTCGCTCGCCGATATTTTTCCTATTTGGTCTCGTTTTTTGCCTTTTTTCCCCACTGTGGAGCCTGGTCCTGGGCTAAAATCGAGCCAGCCTGCGAAAGCAGACTTATTTCCTGTCGTCGCTTCTCTCTTAGGGTGGAGAGAAGAAGCAACAGCCGGGAATACGTCTGCGTTCGCAGGCTAAAATCGAGCCCAAAAATCGTTCCACTAAAGATTTCACACCAAGTAGTACGTTACCAGTATTTAATTTCTAATTCAACTTTTACGAAATGAGATAACTTGGGTTACACAGACACACCAGCCGGGATGAAAGTATCCCAGCGTTATTGCTAATTTTCGCTTAAAGCGATGGAACTTACAGACTGTACTACCTGAGTTTTCAAGCAAAAACAGAGTGGTTATCTCGATTAAATAAAACATAGATACAAGAAGCGCCAGATGCACATGCATTAACAAATCTAACAGGCATCTCAGTACGGCAATTTGGTTGTAACCGGAAAAAAGATGAAGTAATTGGTCTGATGCACCATTCACGAAATTGTACCATTTGGAATTTTAAATCAAAATAGCCTGTTCCAGGCGTTCAGATGGTTGAGAGTGGCACGAAATGGTGAGCGCAGGAAAAATTGCGGAAGAACGGAGGACGAGGAGGGGAGGCTCCTTTGCCCTCACTCCCTTCCCCAACCCCTCCCAACCTCGTCCCCAGGGCGAGGTTGATCCCTTGTTGTGTTTGCCCGCTCACTTTTCTTCAAGCCGCCCCCACTATCTGTACTCAACGTCTGCAACAGGCTAGTATCGAAAAGTCCAGTTATTAAGGACACGAAGGTCTCTATTTCTTATGCTTTTAAAAACGCTTTTGAAGCGTTGAATTTTTATTGTATTTGGGGTTCTTAGCTGAAATATAAATAAAATAGTATGTTATTTTGACCTGTTTAAAATTTAAAAATGTTTTACCACAAAAAATAATTTTACGTATGTTTTAGCTTTGCCAGAGAAATAAAATTGATTTCATTGGCATCAAATTATACAACGAATAAAATTCTCCTCTAAATTTTAAATATCCACGGTAAAAACAGGCGCTGAAGAGTTATATCTGGCATCTGTTTGCCCATTCTTTTTCTGCAAGACAAAAGAAAAAAGAGAAACAATATAAGGAGAAAGTGGTCAGTTATAGCCTGCGTAGCAGGACCTAGGAAATAAATGGGCGCAAGAAAAAACGCGCGCGCGCGAGAACCGCGCGCCCGTTCTTTCTTGCGCCCATTTATTTCCTAGCGCCTGCTACGCAGGCTAGGTCAGTCATGGCATCATTTGCCATATCATGCCGGTAGATTTAGCAAAGATAAAGTCACCACACTGACGACTGCGCGCGCAGATCTAGAAACCGACTTGACCAATGGCAGAGCAGCAAATTCAGTATCGGAAGTCGCATTCAGCCCTTTCCGCGCCCTTTCGCTTCGTTGTTTCACGTTGCGTTGTGCTTGTGATAAACACTTACAGACAACAGACTGGATGAGTGAGCAACTAGTTTCATCGGAAATTGAAAGTTTACAGTGTTACCACTCCTGGGTTTTCTTTAATTTCCCACCCTCACCTTTTTTTGTTCGTGTATTCCGTTTATCAATGGGATAATATAACTCTACTATTGTGAATTGAAAGTATTTTCACAATGATTTCTGGTGTGATGTGAGATTCCTGTGTTATTTTGATGAAGTTCAGTTGTGTGCATAAACTGTTTGTTCTTTTACGAGAAGCGATAAGTCATAACAAACATACAAACCTCTGTATTGAGTTTTCTCATTTCCTCTTTAAGGCATTCCAGCAAATTAGGATTCTGTTGAGCACTGCCTCTACGCAGTTCCTTTTCGTTGATATATTCACCATCATCTTTCTTGTACTAAAAAATGAAGAAGAAAAATTGAAGCACATCTACTGCACCTCAAAATCTGTGACACTAAGGGCCTGTTTACATGGAGGTAGGGGACCCAGGTAAGTGAGGTAACCCACTCAGGTGGAGTAAAACGCCTGTCCATATAACCTATCATGTAAACGTGATCAAATTAAAATGAGAGATTATATGGACAGGCAGGTTGCCCCACCTAAGCGGGTTACCTCATTCATCAGGGTTCCCCCAACTTCACGTGAACAGGCCCTTAGTCAAGCAACAGAAAAAAAAATACCCAAACTCAATCCCTAAGTTTCTCTCCTTTTCGTCCCCAGGGCCCCTTTGCTCCAGGGGATGAGAAGAAGAGGAGGTGACGGGGAGAAGGCCTTTTCCCCCCAAAAAAAATCAGTATGTACCTTTTTTATTGCGCCAGTAGGTCGGTCACAATAGATGCGGATCAAGGCACCCCACTTTTCCAGGTGTGGATGAAGCTTCTACAAAAGAATACCAAACATCAATAATTTTAGTAAATAAAAGGTAAAAAGATGATGATGATAATGATGATAATGATGATGATGATGGTTGTAAAGAAGAGACCGCAAAGTTGAACGTGGCACCATAAAGTATACACAGCCAACCCTCTCCAAAGGTGACATTACACGCGACAATTCGAACCAATGATTTGTAGAGTAACACAGTGTTGCAATATTGTTGCGACATTGTTTCGAATGGTCACAACATTGTTCCAGCATGTCAACTCTGTGTTACACTAAAAATCGTCGTTGCAAATCGTCCTGTGTAACATCACCTTAAGACAGAAGCTGTTGGCACTGGTACTGTATGAGTCTGTCGTGGAGAGTAATGAGGTTTTGTAAGGATTAACTCTAGGCAGGGGGTTCATTAAGGGCCGGACACCGGGCTAATTGACCGGCTGTGAACACGACTTTGCCCGGCTGCTTTACATCTCAAAGAACTTCTTTTTAATACAGGGAACGATCAAAAACAGTTTTAAGTTACAATCGTGCCCATTTCTTGATGAGTCTTATCGAGTGTAAAACATACTTTGCGGTGTAATTTCCACTTTATTACACGCGGCATGAAATCCCCTCGTTCTTTGTGTGTTAAAAACAAGAATCGCCCCATAATACATTGCGAAAAGAACTGTGCTTCATAAACGACCACCTGAAATGTAGCAGTGTTGCGAGCATGTCAGCATGGCGGCCCAGAAAAGAACGCGTTCGATAGCGTATTATTTTTCGGCTTCAACCAAAGAGCCTCCAGTAGAGAAAAGACCAAGAGATGAGTAGACTTCTTTGTGATTTAACCTTTTACTTGCCTGTATATATTGAATGGCTTAATCATCATGTTCAACGAAGGGAAGCGTGATTTTTGTTCGTCTTATGGTTTACGCCAATGAATTAATTTTCGGTGCGTTCACGTTAAAACAGTGCTCCTCCCGTCTAGTCATTGAAATTTTAAAGATAAGTTGATTACGGCTCAGATGCTGACGGTGAGTTTAAGTAAAGATTATTATGAGCAGAGCTATTAAAAGAGAACCAAAAAGTCCAATTTGTGTGGTGGGTATTGGTATCAAATCATGATTAAATTGTCTAGAAAAGTTATCTTTTTTTGGTTGTTGAAAGTCATTGTCTGCAGCTTCAAAATGCAGGAAAACACATCCTTACGACTATAGAATTTCAAAATTTTCCGGGGGAGCATCCCCCCAGACCCCCCTAGAGGGCAAGGCCCTCCGGGCCTTGCCAATTCTTTGCCCGGGTGTCAAACTCAGTTGCCCTCCTGTTCAAAACCTTAATGAACCCCCTGTCTAGGTGTCTGTTTTTGAGAATGATCCATCTTATGAAAGGGTCAGGAACGAAAGCGCTTATAAAATGGTCAGGTCAACTTATAAAAGTTAGATGTGTATCTTTTGCAGGTAAAATTTGTTCTCAGGTTAAATCAGGATTTCCCTATGAATAAATGGGGTTAGGAAACAAAGAAAACTCTGAATCAAAACTAAAGGCGCTTTCCATTTGTCAGAACTGGCCGGCTTGACCATTGCCCGACCAGTCAGTTTGATAAAGAAATAGGTTTTTCCCAGAAGGTTTAGATGAAAAACTATCTCCTTTGTGCATAAAATTTAGCATTTGACCAATGCCGCTGGAAAGTTTTGATTTAAAGTAAAATTATAATCGCGACGGAAACAGTCTGACCGGTCAGTTCTGACAAATGGAAAGCACCCTAAGATGAATACTGGTATAATCTGCAAAGAGATTCTATCTACAACTACTCCACATAAAAGGAGAGTGGAATGTCAAAGAAAACAACGGTGTACCTTTAAAATTTGTTGTGCAGCCAACTGCTTTCCAAGTCGCTTGTTTTTACAAGGACCCTGAAAAGATAATTATGTCAACAACTCAGCTAACACATTAAGAAATAAGACAAAAAATAAAATGAAAACCTTGGACTTTTTTAGCCTGCAAAGCACCTGTATTTTGTGGTGCGAACAATTTGGAAGCTGAAACTGACAGAGTCAGAGTATTGGCGCAAGTAAAAAAAAATTCCAAGGGGAGAGGTTGATGGGTCAAAAAAGAGGAGGAGAAGGGGAGAGGAGAGGAAAAATTTTTCTCCAGACCCCTCCCCCTTGCCTGCGCCTCCTCCCTTAGTTTGTCAATTGCTTTCATGATGGAAGCCTCTGGGTTGCACTTTTGTTAAAAAAAAAGACTAAGACTGTTTTGCACAGATTTTCTTTTTGTGAGTGTTTGGTATGTCAAATTCCTAGTGCATGCATTCCTCTCAGAAAAGCCTTACATGACACTCCTCCATCCTAAAAACTGACAGAGGGGATATGACTGTCAAGACTTTGACTTTGACTGTAAAGCGCCTTGAACATAGGATAAGAGTGCTATAGAAATAAAGTTATTATTATTAGTTATTATTATATGGCCTATTAGAGAAAGAGTTTTATACCATTGCTTCGTGTTTGCCACAGGTTATTTTATACGAGAGACTTCTGTCTGGCGCACAGACGGTTGTGAAGTTGATAGAAGAGGGACATACACCTTGGTTTCTGCAATTAAAAGAGAGCAAATTCAGGGAACCTGTTGATGGCTAAGTTGTGTTCCAGACTATAGTTAAACAGTTGACTGCAGAGGAAGAGATGAACCGACAGACAGACGGACGGACCGACAGACAGGTGGATGGACGGAAAAACACGCAGCCAGGAGGGCAGATGGATGGATGGACGACAGACAGACCAACACATGGAAAGACAGGCAGGCAAGTGGGCTGACAGACAGATGGGCAGGCAGGCGGGCAGATGGATGGATGGACAGACGAGAGACACATGGATAGACAGGCAGGCAGGCAGACAGATAAACAGACAGGCAGACAGACAGACAAAGAGAGAGGCAGAAAGACAGACAGATAGGCAAGTAGGCAGGGAGACAAGCAGATTGTCAAAATCTGTGACAGCCAGCCAAGCAGTCAACAGTTAGAGGCACAATATCATTACTATTTTTTCGTAAGAAGCTGTCTGGTTGTAAATGTCCTTTGCAATATTTTATCATGTTAACATTCCTTATGTATTATATTCAATAAAGGGGTTTTTGAAAAGACTCTACACAAGAATGAGGACAAACAAAAAATCTTGACGATGCATATACAGCCAACTATGTGTCTGCCCAAAAAGTGTAAAGGACTGGTCATTTAAACGGAGTTTAGACAGTGTTAACAAAATGACCTAATTGTACATTTTGATCTTTCCCAACACATACATCTAAAGAACAGCTTCATGAAAGCATATTGCATAGACTAGAAAGGCACTTATCTTCATTAAATCACTAACTAAGGAAGAAATCAGGAGGTCCAAAGATTTCTTAAGCCATATGAGCTACAGCTGTAAGTTAGACATCGTTCAAGTAACCGACTCTAAGTGTTCTTATAAGGGGGATGTATGTCAAATAGAGGCATCTGTTAAGAGAAAGTTGATTGTAATTTCTTCATATTAAAATAAAGGATACACATCAATATATTCAAAAGGCCCTCACCTCTTTAAACATTCGTCAAGGATTTGTGATGGCCTAGGAAGTGTTGTCTTTGAACAGAACTCCGGGATCCGGGGATCACCGATGTCTATTTTGTCAAAAAACTGCACAGTGTACAAGCAAACAAATACATGTACATCAACTTAAGGGATTAATACGTAATAATATATAACTTGCATAAATATCATAGAAGGGTTTTAATTCAACCATCATGCACCAGACCGGTAGATGATATAGAGGCAACCAAGAAAGATGCCTTGAGCTAACATTAGAGAGTTTTAGCTTCACGTATACAGCAAATGGTAAACATCTGATTCAAGTTGAGAATTTCTCAAGATAGAAAATGGGCAAATAAAAACAGTTCAAAACAATTATTCTTATGGATAAGACATGCATGAAACTATTAATTTATGTGTAGAAATAATGAACAGTAAAGTTCTAAAATTAACGGGAAAACTTAGTCATGTGATAAAAATTCTTATTTGCCGTTTGAAGTATACATGAAGCTAAAACTCTCTAATATCATTTGAGGTTTCTTGTGTGCCTTACAAAAAAAATCTAAAATGGCTAATACATTGAGTAGTGATTTTTTCATTGCCCAGTTTTGTGAGGCCTTCACTTGATATTATTACAGTGGGTATAAATAGAAATGGTAAATAAAGATTCAAACATTATTGAATTTAACGAATTGAGACACCAGTTACTTAAGATAGTCAATCAAAGTAGGAAAAATCAAATTATCATAAAACGATAAGAAAACTACCTGAAAAGATTTTTTTACTGATGATTCTTACTGATGATTTTTTCCTACCTCTAGTTCAGCTTTTGATATCTGGTAATCACGCACTTTGTTGAAAACTCCAGGCATCAACACTTCTAGTGTTGCCTCAGCAGCAACCTGTTTTGCTACTTTCTTGTTTGATCCTGTTCCAATTCCATACTTGATTCCATCTATCTGAACTTCAGCCATAAATGGTGTTTGTGCGCTCTCGCATTCACTGGATAGATAAACTGGTTTAGTTTTGAAAGTTCGTTGACAGTATTCATGTAAAAGTGCTACTGGAGTTTTGCCTCCAGGATTTAGTAATAGGTCTTTGCCTGATTGCTTGGAATTGTCTGGACCTTTCAGTGCGTATGGTTGACATTCTAAAGAAGCTGGCAGTTCAAGGTCATCAGAAACTTGTGGCTGGAAGTTGACAGCATTCTTTTCTTGGTCCGAAGTGAGAGGTTGAAATTCCCATAAACTTGAAAGATATGATCCCAGCTCTTTAGCATCTACTAGATCCAAAGGAGGTCCATTGCTCTCTTCAATAAGTTTTTCCGGTTTCATAGATGTCTCATTTCCCAAACCTTCCTGCTGTTTAGAAGAGCTACAATCCTCTACAACTTGTGAGTGTTGTGTTTCCAAATCACTTTTCTTTGTCACGCCATCCTTTTGTGTCACATCATCCATCTCCACACTGGTCGCCTCAATACTTTCTGTCACACCATCTGAATTGGCAAGGCTCATGATCACATCCAGTCCATTTCTTTCCTGCCCCTCAACATGGTGTGCTTTCTCAATATCAGCATCCTCCTTTGGTGTCCCATCATCACTATTCATCTCGCTCATATTTAGTGCATTCAAAATTGAGGCTCCTTGCTTTGACAGAAAGCTGTCCTTCTCTTCATTTCCACCTTTGGCTTCTGCTTCCTCTAAAGCCATTCCTTTTTTTTGGTGAAAGCATGGAATGGAAGCTAACGGCACATCATGTTTCTGAAATGTTGATGGTACTTAGTTATTTATCTAATTATCATGAGGGCTGTCATTAAGGTTTTAAGTAGCTGGTCATTTATCACACAAATCCTCCTATATTTGTTTTGCTTGACTCACTTTCAAATTTAAAAGTGGCAGGGTTGTTATAATGCAGTAGCCGGCTAAAATAGGGCTACTAATGACCCCTGAATAGCAACTATACCTACAGACAATGTTGGTGGAACAAGCAAAGAGTACATGTATTGTACAAGTCATAACACGACAGACATCAACTCTCCTAGTGTGTTATGCATTATCATATTCTTAAGGCTTTGCTTTGCTTTGCTTGAAGAAGTCCCACTAACAATCTGTGAAGGAGGCTTACACAACCCCCCTGCCACAACCTCACTATGAAATTGCACCCAAAGGTTATTATTGTACCTGGAATTCACAAGGTACCCAAGAGGAAATGTCTAGAAGAACACCTACATTGCAGAGTATTTAATAAATAAGCACAGGATGAGAATACTTAATTTACAGGTCCAAACAAAACTAACTTTACACCATAACCTCTTCTTAACTGGACACCGGGCCTTTTTCCTCAAAAGACAGTTTAACCCAGCGTTAAGCCAAATTTTAAGCCCTGTTTTCTTGACTACGTGGGACATGTAACTGGAGCGTAATATAAGATCCAGACATGACGACACAAAATTAATTATTTTTAAGACAATCTATTGGAAGATTTAATACAATCACACCAAAAGTTTAATCCTGGATTGGCTCTAATCTGCTTCCCAGGAAGCTGGGCTCCCTGGTACAGTAGATCTAACACTGACCTGATCACCAAGAAAATTTGCATACTGCTGTGCATTTAATCTTTTCTTTGCACAAAACACTTTTTTTAAACAAAGGCTATTTTTATTCAAGGAGCTTTCAAAAATATTCGAAGACTTTTGAGAAAAATTCAAGGGCTTTCCACGGATATCCCACAATTTTTCGATTTTCAAGGACTTTTCAAGGACGTGCTGCTTTTTCAAGGACTTTTCAAGGCCCAGGCAAACCATGAGTGCTTTTGGCTGAAGCAATGATAAATTATACTGTCCTGTCTCAGAACTATCTTCAGCTGTCTTACTGCACTAACATAACTCACTCATCCCACTTCACTTTATATTAGCTCCTTGCATGTGACAAAAATTGCCTCCTGTGGGCATTAAAGGCCAACCGGGGACAGTTTTAAGGCAAGCGCAAGATGCAGAAAAGTGAAAGGTGGGTGATCATTAAGATATATACAGATTTAATTTTATGTTTAATATCATCACTAATTTTATTTTTATCATTGGTACATGAAATAATTAAGCCTCAATATTATTAGATCAAAACAGATTCCCAAGATCACTTTTCAACAGATTCATTATGACTATGGAGCAGCCATTGAGCTGTACAGTGAAATTATATTAAGCTGTCTTTAAGGACTATAATGTGGAAAAACTGGTTATACAGTAATAAGGTTACTTAAAGAAATAAATTATGAATGCATATTTCAATGGTTTAAGAAAGCAATCAAATGCTGTGCATGGTTTGCTAAGAAACCAGCTTACTAAAAACCCGTGAAATGGTCAAGAATATAATAATTACTTTTCAAGCAAAATACATCACATATTTCACAAAAAGGAAAACTTATCATAATTTGTCATGATGTTTTTCTGTCCTTAAAGCTTGTTTAAATAATAACTAGAATAATGTTAAATGACATTTTTTAAATTAGATTACCTGTATATTTCAAATCATGAAATTCATTTTAAAACAACAACAAAATTTTAAGTAATTTAAATAAGGTTTCCTTTCAATAATTATATCAAAGGTTTCTAGAATGTAAGAAAATACAACTTGAAGCCTGGATTAAAAACTGGAAATAAAGTTGATCATAATAACATTATTAACATTATAATGGTGATAATGATAATGAAAACGACAATGATAATAATGATGATGATGATGATGATGATAAAGATAAAGATAAAGATAATAATAATGATGTAATAAAATTAATAATAATGAATCACAATACCCTGACACTTCCTCCACCAATGTGATAGGGGCGGGACCAAGTACACACTCGTGTTGGTTTATGAAGGTAGACAATTCCACCACTGCGATGGTTCAGTGCTATCCAGCCATCTGGTAGAGCCAGCTTTGGGAGACTACCTTTCACTAAGAAGATAACAGTTAACATAAGAGGAAAAGTCTCTAAATTGTCCAATGAAAAAGGAAACTTAATCAGAATATCACACAGAGGGAAACAAGATATCAGATTTTAAGGAAGCTCTTGACTCAAGAGTGATCAACATGAATTTTCTCCTGACAATATCTATACATAAACAAGAGAAAAGATTATCAGAGAAAAATACTTGGTTCTTTTACCAATCCTCCCAATAATAGTGAGATTGAGATGAAGGATAGGAAAATTAAATGCGGACAAAGGATAAATTTGAACTTCAACATCTACAAACCAGCCTTCAATGCTATTACTGTTTTGGTTCACATACAGCTATATACAGTCCAAAAGTATCAAACAACTCACTAATAATAACTCTCCGATCTTGTTCCACAATCGACGACTCCTCGCTGCGCTGCCGTCTCTTTTGATCATTGCCCAAGATTTCGTCGGACTTCCTCTTTAAGGGCGCCCTTTCTTCGACTGGTAACGCTGCCTCATTCGAGGAAAAAGTTTGACCAGGTGGTGTTTCATTTGCCATTATTATGTCAAGGAAAGCTTTCGATGTTTAGATCGCACAGGTTTCGATTCTCAATACTTGACTGCTTCGGCTAATGCATTGACTAACTGATGGATCTTCAGAGAAAATCGTTAACTAACGCAAGACACGAAATTGACATTTGCTTGCATACGCAAAGCAAAATCGAAAGCAGCGCGTGGCATTTTCTGCGCGTGACGCAAACCGACGCGGCACGCGATTAGCTGCACGAACACAACTCACAAAATGTAACTCTCAAACATCACTTCAGACCTAAAACTTATAGATTACGGATTGAAACGATATTACTCCTCGGAATCGAGATAAAATAGACAAAAATTGCACAGAAAGTCACCACCTTGCCGAACCTGCTGCCATTTTGTTTGCGCCCTCAATATCCAGCGGTGTTACGTTGTAGTAGTCTCCAGTCCTCCTCATTGTTCATTTGACGCCTGGATTAAAATTGGTTTCCAGAACATTGAAGAGCTTTCTAATGACAGATGTCTTGAAATTATGGCTAAAAGAAGCCCACCGGACCCAATGTATGTCTTTCGGGGTACCGGAGCAGCTATCAATGTACTCAAGTTTGCTCCAAAGTCTACAAGAAAGGAAGGGCTTTTACTTTCTGGGTAGGTATTACTATTTTAACCTCAATTCTATAAAGAAAGTGGAACGTTCGCTTTCTCCTCTTTTGTTCTGCCACCCCTCCTTCCATTTATTCGGGGACCAGTGGTAAATCTGCAAAGGCTTTTCCTTGGTGTTGTTTGGAACACCCGGTAGGTTGATATTGTGAAAAAAGAAGGATGGAGAAAACTAAACTGAAATCTTGATGGTGGATGAGTATTCTTAAGGGTCAAAATTTGCTGTCATGTGATACTGAATTCAACAGCTCAGCTCTCCCGCCCGTCCCCCCCCCCCCCCCCCCCCTCTCTACAGCTATAATAATTATTAATGGATAGCTTTACCTTTAAGTCGCTCGGTATTAAAAATATTTGTAACTTCATTTCAAGGTCTGCTAAAGGTATTATTAACCTATGGAATCTTAAAACAAAAAGAACAGAACTTATTCTGGATGGCCATAGTGGGAATGGAATCCTTGCTGCAGGTTTTCTTCCTGGTGGAAAAGTTATCAGGTTAGTAGGAGGGATCAAAAAAGTAAGAAAATTGGTAGTTTTGCATTTCCTTGTCCTACAAATATGGTCACTTTTCATTGCTGCCCACTGCTGGGATGTTTTATGAGCAAGACATCTGCATTTTGGCTCAAACAATTGCATACTGGTTTTGTAAACTACCTAGAATTTAATGAAGAGCTCTGATTACAAGACTTGATAATATACCGTAAAATTCTGGAAATAAGCCCCTCCAAATATAAGCCCCCCACACTGGTAATGCAAAAAACCCACCATTAAATCGCCCCTCCAAATATAAGCCCCCTGGGGGCTTGTACTTGGTAAAATGCCCTCAAGTACAAAGTAAAACACAGCCAAAACGGTAAATTTTCTTCCAACTATAAGGCTAGCCCAATCGATTTTGAAACGCAAATTTCCCTCCATAGATAAGCCCCTCCGAATAATAGCCCCTCCAAAAATAAGCGCCTCAAATAGGGCCTTTGAAAAATATAAGCCCTGGGGCTTATTTTCGGAATTTTACGGTATACTCTCTTTCCATTACAAAGGTCAAGATAAATATATAGCCTTCTGAATCCACCAAAAAACATTCATTTCCTTTTTGTGAGTCCACCATCCCTGAAAAACTGTTAAAAAAATGAAAGAAAGTTTGGCATGAAAGATCATGGTCATTGTCAGATTATATTGTTATCAGTTCTTGCCACATTTGTTGATGAAATTACCAGAATACTGAAGGTTGTTATGATTACATTTTGTTCATGATGACGCATCAATCATTTTAGCCTGCGAAAACATTTTTTCTCATAGTCATGGACGAGATGGGCATCTTAAATCGTGGAACTGTTGTGAAGGAAGATCTGAAGTAGTGAACAGTCTTACAGTTCCTTTTCTTGGTTTTTGCCAGTTTTGTATTTCACCAAGAGGTATGTTGAGGTGCAAACTTTCTTTCAGGCCATGGCTGATTCACTCAATCTAGACAAGTTCTTGTCTTTCAATTCAATTAACATGAGGACAAGCACGCCATGACTGTAGAAAAGCAAAATTGTAAGGGCCTCTTGTCCAAAGGATTTCAAGTTGGAATTAATGTTTTTTTCAATCCCTGTTAGCCAATCGTTATATTGTCATCCTCTAATAAGGGGAGAGGAGAAGGTGTAACAAAGAGAGTACACAAGTACCTTAGGGAATCCCCCAAGAACAACCCCTGTATTTTAGTCACTATGTGGTTCCATTTCAAGTTCCAATTCACATTTTTTTTCAAGCCCTGTTAATCCATTGACATCCTTTAATTCTAATAACAGATGGAGTTCCTATTGACTGAACTGGTGTACGAAGGGGAGTCTACATAAGGGATCCCCCTCAGAACAAACCCTGTATTTTCGACACTGTTTGGCTCCATTTCATGTCCTGATTCAATTTTTTTTAATCCCTGTTAATCCATAAACATCCTCTAATTCTAATAAGAGAGGAATTCATATGCAGACTCGTTTAAAAGTTGAGTCCACATAAGGCAGTCCCCTTAGAACAACCCCTGTATTTTAGACAACACTTGGTTCCAATTCAAGTTCCAATTCAAGTTTTTTTTTTCAAGATCTGTTCACCCATTGACATCCTCTTTCTAATAACGGGAAGGGGGAGTTCATCTGGAGACTGGTGAACATGTATCAAGAAGGAGCATCCCACATAAGACACTCCTCCTAGATCCACCTCTGCATTTTATCCAGTGTTAAAGAAAACTCCCGTACTCTTCATTTTGCCAAGTATTTCTCAGTGTTTGCAACGAAAATTCTTTGTTGTGACTGATCTTTACATCTTGTCTCTTTTAATATTGAAGTGGTAGTTTAAAATAATGCTCTTTTCAGGAAATGACTCAAACTGGATTGTTTTGCCATCATCTGAACAATCTGAGGTAAGGTAGGAAACTGTGCCACTTTTTCTCAAATATCTACCGTATAGTGTTAAAGTTTAAGAAAGAATGGAAATACTAGTTTTTGATTAATCAAACTTGATCTTACATGTACCTCTACTCTGCTGGCTCCATCACTGATATAATTTAAGTTTTTTTTCTTCTTTTCTGCCATCTATTTGATGTGGCAGTGTCCAACTAGAAAGCTCTTGCTACTATTTGTTATTATATAACTTGTGTAAATACCCTATATGGTGTAAAATAAAAAATTGAATACCCTGTGAGCGTGGCTTGTCTGTCATGTACATAGTTGGTTTGTTTAAGGGGTGTATAAAACAAACCAACTGCGTGACTGACAAGCCATGTGAATGACTTTGTTAACACTAAAAGCCATGTAAGAGAGAAACCTCTGCTTGCAGGGCAAGAATGGAATTGAATTGCTTCATGTACACTGGCTGGGAGAAAATTCTGATTTTTTCGAACAAAAAACAACGTCAACAACAAGACTTAAGCAGGGGCAAAAGCTCAAAATTTTGTCTCTGCCAGAGTAGTGATGAAAATTTATAATGATTAAATTTCCTATACAATTAGCTACAACACAACACCAGGCAAATAAAAAGGTGTTTGTTCCTGTTACTCATTACAATTTTTGAGTGGAAGATGTTGAAATCCTTGATTATTAGCCCAAGGGGTGGCTTAGAGACAGAGGGCTTATTTGAGAGGGAAGAGGGCTCATTTAATTTAGTGAAGATTATGGTAGCTGTCCATAAAGAACTAGAATGTGCAAAGTGCAAAAGCCCAGGCACATGAAGTTGGAGTTCATGAATCCGAAGATCAAAAACAAATCCAATCTTGTCGCATGTGAATACACCATACCAGATCAGCCCACATGAAGACGTGTTACATTGAAATACACAGGGACCGCGGAGGGGGAGGGGCTGGTAGGGCCGTGGCCCTACCACTTTCTTGCGCCCCCGCCCCCACTTTTTGCACTAAAAAGAAAAATAATTAAAATAAAAAAAAGACTTGAAACAATTTTTTTTCTGTCTATATTCCGCTATATTCTCTGTATTTTCTTTAATTTCAAACGCCAGGCCCCTTCGCCTTCGTTCGGCAGCGTGTTTTATACTTCCAGCTCCGCCAGAGCTTTTATCAGTTTTATCAGACGAAATGAAGAAAATTATTAGCTTTTTCAAGCCAAACGAAGGTGAGTAGTTGTTTTGAGTTGATAGAAGTTTTATATTTTATCTTTCTCCTTTCGAATCAATGAAATATTCGATGGCAAGAAGAATTACATTACTTGAACAGTGAACGGCCATAGTTAGAAATAGAATAAAGTGTGCAAAGTCACGCGACAGAAACAAATCAAATACTATGATTTTATTCCTTTTTTCGATTTTCAATATGGAAAAATTATTTTCAACTGTCAGCCCTCCCACTTTTCACCTTGCTCCGCGGTCCCTGATACAGTCTATCATTTAAGAATAAGAGGGAGGGGTGGGGGTGGCTAAAAAGAGGGGAGGAGGGGCTTAAAAATTTTCTTCCTCTGGAAGGTGGGGGCAGGCGTTTTTGAGAGGTGGTGCTGAAGGGATGATTTACAGTATTTTTTATTCTGTAGCAAATATTATTGTATTTTGAGAAAGACTTTGTGTCTTTTTTTTAAATGAATTTTTAGATAAACATCCTTGATGTAGAATCTAAGAAAACCCTATTCACTCTCAAGTCTGAGGAGAAAAAGTCATTGGGTAAGTGAGACAATATCAGTGTTGTGTTGTTCCAGAATAATATATCCATTCTTCTCCCACTGAGGGTCTTTTGGGTCATGCTGCCCTACCTCTTTAGAAATTCCAGTTTAGCTTCAAACTTTCATTAATTTTTTTGAAGCTTTAAAACATCGATCCCACTCCTTGAAATTTCTGGAGATCCATGGGTGGGGTATGCTTTCTTTTTGGAGCTCTACATCAAGAAAGGTATATAAATTGCATGGGACCACGAAGGAACCATCCAGAAAGAAAAATGCTGATTAATGAGCTGAGGCCACTAAACTAGGTTCATTTGACATTTTTTTAAAAGTTGTTTTCAATTTAACTCTCTTTCTTTTGAAGGAATGTGCATGTGTTTGTCACTATTTAACAATCCAAAAACTCAGAAGCCTCTGCTGGTTGCAGGATATGAAAATGGTCAGATGCTACTATGGGATGTAATGGAGGAAAAAAAATTGAGCAACTTTGCAGTCCATTCTGAATCAGGTAATAATAAATTGGTTGTTTAGTGGGTAGGAGGTCCATATATGAAAACCTGTTATCTGGGGGTCTTGCATTAAGCAATGGTACCCCAGTACACCACCTTCTTATTGGGCTGCCTGTGGCAATGGCCATTTGTGTCCTGAGCAGTGATTTGGTTACCCCTGCACCCTGTGTCCCTGATGTATAAAAATCCCAAAGATGCACAAAAGTTCATGGCACGCGTCCTGTAGGACGCAAAGATTGGTTGATCTATCTGAAAATGTTTTTATAGAATATCCTGTTTGTGTGATTGCATTTTTCTTATGGTCTTTGTTGTGCTTTTCAAAAGAATATCTTTAATTTATCTGGTCACATAAAGGCCCAAGCATTTCAATTTAGGACTTACTGGTATTATTTTTGGAACTGGGACTCAATGGTTCTGGAGTGGGACTCATGATTTGTTCACAAGCACAAGTTTGAAAAAGTTTTCAAGTTCAAAACTCGACAAGTTTACTTTATTTACCCATTCCTTCGTCGGCTGAAACTTGGAAAATCGTTACAAAGAAAGTGTGTCAATTTTTTTTCACTTAAGCTGACATTTTAAGCGAGAAAAGTCCGTATTTTGGAAAGCATCTTTTTGCAAAACAAGAACTGATTACGCATTCAAGACTTCGTGGACAAGACTTTTCGAGTGGTAAGAATTTCTCTTTTAATCACTGCCATGCAAAGAGTTTTGCGTTTTTCGTCGGGAAATTTATTTTATAAAGCAATAGAAAACTTATTTCCTGTGTTTGCATAGCCTGATATAAACACTCGAGGCGTTGGGAGAATTCTCGACACTTATGCAAACCCTCGACTTCGTCTCGGGTTTGCATAACTGTCTCGAATTCTCGCAACCCCTCTCGTGTTTCTATCAGGCTATGCAAACACGGAAAACGTTTTCTATTGCTTAATTGTAACCAAAAATCATGATCACTACCTGAGCAGCCTGCATGTTGAAAAAAGGACAAAATGGCAGATGCATAACCCAGCATCCTGTAGCCCATGCATACTTTCAATCCTGAATCCCGGCCTTCAATCAAATAAAGCAAATCCTGGTTCCCAAAAAACCTACTGTGGACCCTCTTTTATTCAAAAAAGGGCCCTTGCTACCTTAGGTAGGGAGATCAAGGGAGTTGAAGCCCAGGAGAATTGGGGGGTGAGAGGGGTATAGGAGGGACAGAGAGAGATAGGAGATCTAAAAGGGCAGGATGCAAAGGAAACAGGGGGGGAATTATTTCTAAACATTTCGTTATTGAAAAAAGGGAGGAAGCTAAGAAAAGGGGAGGAGCCGAAAATGTAAGGTACAGAAGACAGTAGCCTGAGTATCAGGCCTTCCATCTTTCCCCTTTTCCCCAGAAACGCCTGATACTCAGGCTAAGAAGACAGCAGGCTTGGACTCCCTAACCCCCCACCCGCCACTCCCCACCCACTATATGTCTTGACCCCAGTTGTTCAAAAGGGGGATAGCGATACCCACTGTATGATGCAATTTCTTTCCCTAATACTTGCCTCTGTATAGAAGTTTGAACAACTGGGGCCTGGAGGCTACCATTTCTGGAACAGTTTTTTCTTTCTTTCTTTTTAGTTCTCTGTATGGATGTAGATGTAAAAAATCTTCGTATAGTCTCAGGCTCAGCAGAGAACAAAATATGTGTATCATTGATATCTTCCCAGGTGAGTGTATTAAATGCCAGGAGGTGGGTGGGGCGTTCAACAAAGTTTTATACGAGCACCCTCCTGGATTCTTTGTCAGTGGAACTTGGATTCCAATCACTAGTGGGATTCCGGATTACAAAGTCCAGGATTCCAATATCCACAGGCCAAAATTTTCCGGATTCTGCAAGCAAAAATTTTCCGGATTTCGGAATCCAGTTTACCGTACATCGGGTGCGATTTGTCTAGAATGCAACTGCCTTATTTTCAGACCTAAAGAACTTTCCAATGAGAAACTTAGCAATTACTAACAACCTCTTCTGCTCTGACTCTAGTGTGCAATATCAGTAGACAAACAGATTGAATTAAAGAACCAGGGAATTTCTTCTGTTAAAATTCGAAAAGACGGCAAGATCATGGCCACTGGAGGATGGGACAGCAGGTAAGACGTGTCGCACGCTCGGTTCTCCGGTCGCCTTGCTATTAAGTCGTTTCGCTACAAGTAAATTCGTCTCGCTGCATCTTGAAGTCGATTCGCCGCAAGACGACAACTCTTAGCGAGTCCACGACTTTGTAGCGAAACGATCTGTAATAGTCTTTTTTAGCGCCAGCCACTCCGCTCCACAAATAGCTGGAAGGGGAAGGAGAGATAGATAAGATAGCGTGCGAGAAAGCTCTCTGTTTGAAAATCGCGCAAGTCGTAGGTCACGCGTGGTGGCCTCTCGTGATTCTCAAATGGAGACTTTACATGCAGGCTTAGGAAGGGAAGCATTTAAGAAAATATAGAATCACGTTTAAGGCAAATCCCGAATCCCGGGTAGCGGTCAGAGCGTGTTGTTCTTCCCGGACAGGTTAAGGATTTACAACTGGAAAAAGCTCACCCCTCTGGCCTATCTCGACTACCATACAGACACTGTCAATGCAGTGGATTTTTCGGACGACTTGCCAGAGTATGGACAGCTGCTTGCCGCTGGTGGTAAAGATGCCAGGATCAGTTTGTGGTCTTTATATAATGAGAAAAGACAGGCTGTTCAGTGACAAGCACGCTGATGGCGAGTTTTTTCAACTCGGTGGAGTTATGTTGAACGGTGAGTAAAATGAGGTTATGCCGCCTTTGCAACTAGTCCGTCCTTTTTAAGGCACAGTCAGGAGCCTGCCTCGTTCCTAGACGTCTCTCTCTCGATGTAAATTTGCGCGCAAAGGGAAGATGGGAGGGAAATCACCTTTCTTCTCCTTCCCTTGGTCCGTCGCGGTTCGTCACCAGTCACTCGCGTTTCGTAATCGCATTGCTTTACACCGGTTTCGCTACTTGTCTGAAATTCGCTACGTTCGAGTTCGCTACCTACATATTGCGCTCGCTGCCTATTGGCGAAGTCCAAAACTTACTCCTTCGGAGGGGCAAGCGTAAAAGGCCGAAAGAAAGAGTTTGTAGGTAACTCCATCGTATAAGAAGATCACGAAAGCAGTGCGATAGATGCTGGCCTCTAATATAGACAAGCATTCAAATGAGTCGTGGAACTGGTTCGTTAAGAGTAGCATCCAGGGTTCTCTCGCCCGTTCTTAAAAACTTTCGCCGCCGTTTTTCTCGACCCGACTGTCCGCTCCTGGGATCTCCAAGGATGGGAATGACATGGCCACTCAGCCACATGAAACCATTTTGCGTAGCAGGGAACAAGGCAATTACTCGCTCTCTTTTTTGTGATTTTGTTATAAACCAGGCTCCCTAAAGAGGCTTTAATTATTTTAATACGTAGCACAAGCCAATCAGATGCTACTGCAGAACAAAATGAAATAGAATGAGTCATTGAAAGTCAAATTTAGTGTGAGCACAATTTCGCAAAGAAGCGGTCATTACGCGACGAACGTTAGCTTCTTTATCAAAATTACCTCAACAAACAGCCAGTAATGTTGGTTTTGTTTTTGAATGGTCAAGAAAAAAGTTTGTGAGTATTCAAATCTATTTTGTTTTTGTTTAATACTTAAACACAAAATTGAACCTTAAAGCTCTCTTAAAGTCAGTTAAATGCGCTTTTTTTTGTCGGCCATCTACTACTTTGAAGTTTTAATTGAGAAGGAAACGAAGCTAAAATTCTATGGCAAGCCAAAGTGAGGCCACCTTATTTAATACATCCATTGCAAGCCGAGAAAAGCGCTTATCCGCATTGACCAGGATTTTTGGCATAAAAGTGCCTGGTGATTAAATTCACTGGTAAATATGATATGCCACTATAAGAAAGAAAGGATTTCCAAATTTCATTTTTCATCTCATTTCTAAACAAATAAAGTACTTTTGAAGAGGCTTTTATTTGAATGAGTCACTTCACAAGAATTACATTCACTGACACAACTGTTATAGGACCACAGACAACGAACCAACTGAATTAATAATACACCACTACGAGCCAGAAAGAAAGGATTTCCAAATTTCATTTTTTAACAAATTGGTAAACAAATAAAGTACTTTTGCAGAGGTTTAATGTGAATAGTCACACAACAGGATTTCATGTAAAGACCCAAACGTTAAGACTACAAACTATAAACCTAAAGAAATGTCTCTTGAAATTAACGCTGCAAGTGAAAGGATTAAAATAGGTCTCCTAGGTGACTGGTGGCTGCTATTGTACTCAGAGATGCTAAAAAAATTTTTTCAACTAAAATTTAGAGCTTTTTCTTAAAAAGTTCTGCAGCTGTTAAAGTCTCGTCCTTAACTGCACGCGATGAATAGGATTGTTTCCAATGTTTAATTTTTGTCTTTTTTGATGACTTGTTCAAACTCCGTTGCTACGGTTACACGTTATTCCGTTAAAATATTTTAAAGAAGTGAAGGAAATTTAAATCGGCCAATTTGTTATTTTATATGCCTTGAGGCCTAATTACAAGACGTCTTTACGACTGAACGAGTTCTTAATTTTTTCCTATTATGATTCTCATGTGGTATATAGACGTTTTCACGCGACTTTCTTTGTATTCTCAAGCTATTTTTCGCTCTCAATTTCATTTTAAAACATTAAAAATCCACCCGGCCTCGTCTCTAAGTCCCTTTAGAGTGATTCACTGTTTCCAAACAGCTGCATGATTTGTGAGTATATTTTGGTTTCAGATGCTCAGTATGGGAAGATCGTTTCGTGATTTCTTTCAGAATTGTATCAGTATTTCTTGCTGAATAAAGCGCGTATTCTTTGGACTCGAATTCAAGAGAATTTGTTTTTCTTTAAGCAGAGTTTTGAAAGTAATTAACGCTGCTATTATTTTACTGCTAAGTTTGGATGTGTTAACGGTATCTAGCTTAAACCAGGTGCAAAAACACTGAGGCCGAAACTAAAAGGAAATTTCGACCGCAAATAGATTAATAATAGTTAAGTTTTAACGGCATAGAATTTCGTATTTATCCTACGATCTTTTCTTGGAAATAGGATCTGTATACATTTACCAAGTCCATTTTTGGATCTATTTAAAATTGGTTTATATTTGCTTTCAAAAAATTGAAAGTTCAAACTACAGTTTCAATTGGTTAAGAAACTTTGTTGACTAAATATTTTTGACACTGTATGCTGGAGAAATGCCTGTAATATTTTCAGTCCCTTGGAGAACATGTCACATTGAAATGCAAATCTTTTACATGTATTCTATAGACGAATTCTTTGCTGTATATTTACGATAATCATTATTTTTTTTAATTTCATTTTTAGGATCTCCTCGACCTATGGCGTACACGCTGAGTGAGGCAGGATGGTTGGAAGTCGAACTAAAAGGCATCTCCTCTGTGTATTGATAGCTGCCGCTTTTCTTTCTGTGGGATTTCTGTTTGCCCTCTTGGAAAGATATCCTCAAGACATTGTTAAGATACAAAACTCATTTCCTGCGTTAAGTGACGCATTTGTAACCGATAAGCAGATGATAACATGGACTCCTGCGAACACAACAAAGGATACCTCCTCGGAAAATCCACAATTACAAGCCTCAAGTAAACGTCAAGTTTTGCTCATAGTAGCTCATGGCAGATCTGGTTCGACATTCCTGGCGGATATTTTTAACCACCATCCGCGAGTTTTCTACGTCTTCGAGCCTCTTCACGGGTTGATTCCTAAACAGAAAGATCGAAATTACGAGACGTACGCATTGAATTTTCTTTACCGCATTTTCCAGTGCGATTTCAGCGCTGCAAATGCCGCGCGCCATTTTGGTCACTTCTATCGGCACTACAGCCGGGCATTGAGTTCTCCTCCTTTCTGTAAATACGAACCTTCGGATCCCAGATGGCATTTTAAGTTTTGTTTTCCTCTAGATGAAGCTACCCTTGAACATTCATGCAAATCACAGTACAACACAATCGTATATAAGCTGCTTTTTGACCGTATTCCCGGTAATTCAATTGAGAAGCTATTTGGTGTGTGTGAACTGTCGAGAATCGAATGTAAAGTAATTCACTTAATTCGAGACATAAGGCCAGTTGTAATGTCGGCCAGGAAAGTGGCCTTCTTTAGAGAGGTGGATCACAAATCCAAGCCGTCACTGCGACAATTTGTCTATTTTCACTGCGAAGTAACAGAAAACAACCTTCAACTGGCGAAATCTCTGGACCTGTCTCTTCGACGTCGCTATGTACTGGTTAGATACGAAGACCTGGCAGTTCAACCTTTGCAGCTTTTAGATTACTTGTTCGAGTTTGCCGGTCTTGAAGTACTTGAAAGCATTAAACAGTGGGTAGTCAACACAACACAGCCAAATTTTAACGATCTACAACAACAAGCAAGGAACCCCACGTCTGTTATAAGAAACTCGCTAGAAGTTCTGAGCAAATGGCGGCTTAAAGCAGATCCTTTAGACATGAACATCATTGAGCGATATTGCCGAGATGTCATGAAAATGATGGGTTATATACCAATACAAGGATCGTATAGACTGCTGCGAAATCTTTCATCTCCGCTGTTTAATGATACTTTCCCAGCTCAACAATGGATCAAAGGGTATCAAAAAAGCTTACCTTAAAACTTTGACTCCCAAGAGAAAGCAAATCAAACCTCTGGATAAAAGCTTCCAATTTTGTTTTATGAAAGTCTGAAAACAAATAGTACCAAAAGTTAGAACTATATCCTAAATAAATAGCACCATGTGAAAGTACCACTTAAGAGGTTTCATTTGAATGGTCACACCATAGGATTTCATCCACAGACTCAAAAGTTAGAACTACGTACTAAATAAATAGTACCATCTTAAAGTACTGCTGAAGAGGTTTCATTTGAATGGTCACACCATAGGATTTCATACAAAAAGTTTACTCAACAGTTAGTGATAAATAGTACCATCAATGTGAAAGTACTGCTGAAGAGGTTTCATTTTAAAGTTCACACCATAGAATTCCGTCCACAGACTCGAACGTTATGAAGGGATAATGGGAGGATTATTCATCCTCCTATTCTCCTTTTAGTCGTTCTTCATACTAAATAAATACTACCATGTGAAAGTTTCTTTTGAGTGGTCTCACCACAATATTTCCTCCAAACAGTCAAAATCACCCTTTCATTATTAGCCTGGGAGCAGGCTTCTTGGTGGGGGAAAAAGTGAATAGCGTTAAAAAAAAAAAACGACCGCGCGCGGGGGAATGTGTAGGGGACAGGGCGAGGTCCCCTTTTCTCCTCAGTCTCCCGCTCGGTTGGCCTCTTTTCTCCAATAGGAGCCAGGTCGCAGGCTGCACCATTTTTGATTCTTGAGCATCTGTTTGTTGGCAAGTTTATGTTATGCACAGAGCTGCAAATAATTCCTCTCTCCCGAGTGAACATTTTATTGGCTAAGTGACCGTTTTGGCCTGACTAAAGACAAAAATATGGTTGGACTTGATCAATAGCACATCAGTAGTGATCTTGGATCATTATACGTTTCTGGGAAACTGCCCACCTACCCCTCCCCGAAGCCCACATCAACACTCACTTCTCACCTAAGGCAAAATGCTGGCTTAGGGAAAGGGTAGTGATCTTTAAAAAAAATTGTGCATGGTAGGTGCGCAATCCGCAAGTAGGCTGCCTTTTCTTACTGCCATATATTCACTGCTCTATTATTATGGACTGTGCCAGGCTCTCGGTCAGTGTGGTCGAGCGAAAAAAGCGAGCGAGCAGCGAAAAAAGCGCACCCTTTCTCCCTAGCCCTCAAGCGGCTTTCCGCCCTTTTTTCTCGATCCATTCTCCCCGCTCGGGGCCTGGAACAGCCTACAATATTATGTCCTTGATATCACTTCTACATTACGCTCAAAGTAGATTTTATTCATCTGCAGAATAATAGTCTTTGGCATTAACTCAGACTGGCAGTTAGTCTGGCATTAACTTATTTGGTCGTGCATGTGCCAACTTTAGTCAGTGTCCAATGGCTGACTGTTATTGTCTGCGCGAAGTCTGGGAAAGGGTAGGCGAGTTTTCCTTGTTGACGTAATTGTTGACGTCACAGGTTGGACCGAGCTTAGAACTTTTGGGGACTAGCCGGAGAAACGTCCACCCTGGATTGAGAGGAGAGGTTCGAGCCTCAAAAATCCCAACAACTGTGAGAATATGTCCTCTGTAGGGAGGATTAAGTTAATGGAAGGAATTAGCGTGCTGAGGGTGTATAATTTTTCGGCGAGGAAGTGCTCGATATTTCTAGCGCAGTCACTGTCTTTGATTTTGAAAGCAGTGGAAGTTTGGGGAGAGAAGACATTGCTATCTCGCTATCATTGGGGTTAGCATTTTCCTGCGAGCGAGCTATCCATCTGGGTACCCAACGTAAATATAAATCGAGATGAAATACAGACAAAAAAATTAAATAATGTTTTGAGTCAAAATGTCAACCATGAAAAAACGTGCAAGGTTCGCAACGCTATAAGTATCGTAGCCGGACAATTGATGCTTACTGCAGCTGTGTGTATAAGTGGAGCACAATCAAAATGCAATCGCCGTGTGAATCATCAACACGCCATACAGTTCAAATTTCGTGAATATTCTTGACTTTTTCGTCAGTCGCTGAAAAAACTGGCGGTTGCCGTTGTCGAGAGTTGGCAGTTGTAGAGAGGTTTAAACAAGAGGCAATGTACGGACTGTCCGCCGGAACAGAAAAAAGTCGCCGTTGTGAAGAGGTGGCCGTTAGTAGAGGTTCAACTGTAAACTTCACGCAAATAGAAGGACACAATAGTGCATATATTGTACAGTCAACTCTTTCTAAGACGGACGCCTTTGGGACCGGTACTAAGTGTCCATCTTAGAGAGATGTCCGTCTTATAAAGAGTCAAACAAAAGGAGTAAAGAAAGGCATGAAGGGACCAACTCTAGGTGTCCGTTAAGAGAAAGTTGACTGTACCCCAAAAATAACGCTAAAAATAAACTGATCTGTGGTATGGTATTCTCGATATAAGTAAAATACTTCTATTTTTTCTCAAATTTTTCCCTTTTTTTTCAGTTTTTTTTATACTGAACCGAACAACGAAATATGTGCCGGACGCTGTTGTAACAAAAGTTACAAGTTTGCTACAAAGTTTAAGAAAGTTGGAGCCAAAAGTGACCGAAAGGCAAGGCGATATAACAAATCTGAAATGGTCCGGTCAGCCTCAAAGTTCTGTTAAGCAAAGTTCTACCGGTACCAGACCGCTTTAAAAATATTATCTTTTTCTTTTCTGAAAGGCTAATGAATTATTGAAAAGTCTGAAACGGAAGCGTGAAATGATATATTAACATAGAACAACAACTTTATAATAGATTTCTCCCTATATTTAGAAGCCATTAGAACAGAGGATCAACGAAATCTATTTGCGGGTGATAAACTGCTGTAGTGAATTGATATTTAATGGGAAGAGTAATGTTCTTTCAGAGGATGCATTGTAGTTTTATGGCCAGCTTTTACATCTGGCTTGTTGGCGTCACGCGAAAGCTGTCATTGAATTTATAGCAATGACCTTCGTCGAGGTGAAATTCATGTTTTGAAGAGGAAACATTTACTACTCCAGAGTATTTGACAAGAATTACAAGGGTACAACTTGTGTATGGAAAGCCAGCGACTGTAAACTGAACGAAAATCGCTTTGCATCTCACAATGAACGCTGTGCTCTTCCAGTTTATCGAACCAAAGAAATCTGCATGGCAGACGAGAAGAAATAACATGCAAATGGAAAAGGAGAAAGTGGGAGAACCAGGTATTTTTTCAAAACTTTGAAAGTGAGGAAGTATGTCAGCTTTTCTTGATTATTATCTGTTCTTACCCTACCCCCACAGTTGTCTCTCAACAGGGGTAGGGAGGGTATTAACTGAGTTAATAGACTCAAGAACTCATTTGTCTAATATTACATGAATGTAGAGCTGATTTTATTTTTTCTTAAGCTTTATTTCCTATGCTATTTTCTAGGGTCTTGGGACCCCACAACGAAATGGCCATATAGAGATGATAAACGTTGCTTGAAAAACAACTCGCGTGTTTTTAAAGGAGTTACAAGTTGCAATATAAATTTCGATAATTAATCTGTTTGAGTGTCAAATTGTTTACAATCTGCTGATTTCAAGTGTGTTCAAACTGGATAGCCTTTGGAAAGAATTCAATTGTTGTGGGAATGAAATTTGTTCCTGATTTGTCGTTTATCTATCGGCTCTCTTGTGTACAAGAGGGGGTTACCACATTGACGCATTTTCAAGGCGCGTTTGAATAAAGATACGAAAACAATAAAGAGATATAAACATTCTATACTTTTTTATAGTGCGATGTACAAATACAATTTTTTTTTAGCTAATGAATTGATAGTGAAGGATATATTCAAAAGCTGATGTTCTGAGCGGCCATTCTTAGTTCTTTTTCAGTTAGAACTTTCTACAATGAAACGTTGCCCAGCCACTGTCCGACCATCCTAACTACGGTGCAAAAACAATGTGTAAAACCATGTAAGGGAAACCAAAACAGTCTTGGATTCTTGATACCATGCCATCGATTCCTGATTCCAGGTACTGGAATTCCAGTCTTAGTCAGTGGAATCTGGATTCTGGATTCCAATCTTTAGTGGGATTCCGGATTCTTTGAACTGTATTTCGGATTCCAAGGCCCAGGATTTCGGTTTTCACATTGAGCAAATTTTTCCCGGATTTCGGATTCCACGAGCAAAACTTCCAGCATTCAGGAATCCGGAATCCAGATTTCCTTACATGGGGCGAAATGTGACAAAATCGAAATTCGTATTTCGTTGACTGTCGGCTTTCACATCTCCGTAAGGGGTTTTAGGAGGGCTTATAAAAGGTAAAACCGGAAGTTCGGCTTTTCCATCAACCCCCATCTTTTGTGAATGTTCTGCAATGAGACTTGATTGATTTAGCCGAACAGTACAAACAGACTTCTTGAGTCAATATAAAAGTCTTAAAACAAAAGCAATAAGGACCTTGTCCCATGTACAGTAGTCTTCGTCAGTCTTCTTAGATTGCGGTTGACTTCATAAAGCCGGACTCCTTTTTGCTCACGTACTTTTCATTGCTACCCTTGTCAAGGCTATTATTCTAGACTGATGAATGCTTAGAATTGTTTTATTTCCTTACACAGAAGCATATGCTTTACTCGGTGTGATGTACGCAAGAACGTGATTTGAATCTATGTTTAACAATAAAAATAATTATATTCAAATTTCTTTAAGAAACCATTGTTTTGTGTTTTTCTTTTAAAAAAGTCAACCACTTAGAGTAGCTTTTGATTCACCTCATTGAACACGCCCTTGTGCCTTCTGAACAGAAAGAGAATTCTTTACAAAGGCAGTTTAACAATTGCTTGAAGTTTTTTACTAGAAGAAAACGGAAAATTGTTCAGTTTGCTTCATGCCGGGGCCTCTTGGGGCATTCAGTAATCGAATTTTAATTTTGATCTTGCGCGTAACGAGAATCAAAATAGTCTAAACATTTTAACATTTTTCTTTTAAACAGTTATGCTCTCTCTTAAACAAATTAACCTTCCTACACAACCAGTAATCGGCTCCTGACACGACAAAACGGTCAATTAACAACTTCACAGTTATCGGTTTTCACAATTCACCGGCTGTACTTAAGATCGATGCGTTTCACTGAAGTAAGATGAGTATATACTGAGGTTTTTCTGTATAAATGGGCGGTTTTCGAGGTTTTTAAACACTGAATTACATCGCCGATCTCATTAATACTTTATACGGTATTCACTATAGACTCTTCTTTTTATCGGCAAAGAAAAAAGATTTATTAAAATTGTTTTAAATTAAAATAAATTACTGTTACGAACAAAAGAAATATTTCGATGGTGATACCAACGTAGGCGTTTTTACTATTATTATAATGAAGTCCTTGGGGTGAAATATCCGCATTAATTCGGTCGAAATATTTCCAGTGTAGAACTCAAATCCTTGCATTATTTTACACTGATAAAATTTGTTTCGATGTTACGGCCGACAAACTTTAAATTGCACCGCCGTAGCCAGTCACAGTGAGGCGAACCGAGGCACTCGCCTCGGTAAAATTTTATCAAATACTGTCGATTTTTATTTTTTTTATCAGACTGATAATATTAGAAGATTTCATACGGCTGATTTCGTACAACGGACCGTGTGTTCGCCTCGGTTGTAGTTTCTTCCTGGCTACGGCCCTGAATTGAATAAAAGAAAGACAAAAGCGATGCCCTCTCCGAGGTTCAAAATGCCATTGTTTGTCCCCCAAATTTTGATTTATTCCAAACAATGTTAATTTACGATATTCAATGCGACTGGAAAGAAAACCTGATTATTTTGCCAAACTATATTTGCTAGTTAAAGTGAAAGGTTTGCTTCCTTATATAAAGTTGAGTATATTTTTTCAATTGTTGCCTGCTTAAATTCATTCCTTTTCGTCATCAGACTCGGTGTCGGCTTATGACAGATGTTTAAGGAGAAAAATGTACGCATAGAAAAAAAACAAACACACAAAACCAAATAAATGTAATGGCAGCACGAGAAAACATTATTCGGGATTTGATCCAATCGAAATTGCACAAAAATCCAAAATTTTATGCCCACTGTAATGGGCAATAATATCCTGCTATCCGAAGGCTCTGATTGGTCCATAATTATTGAATATTCATGCAAAAATTGAGTTCGTCCGGAAGGCCAAGATGGCTCCCTCGAAAGGTAAAAATTCGCGAAGAAGTGCTACGTTTTGTGCACGTTGAAAGCTATGTTAGTTAAAAATGGACGAAGGCTAATATCTGCGATACTATTCTTGGATTTCAGATGAGGAGACGCGAAAGAAATTGCTGGAGAACCTCAAGAAAGAGGTGAATGAAATTTTGCTATAATTTCTTTCTCGTCGCCCCTGGGATAAGTACTCCGCCAGAACTTGGCTCCTGCTTCTGTATGCTTTTGCTTAGGGTTGTGTAGAATTTATGTGTTATTTTTGAAAGGCAAAGCATTCGAAAACTGAGGTTTTTTATGCTTCCAAATACGATTTTCGGAACGCAGTGCCTTTTAAATTCTCATCTTTGCTCTTCGATTCCCAGGTCAAACAACTGATGGAAGAGGCCGTCACAAAGAAATTTATTCATGCGGACAGCTCAAGTATAACCTCCCTTTGTGGTAAGAACTAAATTCTTCGTATCTAGGGTTGTTTCTGATGTAAGAGTGTGATTTTTCAATGCTCATTTCGTGTGCATTGCAAGATTTTTGGTGCTTATTTTTGATTATCATATAGCCATTTGCATCGCTTAATCGACTCAGATATATGGAAGCTTGTTCGTGAAAAAACAGGGCAGAAAAGCGGAAGCAAAATTTTATTTTCAGTGGAAATTGGTGTGCTGCATTCGAAGCCTTGTTGCTTGGTTTATTCCTCTCTCTGTTGCCAAATTTAGCCGGTTTCATGTTGTAATAATTCAGTGCAAATTTTGTCGAGCCATTTGATCGCGACGCTCTCGACCCCTTGATCTATTCTGGATCGAGCTTTCTCGGAGCAAGTTTTGTTTACACACAACCATCAAAACAAATAAACCAGCCCAATGTTTGGATGGAGATTTCCCTTAAGGTTTTTCTATAAAATTTCTAAGGAAATATCTCTAAAACAACCATTTATTACAGTAATTTCCCTCTCCAGGGAAATTCGCATAAATATTATTACCCAAGAGACACTCTTCCGTAATACATAATAGATAAACTGCTAACTGCTAACTAGCTGTGACTCGATAGCTAAGACGTCAGCGCTTAAACCCACCGAAAAATAAAATTTTGATCTTCCTTCAGTACTTTTTTTTCAATGTAAAGTATACGTGCTCTTTCCTGATAAAATTATGAGACGCAAATTGATGTACGATCGAGACGTGCTCCAATTTATGCAAATATATCTGTCTTATATTGTCAATTGCTTCAATTTTAAATTGTCAAAAATATTTTTTCCCCATAGTTTATGTAGCGTTTCTCTGAAAAATCACCCGGCATCTTTGCTTTGTTGTGACTTTAATGAACTTTTATAGTTAACATAAAAATTATCATTGGAGATTTACTCTCCTGTCTACCACTTCAAAAATTAAGCTCAGTTTGCAAATTGCATAAATTTTTTCTCTATTTACACAATCAAATATCTCAGTACAGCTTTGAACACGCAAAGTACTTTTTGCTACGAATGTCATTTTGTTGTTGAATAATAATAACCAGCTTATATCTTTAAATTTGTTTTTTCCTTCAAGTTCTTAGTGTAGATGGAATTTTTTTTATGGCCTTTTTTCTTTAAAAATCACTTTTATATTGGGACCTATAATGTACGTGATCAGTTGCAGGAAGTAAGCACAGACGGATGGTTCTTAACATTGAATTTGATTGAAAATGGATCTCGTGATGGTGATTGCACCAGAGAATAGTCTCTTTAGTAGCTTTCTTGAAATATTTAAATTAACTGCTTGTTTTGTACAATTTTGACTAGTTAATTGATTCTCCCTTTTGTCTATGTCATTGAAACTCGAGCCTCCTATGCGGATGTTCAGGAATGCGTGACAAGCCCCTAGAACGTCTGCATAGGAGCCTAGTGAAACTCCAGAGTACGGTGTATCAAACCTTGGTGCACCAACTCTGGTCTTGTTTTGAATTTAGCCCTAATTGTAGTGAAAAACATGAAGCAGGATTAAAAGTTAACATTAAACTCTGGTTTTATGCTGTAAAGAAAGATTTTTCTAGTCCCTTGGTTAACTTTCTCTTATTAAGCTTTCACTGAAACAATATATTGTGGTTCAGTTTACTACTTTTCTCACTTGGCTTTTGGTATGCTAATATATGATAACACGAAAGAAAATAAAGTTTAAACCAAGGATAAAATTTAACCCTGGCATATAATTTATATACTAAATGTAGGATCCAGTTTTGTATCCTCAAGAGTCACTTTGTTCAAGAGGAGAATTTGAGGGAGGCCAAATTTCTAAACATTTAATGCATTGATAGACTCCTTGTTTATCATTTGTCTCACGATGGTCACCAAGTCATTGATTGTGATGTTTTCTATGTTTCGACATTTTACACCACAACAGAAAAAGCAATAGTCAATAACTGTCTTTATGTACACTATGTAACGCATTGTAGGCAATACATTGCTGAATTGTATCCAACGTGGGGCATAGTAATTTTTCACTAAATTTATTTAAGGTCACTTAACATCTGTAACCTGTCAGTCATGGACAGTTAAATGCTGGAAAAACTGCATTCGTGAAAAAAATCAGTTTTTTATATATCAGGCAGGCTCAACTATCTCTCAACTATCTGGTTATTTCTCTACACACACGTCTGCTCAAAAGTGATAGTATGCGATGGGTCTAATTTCTTAAGAAGTTTGTTTTTGGAGGGAACATGCATGCAAGAAATATGACAGTTATCACTCCAATGGTTGTTAATATTTTTGTCAGTTATCTTTGGGCCAACCGTTGAATTTCTGTTTTTTCATAGAATTATTGAACTTTCATACAAAGCTTTTTTTATTCCACAATATTGCATTTTAAGAAGCCAATATTTACATGTCAAGGGCCTATAGTAGTACTTGCTAAACCACAAAACACATCAATGTTTAGACACACCCCTAGGCTACCCACTTTTCTGTGGACACACCCCCAGAATGTAGGGGTCAATGTTTTTATAATGGTTCTTTAATTCTAATTAGCTGTGTTTTTGAAATTGCATAAAAATGGCTGCCAAACTGTCCAAATAAAGTCTGTCAAGAGATATTTCAATAATTCTTATCATTCAATTTTTTTTTTAATCAGTTGGTTTCCTTATTTAGAGTTTTTAATGGAGTATGGAAGTATCTGATCCATACTTTCTAGGTGTTGTTATATTATACAGTCAACTCTCTCTTAGTGGACACCTCACTAAAACAGACACCTAGAGTTGGTCCCCACCTTTCTCAGGTCTTGAAATAATTTCTGGAGAGTCTCCAGACATGATGACAAGCCAAATTCAGTGTAGTTCAGTCACATATCATTTCTGGCCAGTAACTGAATTTGTAAGATAAATAACTCTTCAACCAGGGTTCCACAAACCAAAACTGGCATTATATATTTCCAAAAAAGTTGTTGCTTGGAGCTTATAGCTCTTTAAAGCACTCATTGTCAACAATACAAGGAGATTATCGTACACATTAAATTTGTCCAATGTCTCCAAATATAATGATTTCTGGTGTACGTATCATGTGTGAGATCTTGATCTTAAAACTCTGCCAGTAATCCATGTTACTCCCCATTACAAGGGAAGAAATTTGTATTCATCTAAAAAAATAACTAATAAAAGTAAAAATATTTTTAAATTTGTGACTGGAACTGCGTGAACCCCAATGTCTGTTCAATGCGCTAATATTGTAAACATCAGTTCTAGTTGCATTTCACGCAGGATTTCCGAACAAAGTTCCACAATACACAGCGACTCACTACATACTAATAACAACTGAACAGCGTGGAAGTTTTAATTTATTTAATTTTCAATATGATCGAATGTGACTGGTCAACATGACCGGCAAGACGGAAGGTTGACTGGTCAACTCCTCAATCAACTCCTTCAATCATTCTCTGTTGACTGGCCCCTATATCAAGCCCTGTTTCTTCACTCTTTTCAGTTAACCCTCTGTAAGATGAACTCCTGCTCCATGCCTTTCTTTATTCCTTTTAGCTGACTCTCTATAAGACCGACACCTAGAGTTGGTCCCTGAGTTTCTTTACTCCTTTTAGTTGACTCTCCATAAAGTGGACACCTAGAGTTGGTCCCTGCCTTTCTTTACTCATTTTAGTTGACTCTCTATAAAATGGACACCTAGAGTTGGTCCCTGCCTTTCTTTACTCCTTTTAGTTGACTCTCCTAAAATTTTAGTTGGTTCTCCTTTTTTTACCCTGGACACCTAGAGTTGGTCCCTGTGTGTTTTTTAGTTGGTCCCTGGACACTGTTGGTCCCTTTGTTTCTTTTCCTTTTAGTTGACTCTCCATAAAATGGAAAGAGTTGGACACCCTTTTAGTTGGTCCCTAAAATGGACACCTAGAGTTGGTCCCTGTGTTTCTTTACTCCTTTTAGTTGACTCTCCATAAAATGGACACCTAGAGTTGGTCCCTGTGTTTCTTTACTCCTTTTAGTTGACTCTCCATAAAATGGACACCTAGAGTTGGTCCCTGTGTTTCTTTACTCCTTTTAGTTGACTCTCCATAAAATGGACACCTAGAGTTGGTCCCTGTGTTTCTTTACTCCTTTTAGTTGACTCTCCATAAAATGGACACCTAGAGTTGGTCCCTGTGTTTCTTTACTCCTTTTAGTTGACTCTCCATAAAATGGACACCTAGAGTTGGTCCCTGTGTTTCTTTACTCCTTTTAGTTTACTCTCTATAAGACGAACTCCTATCCCTGCCTTTCTTTGCTCCTTTTAGTTGATCCTTTTTCAGACAGACATCTCTCTGAGACAGACACTTAGTGCTGGTCTGAGAGAGAGTTGTCTGCAATAGTGTATTATTCTGCTCTTTTGCAGGGGCTGTGGAAGCAGGCATTGCACATGGTTTAAAGAAAAGAGCAGCTGGTCTCCTTCCAGCTCAAGACACACAATCACTGCTCCTGAAGCTGGCAAAATTGTCAGAGCCAGCTGCAGAACTTGTGAAGAAACTGTCAGGAGAAGAGGATGCTAATAAGGATGGCAAAAGCTCAATGCCAGGTACAAAAAAGATCATTACCTTCTGCTTGCTTTTACCCTCTAAGTCCTAAGAGAGACCAATGTCCGTTTTCTCCCAACAACATCAATGCATCATTAAGAGAAAAGGTTACGAGAATTCATAAAATGATTACCAAGGCTGTGCTATACAAGAGCCCGGTGGATGCTGGGGCCTAACTTTTTCTCTAGGGCGACTAAAATTCTTCCATTTTTCATACAAAATCTTAATGCTGGGCACACTAGATTCTACCAGTTCAGAACACGGGGCTGACCTTTTGATTTTCCTTAGAGCACAGCCTTGAATCAGCAAAGCAAAAATGCTTTGATTTTTTTATCAAATTCACTCAACTAATTCTTTAATGTGGACAACCTTAAGCCGTAAGTCTGGAAAAAGAAATTATACTGGTAGTTTTGAGGAAAAAAGGATGTTCAATTTTGGATCAAAAAATCTGTAAGAAACTTGTGTTTTGTTTGCCATCACTTTAGAGTCAATTTCATAAATGTTTAAATTAACCCCTATATAATATTTGTGAAATTAGTATGTTTTCTTTAATATTTGGCATTGTTACAATGTTAAGTCTGTTGCTAAGGCTCCGACATGACTTTGACATTCACTTAAAAAATGTAGATCAGCATAAATTTGAACTGAAAAAAACTTGTTGATCATGATATCAATTCCAGTTGATAGCTGCCAAAACAAAAATTGTAGTAAATATTGTAAGTTACTGGTATATCTTTTTTTCCAGGTTTGGTTATATGTCCTGTTTCTATCTGATCATGTTTTTGATACTTAATTGTTCAGGCGAAAATAGCTGTTATAATAAGTAACTTTAAATGTTATTATTTCTTTTTGTAAAATCCAATTTTGATGTGTAGTGCAGCATGTATCTGAATGGCATTGTCATTGTCATGGTATTACAAAAAACCCTCCAAGAAAAAGTCAACCAAATTTTCAAAATTGCCAATAATTTGAATTGATAGAGGTTTTAATTAGCATAATTTTGATATAAGAATTATGCCTTTCTCCAAAATGTTAATCAACCTTAAGAACTAGTCAATAATGAATATGTATAACTTTGAGAAAGTTCTATGAGAATATATCAAATAATTTTAATCATTATTAATATTATGCAAATTATCTGATATTTTCAATAAAATTGAAATTACATATATAGAATGAAAAAATTATTATAATTTTTTTTATATTTGACTATTTTGAATAATTTGTTATTATATTCTTATATTTCAGTTATTATTGTTAATCTTTGTTATCTTTGAAGACTAATGTTCTCTGTGTTTTATTAGCATTTATAACATATTACGTGTAGTTGCAATGACTTTTTGAACTTTCTCCCAGTATGTAGCAACAAAATTGATTAATAATTGGACACAACTATGTGTTGTTTTTAATTATTACTTTCAGGCCCTGCTGAGAGCCCAATACTAAAGATGAAATTGAACTTCTCTGGCCTAAATAGCAGTGTTAATAAAAAAATTAATGGTTATAATATCAGTGGACATTGTGGCAAGTTTTTGTGGATTAGAATAGCGCTCTTAGAAAAACTGCTTCGCAAAATTGTGGAGGACCTTCAAGCAAATGCAAGGTAATTAATGCAGTATCTGATGAATTGCATTTTTTTCATTTTTTCAAGTGACCATGTTTTTGAATAAATATTCTGCTAGCAGCACTTTTACTCACACGGTGGAAAAAACACATACTGGAAGTCTTTAGGTTGTGCTGGCCTGCAATGTTTTTCTTTTTAGAAAGGAAATGTCCAACCAGTTCACCATTTAAGTCAGCAAAACCAGAAAAGTTGTTGACATATTGTTTACTTTTATTTTCTCAATTCTTTTGATAATTACTATGCTAATCTTCAGGTACAAAATGATAGTCTGTAGTGTTTGATCTGTTCCGTCATCATGTGCGACCACTGGAGGGATTTTGTGGGACATTGGCAAATTTTGTCAGACATTGTCCAATAACCAACTGTTATTAATTTTGTGGCTCTGATGTGAATAAAATTCAGACCAGTTTTAAGTATCATTAGGGTATTCATTGGTGAGGCTGTTTTTGTGTGATCCATGTTAACTTGTATCAGTTCAGTGCTTTCTATTCTTAAAAACAAACAATGCTCATGAGAAAGATTCTCTTTCCAAATGGCTTGTATTTACTTGTTAATCAAGCGTGAATTGGACAGACATGATATTAGGAGTCACTGTACCTAAGGCCTTATTCCACCAACCCCTTTAAATGTTTAAGTAGGATTTCATGTGACATGGAAACACCAAACCACTTCACTTAATTTTTTTGGTGGCAAAAAGGCATGATTTATCATGTAACCAGCCAAAGCAATGGTGATATTTTCACGTGTGAAAATAACATGTAACATGTTATTTCATGTCTGAAGATAACATACTTTCATGCAAAAGCTCACCTGGTATTTCATTGGTGGATATATATATGATATCAAATAGGATTATTCCTGACCTTTGGGCTTGACTTGATACAAGTAATTTTGTGGTACTATTGATGAATTTTGCAGCCAATTCTATGAACCTGAAGCACTCCTCAGTGATCCTGCAGATGGAAGGATATTTATTGAACTTTTAGGTGTGTAATGATTTTTGGTCAACACATTCTTAAAAATTATCATAATCAAAGTTGTATTGTATTGCATAAAATAACACTGTTATTAAAATGTGTTTTGAATGGCATCATAAACAAAGACCTAAAAATATGAGGTCTTAAAGATATCTGGATTCGTGAGGATGGGGGCTCTGTTCATGAAAGAAGGAAAGTACAGTAGAATCCCTTTAACCCAAACTCTGATGGGAAATGAAAAGCAATTCAAGTTGCAGTAGTGATAGTTTTAGTGTTTTTAACAATTATACAACAAGAAGAGCTATTATAATAGGTTGGCATCCGAGTGGAGTTACAAGAACTAGAATTAGAGTTTTGGGGGTAAATTTAAGTGAATTTTGATCGAGGCAAAGGAAATTTAGTTGGAGTTAGTGGGGAATTCGAGTGATCCGAGTTCGAGTTAACTGAGTAAAAATGACTGAAAAGTAGGGTCAAATCCAAGGAAAATCAGACTTAGTTCAAGTTAGTTGGGAGATCAAGTTATCAAAGGGTACATTCCTTTGATATGATCTGAGATCATTTAGATCATGGTAGATCAAATGAACCGATGAATTCTTGTCCAGTGTGGATTCATCGGTTCATTTGATCAACCATGATCCAAGTGATCTCGAATAACTGATCCTGATGCGGATCATCCCAAAGGAACGCACCCAAAGTTCATACTGTATAATATTATAAAGTCATTGCACATCATATCATCATTTATACATTTTTCAGATGGTCCGTGTGCCTTGGATTTCTCAAAGATGAAGACTCCCGACAGCTACTGGACAGACCCATCGGCAGATGAACTTGTTCAGAGACACAGAATACATAGTGGGCTATTCCAACAGACGCCTGCAATGACGACATCAACATCACGACCACAACTTGGAGCTAGGATGTCATCCTATGATGAAAACGTAGCTGTCGCACCCTTGTTGGCAAGGGAACACATTGATTCTCTCCATCAGAACTCATATGCTGCTCTTTTGTATGGAAAAAACAATGTCTACCTTGAACCTGTGAGTAAAACCAGTTTGCAAAGTAAACAAGTTAGTAAATAGTTTATCGGATGTGTTTACATTTAAAAGAAATACAGTTGTATAGACTGGAGCTATTGGGCAAGGAATTGAACAACTAGGAAGTTCTTTTGGTTCTATTTTCCTAGCTAGAGGTAGCGCATAGTAGCTGGAGGAAATACATTGTACCTGGCCCTGAGCCCTTAGTGACAGCCCCGCTTGGCAAGAAGCGAATCTACTAGGCCTGTATGGCTAGATAGGTCAAGTTTCAAGGCCTGTGGCCCGTTTCTCAAAAGGCCCAGAAACTTTTCGGGCCCAAAGGCAATTTTAAAATCAAAACGTGTTGAAAAGTAGTACAGTTCCTAGCCCACAAACCAGTCAGTTTTGCTTCATTAACTGATTGTTTCATTGTATTATTTTCAAAATTATTGAAACTTTGATCTTGTATGCAAACACAACAAACACAGAACAACTTTCTGGGCCCAAAAAGTTACCGGGACCTTTGAGAAAAAGGCCCCTGATATGTTTCACCAGTGATGTTGTATGTTTGTTGACCAGCATGAGGAACACCCCATCGCAGGATACTTGTCGCTGCACAAGAGTAATGAAAGCCTGCTCCTAAAGTGGACACCTAACAAGTTGATGAGTGGATCCTGTGAGCAAGAAAAGAGCCAGTTTTGGGATTATGCACTCACTGTCAACTTACATGATGTTGTCTACATACACTGCCATCAACATGGTAAGGAATAGTATTAACCAAAGGTTGAGGACAGGGTTGTCAAAAGTAGCTGGCTGCCGGCGAAAATCACCACCTACTTGGTTAGTATTGGCCGGCTACTCTGCTTGGCATTTCTTTACGGATAGCGTTTTTTAAATAAAATATCCCTGGACTGGCCGCTTACTTACTAACTTACTTTCCTGGACCCACTGTAATTGGCCACAGCTGTTGCGGTGTCCCTGCCAATGTTCTTTCTGTTTGTTTGGTTTTTTTTTTTTTGGCAAAGCTAATAAAATAGAAAAAAAAGTAACTCAGCCATCTACTTCAAAACTTTCTGACAACCCTGAAGGAGTGCAGGATAGTTCAATCTAAGGTAAAAAAATCTTTCCCTTTTGCTGTGCTTTCCGTAAGTTTCATTTCAAACTCATATAATGGTCAAAACGTTAACGACCAGATTACAAGTGATAGAAGGCCCAAACCGTGCAAGATCAGATTGTGTTCTATGCTTTCCATTCATTCTTAGTGGAAGTCAAAATGAATGTGGACTACATATGTGCTGTGCATGAATAATAGCAACCTTGGGATTATGATTGCAGGCAACCAGAGGAGCCTGCAGTGTAATTACAGTAAATCTCCATACTCCCTCTCTCCCCCACAGAAGGGATTAGAAACTAGGGGAAGAGACGGTAATTTCCAGAGAGGTGCAGGGTTGTAAAAAATTCCTGGGGTGGGTTTGTATGGATATTTTCTGGAATTACACATCACCAAACATGTATTTCCAAGTTCACTATGGTATGTGGTTGTAGGGGTTTAGTTAAGGACACACAATCAGTTATTGGGTATTAAGCAGTTTGAGCTATATCCAGAAGCACTTAAGCTGTGCAGTAACATATTAACAGCATCTTCACTTAGTGGAGTTGAGTGCCTGGGATGTCCAGGGGCTTCGACTTTTGGCAAAGCCGGCCCCTAGACAGAGTTACTTCCCCTCGGCTGATAAACCCGCCCCTTCCAGGGCAGTGAGGTTAAAAGCACAATCCAAAGGCTAAATGAAGTGAGTGGCCACTAGGAATCACTTTACTAAGCGCATGCAGCGATGCAAGCAAGGCTGATCATCCCTGAGCCAAAACACTGACCACTGATCACCAACAAGAGATGGCGCTCCTTGTTAGTGTCTGCGCTACATTGTTGTAAATTCATTTAACTTCATCAAGTTAATACATACTTTATTACTTTCAGGTGTTTATGGAGTGGTAATCTTGATCGGACAAGACGGAGTTCAGCGTCCACCAATACGCTTCCCAACAACAGGATCACTACTGTCATTCTTAAACTGCCTTGAGAATGGACTACACCCACATGGAGAGCTAGATCCCCCTCTTTTTAACCCACGCTCGAAAGGACTTGGCTTGCCACGCCTCAAAAGACCTTCTGCAGGAGATAATGTACTGCTGTCAGCTATTTCCAAGGGAGAGAATACAAATCAAGACTATGTATTTAGATTAGTATCTGGAACCAAACCTGAGGACTTGGGTATGTGTTTAAGCTTTTACTGTCCTACTTTAGTCACCACAGGTCCCTTCAACATATAGATTAGAATGCAAGATTTGTAATGTTGGTCTCTACAAAAACGTATGATGGTTGCAAATGTGGCAGAAACTCTGCATCGCATCAGTCAAAATAGAATGGCAGTAGAACCTCCTTAACCCTTTAAACCCTAAGATCAAAATTAAAATTCTCATTTATTGCCCCTATTCATTTACCATAGAAGTATTGGGGAGACGTTGATAAAACATCAAGCAAATTCATCTTGTGTGATCATGTCCTTAATTCTCATGACCACTCTGTTTTACAAAGCATTGATATTACAAGGAGAAATTTAATGCTGATCACTCTTAGGGCTTAAAGGGTTAACTCGATATAATAGTTACTTCCTCTTTGAATCAGTTTCTGGTACATTTTAACGCGCCAAGGTTTAAAAGGTTTCGACCAATCATAAGAGTTGCAAACAATAGCCAAGAAAAGTTGAGAACTTCTCATGCATAGAATTGCATAGGATTTCTGTGTTATTTAAACTCAGGCAAGATTTTGTTATAAGCAAGTTGGTTAGAAAACAAAGAATGGTTATACATACTGATTTCATTAATTTTGCTGTTTAAACTCATCAGAAGTGTACTACAGACAGTAGCAAAGTAATAGTTACTTTTTCATTCCGCCATGTTCCTTGTCGTTTTTGCTTTTTCCTCTTCTTTAAATCGTTACCTTAACTGATTGATTAATTGTTCTTTTTGTATTCTTGTTTCTTCAATATTAGACAAGAATTTTTCATGCACACATTTGGCATTACAGTGCGACCACCGTTGGGCCATAAAATTCCTGGTCGTAATAACGAGGTGGTCACATTAACTTGGTCTTCAAAATAATAAAATTACTCTGTTGGGCCAAGAAATTATGGTCGTAATAACGAGGTGGTCGCATGAATGGGGTGGTCGTAAGGCAGGGTTCCACTGTAATAGGCTTGTTCTCTTTTGCCCTAGTAAATAAAGAAATGGATAGATTTTCGTCTCAACGATCTATCAAGAAGCAAGTTGGGTTGCCATGGAAAAGGCAGGACCTCAGTATGCGACTACATTCCAGCTTTAAACGGAATCAAAAACAGTCCTCACCCCACACAATGTAGGTTACCAGAATGTTCATTTTTTTTTTTTTTTCATGTGCCTTGAAGCTTGCATTTCTGTCTTACAGTAACTGTCAAACTGGTATTAACACTTCCACTCCAATAAGTTACCAGTGAAAAAAAATCACAAAAAAGTTTAAATTTCTTTTTGGAAAAATTAATTCTAAGAAATAAAAAGTACCATTTAAAATGTCTCCCCGAGAGGTTTCATTTGAATGTTAACAGCATAGGACTTCATCAACAGTCTCAAAAGTTAGAACTACAAAGAAAATAAACAATACCATGTGAAAGAGATTTCATTTGAATGGTAACACCATAGGATTTCATCAACAGACTCAAAAGTTAGAAGCACATACTAAATAAACAATACCATGTGAAAGTACTGCTGGAGAGGTTTCATTTGAATGGTAACACCATAGGATTTCATCCGCAAATTTTATAAGTTAAAGTGGCAAAATAATTCTCTCTCCATAACAGAGTCTCAGCCTATGAAATATGGCATCATCGGTCTCCATTACATAGTTTTGTGCTTGTCATAGTAACTGAGTAATAACTACAGGCTTGTCGTCACTCTTTTGCATGTATTTTTCTCAGGGAATGTCTCAGCAGTGCTTGCGAGACCATGAGACGGCAAATCACTCTGAGAGCCTTCAACGGATGTAAGTAAATGATGTTATGTTTCTTTACAAGGCCAATAGTATGTGATCAAAAACAATTTCAGCGGTGTTCTTTTGTCTCTTCCTCGTCCCCAGTCACTCCCTTCTCGCACTCTGCGCTCCTTCCCATCATCCCCTCTCGCCCTTTTCGCTTGTCTCCAGCTCTCGTGCTTATCGCTTGGCTCCACTTATTTAACCTTTGGAAACCCTGTGGAGGAGGCAGCGTCAATTTTGTCTCACCCTAGTGAAGCTACCTGCGAATATGGGTTTCTTTCCTGCTTGGTTTTTTGCATGTACCCCCTCCTGGAGGTGTGAACAAGCCAACTACGCAAATAATAGGGTTGCGAACAACTCCACACGTACTTCAAGTCATGCCGGAACGAAACCTCTACTCGTAGGGTATTGTGAAGTTCTAGCTTTTGTTTCACATTTCCCGAAGTTAGTGAGTAACAAATGCTCTGTTCCCCCGATTCTGGCCGCGTTAGTGCAGGAGGCTTGGTACTCAGTGTTTGAGGGTTCTCATGAATCTCGCATGTGCTACAGCGTATTGAATTAAACTAGAGACTGCTCCCAATTTGCCAGTTCACAGACCCCTTATCTTCTACTAGATTTCGTGGAACGCGGGTATGAATATAAAAACCGCGGGAAACATTTTTGACCGCTAGCGCAAGGGTGTGCGGATATCTAATAAAAAAGCAGACTATATCAAGGCGTTGACATGGAAAATGACTTGAAAAAGACTCTTCTTTCCCCCAAAGAAGACTTCCCCTTTTTTTCTTCCCGTACTTTGCGCTTCCTTCCTCGCGTGCCCGCAAAATTCGCCCTGAAAAAGTTAAAAAAAGAAATGTTTGTAGACAAGTTCGCAATTTCACCAGTTCCAAACGAGAAGTTTGTAAGGTTCAATCTAGTACCCCTCATTGTTTCGTTGCACTACCAAGTAAGTAAGTATTATTATTATTATTAGCGAGGGTTGCACAAAATGGCGTTAAGTAGCAGTTTGTAACCTGTGCGGATTAAGTACATTCTCCTGGGTGGCCCCTATCCAAGGATACATTAGCCTGTCAAGCGAACGCTGTAAGGGTCTCGTCACGCGTTCGTTCAGTGGAGATGGAACGCGTGATGAAACTCTAAGAACCTCTGCGCGGTGGCCTAGGGATGCTTTGTATCAGAATAACGTCACAAATGATCATTCTATTTGTGTACCTCTCGCAAGTAAAATAGACCGCAGAAATTAATTTTTGTCTCGAAACTGTCTACAGGGCTGTCGTACGTGCGCCACCTTAAAACAGTGAGAACGCACTTGCTTTGGCTTGTCCGTCACAACAAAATCAGTTCGGAAGAGAATGGTGTTGATTATACTCAGGGACTCACGGAACAAGTGTGGAGAAGCTTGTACTATAAAGGGCAGGTTAGTTTGAAAGTCATGACGGTGAAAAAGTATAAATTTACCTGTATAGTCAATATTTTTTTGTGCCAAATTTGCTGACTGTTATCACCGTTGTAGTTGCTCAAGCTTCGTAGCGGTGATCTTGCCATCAAGGATGGCGACTGTCGTAACATGATGTTCATATTGCTTACAACAAATGGCAATAGAGATATCTAAGCAATAGACCACACTTTCTATGGGTTTACCGGCGTGATAATCCACGCGGTATGTTGGGAGAACATGACAAAAGCTGGTAAATCACGAGCGGAAGGCGAGTGATTTCAAGCCTTCTCCCAACACCCCAAGTGGGTTATCACGTCGTAAACTTTCTCAAAAGTTCTTCGTCGGATTTCATATGGCGCGGGAGATTTCATATGCCGCGGGACCTCTCTCGACTTCGTCGCTCACAGTCGGCCGCTTCGCGGCCAAACAAGGCGAGGTCGACCTGTAGCAAGTCTAATCACGCCGGTAAACCCATAGAAAGTGTGGTCTATTGCTTTTATAAAATAATTTTAAGTTTTCTATGAGTCTACCTGCACAATAAACCATAGGATTTTAGCCAATCAGAACGCGCGTACTATCTTAGTTATTTTATAAAGAACGATAGCAACGACAATAATAATCATTTAGGGCAAGCAATGATCTGCCTTCTATTTTGATTACAAATTTTCTTTCAGATCAAAGACGAAGATGCTGTGAAGAAGTATGTGTATTTTGGTGGAATAGAGCACTCGATAAGAAAAGAGGTAAGACTGATCACCCAAGAAACAAAACTTTTTTTGAGAAGACATCAAGATTACAAAAGCGCCGCTTGAACTGTCGGAAATCATCTTCAGCCAAAGAACCATGCAGTGTCAGGCGGTGCAGTTGTATTTAAGAAGTGTTCATGTTGACGTTAGGCCTTGTGTGGTCGTTGTCACGCAGGCGAAGTCGGGTAGCAACGGAAATGACCTTGAACTTTTACAAATACAATATTGAGGAAAAAAAAAACAGACAGCTGTCAAAAGATGAAATTAAACGTTTGATGTCGGTGAAATAATGCTGCTGGGAGAAAGATTGTCCTGACAATTTCAGTATTATCACCAGGAATACATCGTCATCATCATCACCTCGACTACACTCAGTATTGTCACCATTGTTGGACCATCATCACCGCCACCACTATTAGCATTGCGCGATAATCACCATCACCATCATCATCACCATCATCGTCATCATAATCATCATCGTCGTGGTCGTCTTCATCATAGATAGCGACTTTAATCTATTTATTCAGGCTGCTGGTACCAAATAATACTGATAAACTTATGGCCCTCAACATCCTAATTTAGCTGTGACTATAACCTCTTAATGTAAAAGCTTCCAGAATCACTTTATTTACTAATTATTTCATAGGTGTGGCCATATTTACTGGGACACTACAAGTTCGGAAGTACACCCAGAGATCGCCAAGAAACCGACATAGCTGCTCAAAACGAGTTCCGTTCCATTATGGAGGAGTGGAAAGATGTAGAAAGCGTTATTCAACAGCAGGAGAAAGAACACGAGGTGGACGGCATCTCCATGGGCAGCACTGGAAGCAGGGACGAGGTTTATGAACAGTTAGAAATGATCCACAATGGGTTGGAAAAATCCGAGGCTTTCACTCACCAGAGAGTGAGTATTGAAGAGCCTGAAATCGAAGGACTTGATGAAGCTGGAAAGGCTAGATTAATGAACGGTCAGCTCATTATTCCACACCAAAACGGCGACGATGCCGAGAGCGGCTGTTGCAGCGATTGTGGAGAAGAAAATGTGAAGATTACGTCCGCTTTAAGAACTTGCCAGAAATGCAGTAAGAGTTTTGATTCCGTTGCGGAACTAAACGGCAATGCTACTGGTCATATTCCCAATGGACATGGATCGAGACACAACTCAGAAAAAGACTCCGATGGAGACATAGACAGCCCAATATACTGTAAACAGTGCAGTCGGACTAGCAATGGATCTAAATCCTCGTGTCCATATTCAGTGAGTTCCATTTTGTTTTGTTATTTTCTCAATTTTAAAAACCGTTATAAAATATGAAAAAGGCTGGGAAAAGCTATCGTTACAGTTAACGATGAAAAAAAAAAAAAAATTAAAAAACACTCTACTCTTCACCCTAACGACCCGTTTGAAGAAATTGATGTCATATACTTACACGTGAATGTCGTAGACTCAGGGATTTTGATACTTTTCTTTGCTGATCTGTTAACAAATATTTTTTAACTTGTTACTTGAATACCCAGACTTTAGTATTTTTTCCCTTGATCTCAATTATATAGGAGCGTAATGAACAGCACCACAGGAAAGCACTGCTTATGTCTTCATGAACGAACTTCATGAACATACAGTCTCAATCTGATAAAAGTAGGAACCAACTGGTACAACAGAACAAAAAGTACTTTTTGAGAGTATTTTTCGATAGCTTTTCACTTTAGGACTTTATCCACAGATGCAAAAGTTTCAACTACCTTGCACACCATAATAAACAGTACTACAGAAAATTACATAACCATTCTGACAAAGCTAAGAATCGACTAGGACAGTATTTTTATGTAGCTTTCCCAGTAGGATTTCATCCACTGTCTCAAATGCTCCAACAACCTTGTGCGGCGTGATGTACAAATACTCCTAAGTAGCTTTCATTTGGATAGTCTTACATTTGATTAGAATTTCATCAACAGACAGTCAGTTGTTCTAATCGTCTTTTCCAAAATGACGGAAAATTCGCCACTTTAGAAACGAGGGAGCTAGAGCCGAAATGTTTCCCGCAATTGTTTCTGGGATCGTTACTGGGGACGCACCGCTCAGCTATTGGACAATTTTTTTCCCTTATCCATAGTAACAGTCCCAAAAGTCTTTGCAAGTTATCTCGGCCCAGTTTCCTTCTCGTTTGTAAAGTGGCGAATATTTGACCCTGTTTTCAGGATCTAACTCCTTATCTCTTTTCTTCGTAGACCGAACTCCTTGATGACTTCGGATTGAACCTTCACCGCATTGAGAAAGACGTGCTAAGATGCGACCGGAATTATCCGTATTTCACCCACGAAAACCTCAATAAACTACGAAACGTTATCAGCAGGTAATATTTGACATCATCTTTAGAAGACAGTATTAGACGAGTTTCTCACTTGTGTGAACAAATTCAATAACTGTTTTTTCTCGTCGTCTACCTCACAACCCTCGTTCCCAGGGTTCTCTCTTTCTGGCTCCAGGGAACGAAAATTCTGGTTTGTCTGTCTAAAGTCACGTCAACGATTTGTCTTGAAAATTCTGCGACGGCTACATAATGTTAAGGTGGCTCGATGGGGTTTTTTTTCGATTTTGTTAGTCGCATTCTATTCTGGGGATTAATAGACTGTCTGTAATCACCTTTTAAATACCTCAGTCCGGAGTTTTGACCTAACCTTTCATACCCGACCGGATTTCGTTTATCGGAAAAAAGAGAGCGTTTTTTCTCAATCATGTGAAAACCGAGGTATTAAAAAGAATGCTTACTTTCTCCACTATTTTGGAGCCTGGTACAGGCCATTAAGTGATTTATGTTGTAATAGTTGTAACTTTTTCAATCTGTAGTTACGTCTGGAAGACCCTGGATGTTGGTTATGTTCAAGGAATGTGTGATCTTGTTGCGCCCCTTCTTGTCATCTTTGATAATGGTAAGTTACGTGCCAGCCTTCATAGGACGCATGCGTCAGTCTATAAACGTTTGAAAGGATGGGTTATAGAATTTAGCCCACTCGCCCTTGAACCGCCTGTAAATCGCCCTGAACCGTCCCCAGTCGTCTCTTTGTCTCTCATTAATATTTACGAGAGAAACGCGGTCAAGGGGAGCGCGTGGGGTGATGGGAAGGAGGAAAGAGGGTCTCCCTTTCGTTATTCTCCTTCCCATCACCCCTCGCGCTTCCTTCGGTCACGCTTCTCGCGTTCAGTTCCTGCATCCAAATGTAGATAGAGAAGAATGGGTACGAGTCAGGTAACCGCTCGTGCTGAATCCACGTCCCTTGTACCGTTTGTGACGTCATCAGCTTTAACGGTCAAGGGCAACTTTATCTTCTTACTTGTGTGAAATTTTACACTCAGTGCATGACCGAACTTTGAAAGCTGTTACTTTGCATCTGAAACAGAAGGCCGTGAAGTGCTCGACCTTTAAACGGCGTTTTGGGCATGTTTAGCTCTTTATAGCCAGACAGTGATCGGAAAGTGGCTCGACTAGTTTCAAGAGGTGTTTTCTGCAAAATTCCCAGAAGCGAATGGTTGGAATTAAAATGAATGTGACCATTCAGTTAAAACGTCGTTGCATTGTCACATTGGTTTTACCACAGCTAGCCCTCACATTACAAGGGTTTGTATGGGGATTCCAGCGATCGCCATCCAAGAGTTAAGAAGGGTAATAAAAAGGTGCAGAATTCCCTGCCTTGGTTGCCATTTGTTATTTATTACGTACTTCTGGCATTTTTGGCCGTTTCAGAGTAATTCCAGCAATTTTTAGTTGTGCCTAACCTGCGAGAGTAGGCGCATTGTTAGTTTTTGGTTCAGCGCGTAAAATGAAGCTGAAAAATGCGTCTGCTATCGCAGACGAAGTTGTGCCGTTTTTCGTGGAATCTGACCAGAAAGATAAATAAAAGAATGACATAGTCCTTTTCACCAACGTTGTTGTCATTTTTTTTTCCTTTTATCACAGAGGCGATCACTTACAGTTGTTTTGTGGATCTTATGCAAAGAATGAACAACAATTTTCCCCACGGTGGTGCAATGGACACTCATTTTGCCAACATGAGATCGTTAATTCAAGTAGGTTTACTTATTTCTTCCTGCTAGTTAGTAGTTTTTGGATTGGTGTCTCTGTCATGAAATTAAGCGAAATTCTGTGTACATTCCGTAATGTTATAATGCACCAATGAAGAGAATTTGTTTGAAAATCTAGCCTACACTATAGGCGCATTTAGGGCGGGCGGAATCTGCTTCTTTCAGTTCGTATTGCCCTGCCCACTGTCTTTGTTAACAGAGGAAAATTGGGGCGAGTAGAAATTGCAGGACTTAGGGTAGGTGTCGGGGCAAACGAAGGAGGTAGGGGGGAGGGGGAAGGGAGAGTAAATACGGTTTTCATTTTCTCTCCAGGCCCCTTCCTCTTTGACTCGCCCCAACTCTTTGACTTTTTGGAATTTAATATTATGGTTACGCAAGTAGAATTATTCTTTAATAACCTCCAATGCAGGGTATTGAAAATTAGGATATTCCATCGCTGGGAATCGTTTGCTGTATTTTCATTGCCATTCCCTAAAGTGTTATCACTGCACAGACAGACGTTATATAAGTATCACTGTTGGACCCTAACGTTTAAAGGGCCCTAAACATTTAAATTATCCGCTTGCTTTCTCCTCGCGTAGATCCTGGACCCAGAGATGTTTGAACATCTTCAGCAGAATGGTGACCTAACGCATTTCTACTTCTGCTACAGATGGTTCCTGCTCGACTTCAAAAGAGGTATGTACAGCAATTCAAATCCTTTCCTCAAGTCGTCGTTGTTCAGACTTGCAGAATTTTTTCTATTTACATCATTGCTCTTTTTAAGTCTGATGTCATCGTATGACGTCATAGGCCGTACTGAGACTGCTCGGAAGACTGGGTTGGTGTTGGTGATGTCATCGTATGACATCATATGCCATATTGAGACTGCTCAAAAGACTGGGTTGGTGTTGGTGATGTTATCGTATGACGTCATAGGTCGTACTGAGACTGCTCGGAAGACTGGGTTGGGGTTGTCGAATTCGCCACTTCAGAAACGAGTTATCTTTCGAAAAGACTTCTGGGATTGTTTCTAGGGACGGGTGAAAATATTAGCCAATAGCTGAATAGCGCGTCCGCAGTAACCATCCCAGAAACAACTGGACACATTTTAGCTCCAGTTCCCTTTTTGTTTCTTAAGTAACGAATGGAAATAACACTGTCTCAGGTCAGGGTACTTACCATTTAACTATATTTATATCTGCAGCGACTTTCCGTTTCTTCAATAAATACCTCGAAGAAAAACGGCTTGTCCGTTCGAAATATAGGGAATACTCGAGTCTTTATTCTTTATTATTGCTGTTTTGTTATTACAGTTCATTGGTCTTTGTTAAAGCAGCAAGATTTGGATACCGTCATAATTATAAAAGTCTCTACTTGCCGTTTACATAAACAATTCCGCTTGGAAAGTCAAATGGTTAGACCCAATCCGTGTCCAATTTTATGGTTTTATGTTTATGCACAAGATTTCCACGCGGTTGGCTTGTGTAAATGGTAAGCACCCTGAGTCTCTCACGTAAACCACAAAATTGCTAATCAGGCAATGGCACAGCCTAACTACGCGATCCTCGTCACTCGCAACTGTTCATAGTTGAACTGTTCTCTTTTTTTTCTTTCAGAACTCGTTTATGACGATGTGTTCGTGGTGTGGGAAACAATTTGGGCCGCGAGACATTGCACCTCCGAACATTTTGTTCTTTTTATCGCCCTCGCTTTGCTCCAGTTTTACAGGTAAGAAAATCGCTCGATTATTGAGACCCTCTTAGAGGGTTTACATATGTCTCTAGTCTGAATTTCAAAACCTCTCGTTTCGCGTTTCGAGGAGGAAGCTATGTGACTGTCAGTATTTTACTATTTTATTTGCTCTTTTCTCTGTCGCTGTCACAGCTTCAACCCATCTTTGTGTCGTTTGTCGCCACTTTTGCTCCCCTGTGTCGCTGTTTCAAAGCCTTGTCTCTTGTGGTATTCATTTTTCTATCTTCAACTCTCTCGTCTCTGACAAGCAGGTAAAAAATGGCCCGGTCCTTATGAAACCTTAGGTTTCCACCACTTGAGAGCCGAGTCTTATTATTTTGTGTTACTTTTCTTACTTTAGAGATATAATTTTGGACAATAAGATGGACTTCACAGATATTATCAAGTTTTTCAACGGTAAGTCAGTATGAAAGTTCTCTTCCCCCCTCCCCCACTAATATGTTGCTTATGTTGCAAAGTGGCGTTTGCGATCGGTATTCGCAACTGAAACGAGAAGGAAACTGGGCCGAGTTAACTTGCAAAAACGTCTGGACCTGCTACCAGGGACAGCGGAAGGACAGCGGGTCCAAAGCGGGTCCCTAGTAACACGGTCCCAGAAACAATTGCGGCACCCATTTCGGTTCCAGTTCTCTACTCTTTTTTCTAAAGTGGCAAGAGAGGATAAACCTCTCTTTAATGTGGTGAATTCATTTCGTTTTGCCTTTCCTAATAAGGCCTCCAAAATGAGTTTTTTTCCTTGTAACTTACAGAAATGGCTGAACGTCATGATGCGAGAGCTGCTCTAAGTGTGGCGCGGGGACTGGTAGCTAAAGTTCAGGACCTTATCAAGAACCAGTAAAACAGGAATTATTACCAGCTGGTAAAACAATACGAAAAATTATATAGGGAAAGTACTATTAGAAAATTCTGCTTTAAATTATTGGACCAGCCGCGTGCTGTAAACTGCATTTACTTCGGCCCCTCTGTATATTTTAGTCCTTTTGCCCTTAAATAGATTGACAGACAGTGCAAGAGGTTATTTTAAATTAACTCTGAGGGGTCGATTTGACTTAAAACTTATTTTGTAACTTATTTGGAAAAAAAATTCACAGTCCAGTAGAATTTGAGTTTGAGATAACTTCGACGGTGTGACAGTAACTCAAACTTATGAGATATCTATATGCCAATTATCTGCCGTTAGGTGATATGTATGTACATAGAAGAGAGACGTAAATATTAAGTTTCGTGAATATATTGTTATTTGTAAAAATATTTTGAGGATACGTTATACAATCCGTCAAGGGTACATTGTTAATGTATTAGGTTCAGTATAATGTTGAGAACCTGTGGAGGGGTAAATTTTATTAATGCGTAGAGGAAAGCACTTATCTGAAAGCCTTACAATTGTAGATATTGTTACTAAAGTTAAACTTGAAATATTTAAGCCATGGAAAAGGAACCCACTCCATTCGTAGTATTTATGTCTTGCGTAGACCACTTCTGTGCTTGCATGTTGAATGATCCAGCCGCAGTTACCCTTCAGAAAGATGATTTCTTTGCTTGCTTGTAGAATTTGTAGCAAGAAAAAAGTGGGTGTTCTGCGCACAGCCTGACACAGGCCTACCAGTATGATACAGTCATACACTCGTGTGGTCGTCACGCAATGTAGTCGTCGCGCGATGCTCTTATGTATCGAAAAGTATTGCGTTACGATCGCTTCAGAAGCCACAAAAACTTTAATCCAAACAAGCAATCCTCATAAAATGAATTAAATTAAATTGAATTTAACCTGTAAGGGAAATTCCCTTAATTGGGGACAAGGGACTCGTGAATGAGGCTCATGACGTACCAGACCTTATTTGTGAGCTCTTGCAGTTTCACAGTAGGGATAGCTTATGTGCATCCACTGATTGGTCGCACAACTGGGAAGTATTGTATAGTTCGCACCTTTAATAATTATGTGTAATGGCGTTCTTGCTGGTTTTAAAGATTAGGTCCTGAAATCAAGTTGACTGGGCTGGTTCCAACCCCTCAATTGTTTTCATAGACTGCAAAACAGTCCGTATTTTTGCATATTCAAGAACGCGCCAGCGGAGAGCGAGACTGGGGAGAGACGCCAAAAATATGGGCGTGTGAGGCTCGCGCGCTTGGCACGTGTGAGACTCTAAAGCTAAGCTAAACCGATTTTGAGAAAAAAACCGGCTATTGTAGTGTTTGCGCAAGCATCAAACGCTAAGGTAGTAATGATCGGCTCTAAACAGGAGCCCATGTCTACACTTAACTATTTCTCTAAGTGTTGGTTGCAGGCGTCGATCCCTAAACCATCAGCCTCTGGACGTTATTCCTTGAACCATTTTTTTCACGTTCTCAGACATTAACATTGGCCTCTAAACTTTCAGTAACCTGCAAGCAACTTCTCCATTTGGGGGAGTCGCGAGAAGTCACGCGTGAGCAGCACGCGAAAGGAGACCCGAGTGCCAGGGGCGTTTCTCGCTCGTTTTCTCGCGGCTCGCTTTGCTCGCCATAAATGGAGAGCTTGCTAGCAGGCTAAACTTGCAGAATATTCAGTACTGAGTGTTCAACGTTTAGCGCTTTATCTCTGTCCTGTGCAGGCGGAAAATGCAGACCATTAAAATAAAACTCTTGCAGCGTAGAATTCCCTTCTGAGCTGGTATCTCTGACAGACTGTGATAACCTACGTTTAATTATCTCCCCCATCACTATGAACAAGACCGTAAGAATAAGGCCGTGAAGTAGTCAGTTTTTTCTGCTTGTAACGAAACTTTTTGTTTGAAAAGCACTTAGTTAACTTTCATTTACTGCGCTATTTGAAAAAGAAATCTAGATGGTATAAACTTCCCGCGCCCGCTGCCGACGCTTCGCATAGTTGTTTGTTTGTCTTCCACAGAGCTCAGTTGTGACATTCACTCAGCCCATGTTCCTTTTCTTAAAATTTATTTATTTTTATAGCACTTTCTATAAACGCGTTGTAGAATTTTAATAGGGAGCTTAAGTAACAACGACGGCAACGGCTACAAAAACGTCACTTAAAAAGTGAATTCGCACCGTTTCAAACTTTATCGCGCTTATTCCATCTCGTTTACTTCGTCAAATGTTGGCAAATGTTTTTGGAGTTGAATTCTAGAGGTCGGTATCAAAGTTCAGGAAAAGAGAAGAAAGTTGTTGTCTTGTGTTCCCGTCCTCGACAAAACGTGAATTCAGGCACTTTCACGTTGCAGTCGAGCAACGACGGCAAAGAAATGTACAAAAAAGGCGTGATGCACGTGCAAAGTTGTTGTTTTGCTAATCAAACCTTTTGCTTTTTTGTCGTTCTCGGTGCCGTCCGCGTCGTCGTTGCTTAAGCTCGCTAATAGCTTTTTTTCGAGTTGCACAAAGTCTCTTTATTAAAGCTTTACTTTGTGCACAACCGTTGGAATGAAAATGAGTTTTAAAATTTGCGTGTGGGTAAAAGCTTATTTTTTGTGAAAGGATGAACGCGAGGATTCGCTTAAAAAAAGCCCATAGGCAGGTCGAAAGGTGGCCTATTTAAGTATTCTTTTTTTTTCTACTCGTTGCTAAGTTTCTTCGTTTCGTCATATTTTTACCTCTTGATTAAAAAAGCTCAACACCATATATGGTGATGAAGCTTTATATATTGGTCACGTGACTGTGTTCTGTGTAGGGCTGTTTAAAACCGAATTTCTAGTGAGGAATGCAACGTTTGCACGGACATGGCTTCATTTTGCAACCGTGGTATTTGCTTTTAACCCTTTAAGTCCCAACAGTGAGCAAGATCAATTTTCTCTTAACGATGTCCATACAATTTCAAGAGATTAGATTCTCTCAACTCATATCAGATCAGTTTGGAGAATTTGTACGTGTATATTGGGGCTTCAAGGATTAAGACGGCTGTTGAATACGGGTCAAAAGAGTTACCCAAAGACTCTGTTTCACAGCGAGGCTAAGTGCGAAGCTGTCGATACGAAAATGATTTTTTTATTCTCACGCAAATTAAACTCATTTTCACAAGAAAGGTTTTGCATTTAGCCTCGTCCTCTTGAAAGTGAGAGTTTTTGGAACTCGGAAATGGCTTAAAAGTAATCATAATGTTCATATATACTGGAAACAGTGAAACTGAGTTGCTTTTCAATTTTGCTTCTATCTGAATCGAATGCTTAAAACAAGTCCATCTAAACACCTAAGCCCTGTTCACACCACGAAAACATGTTTAGTTAAACCAGGTTTAACATAATGAAAATGACCAAAAGAAAACCTAAGAACTGGCTTTTACATAGAGCTCGAGAAAATTTCGGCTATTCTTTAATTTGTGCCAAATTTGTAAGTGAAATAATCATTTGGTAGCTTTTATGAAGGAAACAAATTTAACCCGTAATTAACTAAACAGCATTTCAGGGGTTTAAGGTTTGGTGTGAACGGGGCACAAAACTGTTTTAGTTCCAGAAATCGTTTTAATGTGAAACTACGTCCGTGTAAACCCTGTCTGAACATAATGACTTCCCTTAAAGTATTGAAAAGAGAGATGTAAAAATTGATAACAGACAATAAAGTGTAACACAAAATGAAATCTGCCGTTTTGTTAAAATCTACGTCGCTGTGATAGCCTGCAAGCAAGCTTTCCATTTGGGGCCAAAAACTCACTTACCATTAAAGACATTAAAACTCTCCGTCGACCACTTCCCGTTTTCTACTGAGTTTGCAAGGACATTTTAGTTACAACCCTCCGCCCCAGGGAACCCTATACACGAGGATTGATTTCCGCTAGCAGATGAGAACCGAACCAACCTTGACCGCAGGGTACCCAGGCTCACAACTGCCTACTTGCAGCAGTTATTAGCCTGTGAATAAAGCCATCTCTTAAAGGATATGTATGGGAATTTATCGTCAGTTCGATAAAACTGTACGTAAAAAAGAACATCTTTATTAAACAGCCAAAAAAGTGTACATATCGATACATAAGTCATAAAGAGACCGAAAGTGGTGTAGTCGGAAATGTCAGCCAGAATTTCAGTCTATTGTAAGAGATGTATGCCTTTACTTTGTTTTTGTTGTTGTTTTTGCTTTTGTTTTGTTCTGTATTTTTTTCATTGTTTCCTGCCCCATGCACATGAACTTTTTTAAAAATTTCTGAATCTCTCCTTGATACCATTCGCCTTCGGCAAATACTCGGGGCACCTCGCGAATGTTCGGAAAATTACCCAAAAGTCCGAACCTTGTTTTGTCCCAAGCTTCGCTTAGACGAGGAGACGAAGGCCTAGACGAGGACAGAAGGACAAACGGCAGCACAATGTGGCTCTCCGCAATTCTTTTCTCTTTTTTCCTCACACTCACTTTCTGTGAGGAGAAAAAGGACACCGACAAGGGACCTATCGTGAGAGCTCGCTTAGAGGTTTGTTAATTATAAAGTTTTATCAGTTGTATTAGTTTTATGGAACGTGTTTTTAATCCGTTGCAGTTCGTCCATCTGAGCCAGTCGGCTTTTTAATGCTTTTCCAGCTTTTCCTATTCAAACTCCTTTGTTCTTCCCCATCTGTTTTAAATTGTAGGTAGGTCAAATTCAGAGGGAAAGTCAGTATTCTTAAACGTGTTCCATATAGTTGAGTCTTGTGGTATAAATTGTAAACTTCGTGTCCCTAGTTCATCCTGGCGTGTACCAGCGTGTACTACACGTGTCTGCTACACAATAAACCTAAAGCAGTACAGCTTGGTTATTTTTAAATCGATTTATGTAAGTGTTAAAACACAGTCCTCTTTTTGAGAAAAAATAAAATGGGCATGGGTTTACATTATTCACCTTTTTTGCTGTTATTATTGTTCAGCTATTAAAACTGACGTGGCAGATGGATATGTTATCGTTCCTTCTTCCTTGTGTCTGTATTGACTTAAGGGAGGGAATGGTGATAGGGGTCAGGTAAGAGGGGGAAGGGGTGCAAAATTTAACAAAAAAGAATAGATCGGGGCCGCATGAGTCACCAAAAAATGACTCCTGTATGTATACTGAGACCTTTACAGGTTAAGAAACTAAGAAGTTTTCACCATTCAAATGTACATGTTTGTGGCTATGGTTATTCTTTGGCATTAAACCTATGCAATGAGGATGAGTCATTGCTCTGACGAACGAGAATACAAATGCTTTGTCATTTGACGAGCTGAAAGTAATCTCTGATTACCACTAGAGTCAAGGGTAATACCATGTTTATGTTGGGTTTCAATTATATTTCCTTGGGTTTAAAGGTACTTTTCCTTGTTTTGGGTATGGTAATTTCTGATGTTGAGTTTGAAACAAAGGAACATGAAATTTCAACCATGGATAGAATTGGACCACAACAGAGCAATACCTTTGTACACACTGCAGGTACCTGTATACCCTTGTGCACCAATTTATATGTTGTGGTTCAATTTTTTCCTCTGTTGAAACTTTCCTTTCCTTGTTTCAAGCTCATCATTCATTACCATTCCCTAAAAAAATATAGACCTTAATTTGCTACTAAGTTACCAATTCTCCTCTGTAGCATTCTCCATGATGCACTTTGTTCCCCTCCTTAAATTTTGCATCAAGTATTGTTTTCAATTTCCCTTGTGATTAATGATTTCCCCTAAAGATATTGAAAACAATATTTATGGAAAATGTTGTTGTAAAGAGTACTGTGAGATTACTAACCTACATCCTTTTGTTTTATTCTTAGACCTGTGGTGGATGACGTTTAAATCGTCTTCCAGAGGTAGGATGTAATTTCCCTGTGAGGAGAGGTCTCATGGTGAGACAAAAATGAGAGGAAGGAGAAAGACTCTCTCAGATCTCCTTCCTTTCATTTTTCTCTCACCATGAAAGACCTCTGCTAGCAGGGAAAGATGTAATAAGTCAATGAATCCAAACAATATTTTTGAATAGTTTGTCAAACTTCTGGACATTAATTTGTTGTTGTGTCAGTAGTTTATGTTTCCTTGTATTGCTAAGCAGTGCTATTTTCCTAATTTAACCCTAGTATGGGCATTTTTATGTCTTAACTTCTTGTAAATCTTATCAAGGGAATATAACAGCATGATATCTTCACACATAAAAATAGCATGTTATCTTTGTACATGAAAAGATCGTCACTGCTATGGCTAAATGATAAATTGCACTTTTCACAGCAAAAAAAATATTCAAGTGAAATGGTTTGGTATTTCATTGGTGTTTATGTAATACATAGAAAATTGCCTCTCCACTCAGCCGAGTGATATTCTTTAAGTATGACACATTTTTAAAATGTTGCTTATAAACACAGGTGAAGGCCTTCATTAGAATGCTGTTACCTCACTAGTATCCTTTTATGAATAACAACTAGGGAGAATTTCTCTTTAAAATGCATTTAATTTTGCTTTTACTTTGCTTAGCATCTACATGTTAGCTGTTGCCTGTATTTTTATTATATTTGAAAAGCATGCTTTTTAAGGCTATATCACTGAGTCAAATTTCACATCAATTTTGTCCATGTGAAGGTCATGTACCACACAGGAGACCGCATGGTTGAGGGGTTAGAGTGCTGGACTTGTGATCCGGAGGCTCTGGGTCCCGTCCTGACCGCTAGTGGATTTGTTTTGGTAGTACCGAGTTCAACTCCTCAGCCACACTTGTAAAATAGCCAAGTTGTATGCCTCCTAACAGCTGGGATTCTTAACCATGTTATGTTCCATTTGACCTAATGGTTTCATTATACCTGGAAAGCCCCATGAGGGGAGAGGATAATTTTTAAGTATTTAATTTAATTAATAAATGTATTAATCCAATACTGACTATAAGGACATTTCAGTCATTGTGATTTATTCATTTGTCAAAATATTTATTGTATCTTACATAATCCTTAATTATTTGAAGCCATGATGTTAACATCATGTATATTCCTGGCAAAGACCCTGCGATGGTCTTCTTGAATGCCAAGAACAAGGTGGTACTGGTATGTATGCCATTCAGTTCGTATCTTTGTCACTTAAATTGTATACTTTGCAGCTACTTCCCCTTGTCACTTTTCAGGCAATGGGCTCTTGGTGTCATATATTTTGTGGTTTAGTACCAAAAAATTTAGTGGCTATTTAGCAAATCAACTCCATTTTGCTATGTGTCTGTTCAGTTATTGGACTTAGATCACAGATTGTTAAGATGTTGTTACAAAAAAAAGGGAGCCTTGCAGAGTAGCAGGTGGATTTTGCCGACAGCTTGTTCATATATAAAACCCTAGCTTGGATTGAAAACTGTTTTCTTTTTCCTCACTTGTACACATAGGATAGGACTGGAAAAACGTCCTGTCCAGTAGTCCAGGACAAGTAGATTTTCAGTTATTTTACAGAAAAAAGTCGCTGGGTGCCCCTGACAGCTGTACTTGCTATGATCGTAGGCTTCCAAAAAAGTTCCATCCAGTAGTCCAGGACAAGTAAATTTTCTCGCTGGGCAAGTAACTTTTAAAGCTTGCTTGCCCAATAGGCAAGGGACCAGGCAAGTCATCCTCCAACGAAATTATAGACTAAGACAAGCAAGAAATGGCCTCAAGCAAGCAAAATGTAATTAAGCTTTTTGCCTAAAGGGCAAGTTGGAAGTCAAGACTGTTTTTTTCAAGCCTTGAAGAGGAGAATCCGCGTACTATTTTTGGTGTTTGTTTTTGTGTTCCAGGAAGAAGATGTCTCCGAGAAAAGTAAAGAAGAAATCTGCCAGATTTTAGAAAAGCATGGCATGATGAAATCAGAAGTAGCTAGGGATGAAGTTCCTGAAGAACCAGAAGAGGAACTAGAGGAGACATATGAAGAAGAAGGGACTTGGGGTGAGGGTCAGGAGACTGGAGATGAGGAAGAGGAGGAGGAGGAGCCTGAGGATGAAGAGGGAACTGAAGGGCCTGGAACTGAAGAACATGAAGATGAATTTGATGCCCCTGAACACACTGAGCTTTAGATTGACACATGCAAAAGTAAATTCAAGGGTAGTCTCAAGGGAGATGAGGAAACAATAATATTATTATACACACAGTAGGTAGACATTTGCAAATTCATATTTCAGTAGGGTACTGTTATCCAAATACGATAGATTCAGGCCATTCAAACATGAAAAAAATAGGACATGTCTTACACAAGACGCAGCTTAGGTAAGATAGAAACTTCCCATAGAAAATAAATGGCACATGTCATCTGGAATAAGACATGACTTAGCTACAATGCACCTTATCTAAGAACAGCTAGTAACACCTGTTCTTTATATAAGCTGTTCGAGTCTTGCGTAAGACAAGCCCGTATTAATGTTACGGTTAAAATCGTATTCAAGATGCCTCTTATGTGAAGCACGTCTTATTTTTCCTGTTATAAATGGCCCTATTGTTTGTTCCTGATATAACTTTGAGGTTGTGTGCTATGACTGACAAGTCTCCAACTTGGTCTCATTTGTATCCATTATAAAAATGTGACTAAACTTACCTATTGATTTCCTAGAAAAGCACAATATAAAATTTTGTGTGATCTTTGTGGATATTAATAATTAATCTGTCCATTTGGATAGTAAATGATGAATATTTAATTTAGTTTATCCACTGACAAATTAAATAGTACTGAGTTTGAGATAACAGCATTCTACTGTAAAAATTATATATCATGACACAAAATGTAGCCAAAAGTGTCACATAAATACATGTACTGTACTTGAAAGCAGGATTTGCAGGTATTCCAAAGCTTTCCAGTCAACCTTGACCTTAAAAGCTTTTCAAGAGTTAATGATGCAGCTGTGAACAAATCATTTTTGAATGTCACACTTGCTGAAGAACCCTCTTGTTACTTTATAAGAATGGGATTTGCTGTGAGAGTTATTCAAGTGCTTGTAATTCCAAAATAAAGTACAGAGATTGCATTGAAGTGGATAATTTTATTTATCTGCAGTGCACCTGTTGACAAAGGGGTCCAAAAACACTGCTAATATTATGAGGTAAAAACAAACAAACACTTTTAGCTTCTAATAATATTTGATTTCTTTTTTTTTTTCTTACATCAGTGCCTTATAACAGTCACTTAGTCTGAGTTAATTAATGTGTACCTCATCACTATGGTCCTCTGATACATTTGTTGCACTCGTATCCATATCAACAGGACATGTAAAATGTTCAAAGCACTTATCTACAAAATATCATGACTGTATGCATGTGGCGCTAACACACACTCCCACGTCAAATAATATTGAAGGCCATGTTTGTACCTCTTTTCACAATTTACCAGTGCTGCAAGTATTCCTTTCACTGTGAGTGCCAACTCTTGGCTTTCTTTTCTAGAAGCCACAGATCAAGTCATATCATACTGTAAAGGGAATCCCTGGCCCTCAACTGACAGTGTATGAAGGGGATGGAATAAAGCACTGAGTAATCGCTGCTTTAATGCCCAAAAGGGGTATTTGGGGGTGGGCTTCAGATGTATCAAAGGGTAGGGAATTCATGACTTGAGGTATTTGAAAGTGTAGGAAAATCTATTAAGTATTCAAGAGGGCCATAAATTATAGCCATATCATTTTAATCCATTCACATTACACCAAAATGACTAGAAGACTTTCTGATTTAGTGACAGACTTTTACCATTTTTTAATGGATGGTATATGGAACAGGCACCTTTTCTGTCAAAATGGTATATAAAAGGGGTTAAGGAGTTAAGTTCCCCCCCACTCATATGCATTCCTTTTGATTCACAAGCTAATGAAGCCTAACTGAAAGAAACATCGAGCAGTTTATCCTCTCTCCTCAAACTAAAGGTTATCTGTAACTTCTCAGGTTTCTTCTTCATCTGGTGACTCATGATCTTGTAGACACTCTTCCAGAAATGCTGTAACCATGTCTAAAAATTCCTGCGGTTTTTCCGCATGTGGCCAGTGTCCACTCTCTGCTATAAATTTAATGCCTGCTCTAGGAAATAATTTGTGAATGGCTGGATAATCTTCTACCCTATAAAGAAATTTCAAATACTTACTAGTTAGAGGGAGGACTTTATTCTACTGCACATAGATTAGGGTGAAATGTTAAAGCTGAATTAGCATATGCTACCCCTAGCCTCTTGCCTTCTGTGTTTGTATCGCACTTAATTGTGTTTGGATAAACAGGACTAACTTGTTATGCAGGTGAAAATTGATTTTGTGTGCAGCTTTACCTGATTTATAGTAGACTGTTTGTTTGAACACTTTTCTTTCGCATGCACTAAATGGTCAAAGAATATTAATTTTATTAATTATATTGAGTCAAAGGTTCTTATTTTTCCTCAGTGGGCAAGGAACGCATCAAGTGCCAAATAACTTATTTCCTCAATGCTCGAAGAATACTTTGAGTTAAATGCAAATTACTAAGCTCTGGTCAGTATCAATACATGACTAATGTAAATTTTAATGCCTAAAATGTGCTTTCTCCATAATGATAGTGTTTGGTATAATCTTACATTTTATTCTCTAAGCAAATTCAATAATTCCACTTCTAATTCCAGCACTCACCGTTATATAGTACATTATATGGTACCTAGTGAAAAATAGTACTATGGGTATTTATTTACTTCTTTAACTTACCGGACATAGTCTGATCTAGCACCGCCAACAAAAAGAGCTTTTCCATTGAAGTGTTGATGTGGGAAATCTGTTGGGAAACTGGACACTTCAGGGAGGTTGTTTTCCAAAGCTTCTAGATTGATTCTCCATCTAAATCCAGTTTCTGTCTTTACGAGATTTGTCAAGAAAAATGACCTCAAAAATGAGTTCTGCAACACGAAAAGCCCATTGAGATTGACATGACATTCACGTATTTACATGCAAAAGGCTTGACAAATTAAAATTGGAGCAGCTGTAGCTCTTTGGAATGACCATCTCTGCTGTTGGCCGATATTGATCTCATCACTCATGGCCATGACTAACTGCAAATAATTTGCAGAAAAAGATTTTTTACTGGTGAGTGTTTTAAGGTGGCTCTGAACCTCCCCCCACCCTCCATACTCACTGACAATTGGATTGGGGACACTCTATTTTCGGACACAAAAATGATTGATGGTATCAAAATTTTGTGAGTTTTGGAATAATGCCTTAATTGCCATATTATTATAAAATTTCTGCAAAGTGTAAATTTCAATTCTGAACCTCCCCTCACCCTCCATACTCGCTGACAATTGGATTGTGGACACTCTGTTTTCGGACACAAAAATGATTTATGATATCAAAATTTTGTGAGTTTTGGAATATAATACCTTAATTGCCATATTATTATAAAATTTCTGCAAAGTGTAAATTTCAATTCTAAACCTCCCCTCACCCTCCATACTCGTTGACAATTGGATTGGGGACACTCTATTTTCAGACACAAAAATGATTTATGGTATCAAAATTTTGTGAGTTTTGGAATATAATACCTTAATTGCCATATTATTATAAAATTTCGGCAAAGTGTAAATTTCAATTCCAGTTTACTCATGTGGAAAGTTATTTCAAATACTAGACACAGAGTTAATAAATCTGGTGTAATAATCTAAACACCTCAAAGCTGGGTTAAACAAACATTCTTGTTTCTCATTATTTTCATCCACTTCTTGGTGTCTGGATATCAGATACAAACACTGCATGTCATGTTTGACCTAATACAGTCTATACAACGCACTGTTTGAAGCAAGTAATACAGTCAACTCTTGCCTTGCTGACACCCTGACAATACAGAGGGCAGCTAAATCCTTACCAAAAATGAATTATAGATATTTGACTGAATTAAATAAACTCCTGCTATTACAGACTCTCACTAATGAGGACGCTAATTCGAGGTCCCCATAGTATCCGCTATAGAGGGAGTTGACTGTATTACAAGGAAAACTGAGATTCAATATCGTATTTGACAACTGGAAATAATAAATTGTTAATTAATCAATTCTCATCTTGGGAAGAGTAAGTATATGATTTAACAATGTTTAAAATAATCAACTTACTGGCACTACATCCATCAACATCTTTTCAGCATCTCGCTTATCCTTAATAAGATTTAAATTCATTGCCCTCTTTGTTGCCAAATATTTTGGAATGTCTTCATCTAAATTGAGTTTAGTCGGTGACATGTCAACAACTATAAGACTGTCCACTGACTCTGGATGAGACAGAGCAAATGTCATGGCTGTTTTTCCACCCATACTGTGGCCCATAACAACAGCCTTGGTCAGTTCTAGTTCTTGAAAAAGGTGACATATATCTAAAGCCTGGAGAAAATAGTTCATTTGTGGACTGTGTTCACTTTCTCCATGGTTCCTTGCATCCACTGTTATGATCTATGAAGGAGATAGCAAAGGGTCTTTGATTATCAAAAACCCTGCAGACCCAGCAAAGGTACTGTCACAACTATTTACAATAAGTACACTAGTAGCTTCAGGATTTCAGGTAGCCTGGGTGTATAGCAAGCATTATTGCACAAGTTGGTTGAGAAAGTAAGAACATTACTACAAATTCACTCAGACACAAAAGAGGGTCAAAATATGTGGGACATGCATCACATCAATTGACAACCTTGTTCTCGTGCTATTAATAATGCTATCAACTTAGGAATTATCTATGTCATGTCTAATCATGAGTCTAGCTCACTATCATTTCATGAACTTTTTAAATTTCTTCATGTACACATGTACACCTAAGCCATCCTGAACACCCTAACTTACACCAAAATTTGCAATTTAGACTTCTTATTAATAGAGATGTGGGAGTCCCCCCTCCTCCCTGGAATAATATTTACTTCAACCAATCAGATTGCTTGAAACACTAAGATCACTTAAATATGTATATAATATATATACATATTTAATCTTACGACACAGAAGAAACTGAAGTTTCAAAGTTACCTTTCTCCCAGTTCGCTTGTGAAAGTGCCTTGCTAAAGTTCTCCAGTTTGTTTTGGATCCAAACAGACCGTGTAATATCACCAGAGGTGGTAAATCTTCTCCATCAGAGTTGGAATCAATGCTATCATAAGCTAATCTTACTGGGGGACTAACAGAAAAGTCAGTAGTGTGACTTTAGTTAAAGATGTTATACAGAGGTGTAACTATGTGCAGGGCTGTCATTTAGGGCCATGGGACAGAGAGTTCCTCTTTATACCATGAATGTGACCTCTGGCTACTTCTATAGGAAAGTGGAAGAAAAATAAAAGCAAAAGAAATCCCGAGCTGAATGATTCCCCACCTAGTTGTTGTTTTTACCCAAGAACTTGAAATTTATCTTAGTGACAGCCACCTAATTGTGTCTATTTTATGGACAAAAAGAGATAAGCAAATTTTTGACTAGGGCATTCCATTTAGTTGCCACAATTCCTTATGAAGGAGGCGACTTGACTTCAGAAGAACCGACACAGTCTCACCCTTGGGAAATAGGAAATTTTCCCCATACCCCTATGAAGTATTTCACAGATTAAAGTTGCCGATAAAGCCACCCCTCAGAAATAACTTTCGGAGACCCCCTTAATAGGAAATCTTCATCCATAAGGGTGGGGGATATCAAATGGAATGACCCACCACTTTTTTAAAATTATTATACAAATTAGGTAGCATAATGATACCCAGGGAAGGTTATTCCTAGTAACAGACTTATGGGGATGTGCTATGACTGGAATGGGGTTACATTTTCATAAGTGACTTACCATTAGAAAACTTATTGGGGGCGGGGGCAGGCGAAGTACCCAAAAAAATATGCACACAAGGGAGAATTAAATGAAAAAAAATTCATGCACGCCAATTAATCCTAAAAAATATTCATGCTATGGCCTAAGAAAAAATTCATACAGGGAAAAAAAATTCCTGCTGCTCGAAAATCCCCCCTCCCCCACAACTTTTCTTATGGTCCGTCCCTAAGAATTTCTAGAATGGGGTCGCACATTTTCGGGATTTTGGGGTTGAGAATTTTTTTTATATCTAGGAATTTGAAAGATAATGAGTGAATTCACTGCGCTTTATATGGTTGTTGCTTAAACAGATAGTGGAGTGAAAGCAAATTACATTTGCCCAAAAGTGACTAAGATGATGGGGTGTATATAAATTGACTTTAATGGTTTAGGGGTTCTGAGAGGCCTGCGGCACATACCAAGCAAACATTGACCCAAGTAGCTCCCATGGGTTAGTAAATACAACTAAATCTGCTCCTTTTAACCGTACTTCTGATCTAAAGCAGAGCACCAACGCGGAAGTTGGGAAATAAAACTTTACACATTCGATTACGAACCTTAAATCTCGAAGACATTCACTTACCTTACGGTTAAAGTACTGTACGGAAGGACAGAATTTTCATATCGTGTTACAAAACAGCTTTTGTTCGTAAATCGGCGTCCATAAACACATTGAAACAATCTTTGTAGTCGTAAGAATCTCATTTTTACAAATTATTGCAAGGCGTTCCTGAAAGATGGCCAGGTTACGTAATCAAAGCAAAATCCTTAGAAGCCAAGCCTTCCCGTCAAACTAAAGGTTGTCCCCAGGGCCTATTGAAGGCCTCACCCGAAGCTGATTTTTTTATTGGAAAGGTATAACAGGACCCAAATCTAACAAAGTTGATGTTTAACGTACTTATTCTGGGCGTTTTGTCTGTAAATATCCAAATTTTAGCACGTTTTCCCGAAGCGGAGCAAGTAAGACAGCGAAGACGCAAATAGCTGTAAATGCGTAAACGAAACTGTTAGCCAGACGGCCAGAAAGATTTCCTTTACATCATTTTGCCTTGTATGCCTCTACAGATATAAGAGGATTTTAGCCTGGAAGGTCTTTTTCTATGTTAATTAGATTTGTTACTTATAACTGGTACGCAAAGGATACTTTTTTATCGCGTCTCGTTACATTGTACATGGTACGCCTTTCTTAAATAGCAGTTTCGGTCTTTTCCGACTTTTTTATTATTTCCATTTAAATTATTTCTTTACACGTTATTACCCTCCCCCATGGATAAGTTGGAGTTCTTAGATCAAATATTAATAAAATGAAACGTCAGATATTGATTAAACACAAGTTTGTTTTATTTTGATACATGTTTTAAACAACAAGGTGATACATTAAAAACGTCAATAGGACTATAATTTAGCCTGCCTGAAAGCTTTCGTTATTTTCTTCTTTGGGTTTAATATAGTTTCTTTGTAGTCAATTACGCCTGTTGGTTTTTGTTCGTACAAACGTTATTAATAACAAATAATAAAAAAAAGAGAGGCGGCCCCAAAAAATGAAGCGGGTGGGGACGAGAAACGTTTTTTTTATTTTTATTTGGCCTAAGCACAGGTGTTTTCTAGCGACGGACCTCAAACAGTAATGAGGCTCTTTCCCTTTTCATATGCTTTGACACTATCACAATTGTGTTGCCCGAAAGTCTGGACAAAAACGCTAAAAGTCCACTTCCGGCTGTCGTCCGTCACTCTAAAAGGCCTTTGCTTCGGCGCGTTCGTAGTCCCCGTTGACGGCCTAGACGTATGAATATGGCCTGAACTGAATATTCTGCTAATTATAAACTCTCTCGATATTTTCACCGATAGAATATTAGTTTTCTTACGAAAATAAACCCCTTTCTCTGTTAAACGCCTCCAGTCTATTTAACGCCCCCTCCTGGACCCCTAGAATTAAATAAACGCTACGGGCGTCTATTAAATCATCTACGGTACAAGCAGCTGATACAAGGAAATGTCTCAAGAGTTTTATCCGACCTTGTAGCTACTTGTCAGAGTAAGGAAAGTCTAGCGTTTTAAAACGTCAACCAAGTTTTTGATGTACAAAGGATGAAAGCGGAGAGCGAGGGGGGGAGGGGGGGGAGAGTCCTGAACCCGCATTCCCGCTTCTAGCTTTTCACGACAATCCCGCATCCCAAACGTCTGTCACATCTATCCCGAATATCATTTTCTTTCCCAATACCGCATCTCTTGCCAAGATTTTGATAGCATGTGGAGCAGTCGTTTCCGTTTTTTTAAGCCAAGCGGGAGAAGAGACGCGCAAGACGGAAAGGAGCAAAAATTAAGATGAGTCGGGGGAGGGGTGGGGAACCGAAAACGCCGTTTCCTTTCCTTTCCTTCCCCGCCCCTCTCGCCCCCGCTACTACTTTTTTTGCTCCTTTTAGCACAATGCCCTTGTGCGTCTCTCGTTCTTGGATTCTTGCCCCACTTAGCTTAAAGGAAACTGAAACGACTACTACGCAGGCTAAAATTTCGGTGAATCACGCGGCTTCCCGGGTGGCGGTCAAATCCCGTGTCCCGTCAAGAAATCTTGCGTTTTCACGAATCCCGCACTACAGTTCGCTGAAATCCCGGATCCCGAGAATACCTTTGCAGACCCTGTAAGTACCCACCCAGCGATCTTCCGTGTGATCACTTGCAGATATGTTTTAGCAACCACAGTTCTTTAACTTCTTGTCTTATCTCTTTAAGCTTCCAGCAATAAAGAACTGGGTTTAATGTTGAGTTAAGGAAAATCAATGTCACTGTGAATTGCCTGAAAAAAGATATCGACTGAGAAAGGCCGCGACTCGAAAAACCTGCTAGTATACCATGTGGTAAATAAAAAATAAGTAAGGTCATCTGCAGCCACAACACACTGGTCACTGCTTTCTTGTATCGCGCCATGTTTAATTGGGTGGGTAGTTCCTCAGGAGTCGGACCTTGTATTTGATGGACTTGATTTTCTTGGTGACGGAGACCGAGGAAGATTCTTGTGTATGATAACACCGAGATTATCAAACAGAGAGTAATGCTTATTAAGCTGGCCCATATGACTGCTTGATAACTCCTCACGTACGTAAATGTAGCAGAGGAACACAGGCACACCACCCAGAATGTAGCTACGACAACCGATGTTCGCTTTAAAGTTACAATTTGCCTGTATCTTAGCCCTAAGGACAAAGCAATTAGTCTGTCAATGCTCATTGCTGTTAGTGTAAAGAGTGACACTCCACATAAAGCATACGCTATTATCAATCCCAGTAAAAACGAGTAGTAGCAGATATTCCAGCGCTCGGTCATCAAAGATGTCCAATAAACGATCGCCAGAGGTTCTGATATCAGGCCAACAAGAAGATCAGTTGCTGCTAGATTTCGAATCAGGAGTTTAGTCGGCGGATGAATCGAAGACACTTTGCGAAGGGAAATTAGAATAAAAGTGTTCCCCATAATTGTAGCAGTGGCAAGGATAGCGTTAAAAACTGATAGCAATTTTAACTCACTGTGCATTTCACTCGCAAAAGCCCCAGAACAACCGAAGAGATTTTCCGCTTTGCTGTTAGTGCTATTTAATCCATTGCCGGTTAATTCAGTGGTCGTGGTCATGTTGTTCCCTGTTATATGAAGATCTCGTTGAAGCTATAACTGCAAAATTTACTCTCCCGTAGCCTGAATTAGTATGGTCACATTACAGGATATATTGCGTCAGTTAATTCAGTGATGGTGGTAATGCTCCTCCTGCAGATCTCTTGCGCCTATACCTACAAAATGTACTGTACTGTTCCTGTAGACTCGGCCTGAATCAGTATGCTCACATGAGAATATATTTTGTCAGTTATTTTATAGTGATCGTGTTAATGTTCCTCCTGGGTATATGAAGATCTCGACTCTTTGAACATATAACTGCAAAATTTACTCTTCACGTAGGCTCGGACTAAATCACTATGGTCACATCATAATTTACCTTGTCCATCTGTTTAACACTTTAAGATTCGTTGGTACTCAAGCTGACACTAAGGATGTCTTAAGGAGATGGGCTTTCCGTATAACGAAAATAACGAAACGCTTGACTCACGCATTAAGCTAACAACCTGAAACCACCCTATACTTTCATGCATAGCTCCTATTATTGCAAAATTGGTCCGTTTCTCTGAATTATTCAGAGAGTTTTTTTTTGTAAGAAGAAAAAGCACCTGTTAAAGAAATAATATATTGTATTCAAGGCTATTGACAAAATATTTGAATTTACTCAGTATATATGAAATCCTGCGACAATAGCATCTCGTACAATTGTCTATGTCAATTGACTAGGGTTGGTTTTTAGAGCAATTAAGTACATGTATTTTCAAAATTAAGCAGACCATGAATATAAATGCCCCGCTTGTTTGTTTAGAACCTCTGACAGCTGGAGTGCTTATTTGGAAAGGCATGGGTGTATAAGTAAATCCGATCTGTTATGTTTGTTTAATACAAACGATCATCTTGTAGCTTTTTGTCTCTGGTTTGAATATGTGATTATAAATTTGTAAAGTTTATTGTTGCTTCAAAATGGGTTGGTTGGATCCTTTAGGAGCAAATCCTCCCACGTTTGTGTCTTGGCCATGTTGATATTGGCACTTGGAGATCCGAAAATGGTTACCACACTTCAGCATTATTAGATCTAAGATGGACATTTTTAATGAACGTTGTTGTATTGACATCGGAGTTGTTATAGCAACATAACAACTTCTGGCATTAGAGAGTTTAAGCTTCACGTGTACGGCAAACGGCAATCGTCAGATTCAAGTTGAGAATTTGTCAAAATTAAAAAAAAAATGAGCGGATAAAAACAGCTCAAACAATTCTTATCGATAAAAAATTGCTCGGAACCACTACTTTAGGTGTAGAAACAATGAATAGTAACGACAGGTAAAGAGGCAGCTTGGTCACGTGGTATAAATTCGCGTTTGCCATTTGACGTAAACGTGATGCTTAACCTCTCTATTAGATGTTAACGGCAAACCCGGGATTTGAGTTTACAATTTCTCAAATGAGGAAAGGGGGAGATGAAAACTAGCGAAAATAATTCTTATGGATGAACCTGACTTGAAACTACTTTTTTTTGTACTCTATAAACGTCGAGGAAAGGGAACGACTTTGTCAAATGGTACAAATTGACATCTGCCGTTTGCCGAAAACCTGATTCTGAAACCATTCTATTCTCCATTCTATTTTACTTGCGGTTGTATGTCTCAGTGGTGTTAGAAAACCGCCGACATTTCGCGATGCCACCACTAACTTTCCGGCAAAATGACGTCTGAGGAACGAAGGTAGAAATTCCGTGCTGATGACGTATCGCTACCCAGACATAAGTAGTGCTTCTGATTGGTTAGACATTTGCTTCAACCAATCAGAAGCACTGTTCAGATCTGGGTTGTGAGTTAAGCGTCATCAGTATGGATCGAATTACTGCGCTTCAGGGTTCTTCACGTGATCTCTTGGTGAAACCAGTGGTGGCGGGCGTCTAGAAATGTAGGCTGTTTTCTCAGGCTTATTTCTCACAACGTCCGTTTGTTTGTTGTCTGCCCCTCCCACAGGGTTATTTGAAGAACAAGACCTCCCAGGATATGAGACAATCACTTGGGTATGTCATAATTTTGCATCCTTTTCAAGGAGCTGTGTCAAGAAACGTTTCAAAATTCAAATAGTGGCAACAGCCACCAAATTGAGTGAAACATTAAAATAACCTCTCAAAACATTAACCGAAGACACAAATAACACACTACAAAACAGAAGGTTAAAATTGGTGATCTGCAGTGTCCTTTGCTAGGAACTCCATCACAGTTTGTGCAAATTCCTTCGGTTTTTCAATAATAAGCCAGTGCCTGCTATCAGGTATAAACTTGATGTCAGCTCTGGGAAATAACTTGTAGATTGTAGGATAATCTGATTCACTAAATAAAACAACAGAGAGAAATAGGCCATTTGCACGATGACGTCATTTTACTACCACGACCAGAATCCTTTTCGTTTTCCTTTCATATTTATATTTGGAAATCCCAGCGAGGTTTAAATAACAAAAGCCCTGATTTGCACAAGCATTGAAAATTCTAAAGGATTGTGGTGGTAGTAGTACTATGACGTCATCGTGCAAGTGGCCCTTTTTTGTGTTAAATAAATTAGGACCCTTTTGGTGAAGTTTTCCTCAGCCCCAGCGGCGGATCCTCAGATGAAATACCGCAGGGTCCACAGTTTTAAAATTATGCTCCCCCGGAGCCTGGCCGTGGGGGCTTTGCTTTCCAGTCTCTACGCCAACAGCAATTTCGCTACAAAAAATTAACACCCCCGGAACGTGCTCGAGGTAGTTTTGATTACTAGCAAGATGGCATACAAAACAACCTGCGCCGGGTTGTTCAAAGCTGGGTTAAGATAACCCAGGGTTAGTGCAAAATTTGAAATCAAATATGAAAGCTTATAAAGTAAATTCAGTTTAATTCTTTTTGTCTACAAGCTGATGATTCGATGCTCTATTAATATCAGAGAAAACTGTCCAAGAAAATGCTTTTGAACAAAAGAAAAAGAAACTCGGGTTAAGCGTTAATCGGCCTTCCAACAACTGGGCCCTGGTTCCCAGAGCCCCTTCCAGCTTCTAAGGGAGAATTAGCGAGCAATTCTTGCAAGGACCACTTGGACAAACAACAGCGAGGTTGGAAAGCCGGATCTTTGTGTAGATCAGGATCAGTAATACTATAGAATAACAATTACAACTGAAGGTAAGGAAGTCCAAGGGAAAAGCCTGGAGAAGGAGGTTGCATGCAAAAATATTTTCAAGGTGCAACTAGTGACCTGAAGTAAATCTAGCACCAATGCCATTTCCCCTTAGGATTAATCCTCCTTTATCGGGGACGCATTTCCCCTCTGCGTAACTGAAAATTCACTCGACTCTGTGAATTTTTCCAGACACTTTACTACGACTAGAGTGAAGAATATCGTTCTATATACTAAGGACTTTATCACATGGGGGTTCTTCGGAGTGGCGGATCTCGGGGAGAGGTCCAGGGGACCCGGGACCGAAAATGAGGCCCGCAGGGCGAGGAGGCCGGACCTCCCTCTTACTCGCTGAGGGGACCCCTCAAGATCGTAATCCGCCACCGTTCGTTAACTATAGAGTTTCCACTGTAGTATACCGAAAAAGGGTTTGCAAACCCCGGCTTGAGACCTTCCAAATCAGGTGCTAAAAGCTCCAGGGATATACAAAGATATAGTGCTTTTGAAACGGGTTTTATCGAAACACTCCCACGGTAATTATCTCCATAGCAAAGGCAATGCAATGCAATAAAAAAATGAGAGTGCAAAGCCAATGTAAATATATTTCTGCTTTAAAATATTATTTGTTGGTAGGCTTTAGAGTGATTTTACTTGAACCGTGAAACAGTTAATAACAACTAGTATAAAACAGCTACAAATAAACAAAAGAAGGCAATAGAATTAGTGTATAATAGTGTGAAGTATTCAACTAACTATTTCAAATCAAGGTGCGCGGAGTTTTCATACGTACCTTATGTATTCTGATTCGCTTCCTCCAACAAACAGAGCTCTTCCATTGAACGTCTGGTGTGGAAATTGTGTTGGAAAACTTATAACCTCTGAGAGGTTGTCATCTATGGCTTCAAGGTTCACTTTCCATTTAAATCCAGAGTCAGTTTTCACCAAGTTTTTCAAAAAGTATGACCTCAAAACTTCAATCTGCGTTAATTAGGTAACCAAGAAAAAAAAAGTCGAATTATTAGATAAATACAGGAACTGAACTGACGTATTTCCTCGATTAAAGAAACAGAGGAATTCAATACTGAGGAATCTACTTTGAAGCATTAATACTTCATTTATGCACTTAAATGAATTAAAACCTGCAGCTCAAGGGGATTAATAGAGATAATTGAAACATGACTAAACGTAGAAATAGCCATTTTTTTAAAATAAAACAACAATAATAATAATAATAATTATAATTATAGGAATAATTATAATGATAACTATATAATGATAATAATAATGATGCATATTTGCTTATCAGGTCTTCTATAGATCCTTCATTTGTTACTTTAGTATTTCGAGGCCGAAGGTCCAATGCAATACGCTGTACATATTGAACGGTCTTGTCCATGTTAAATTCTAAGGTTAGTTTGGCCATCCTGTACATTTTCTTTGCGAGACAGCAACACGACTCGGTTGGCAGGACTCTTTCCCTCCCGGAGGCACGTGATATGGTGTAATTCGGCGGGTGTGACAGTCCATTGTTAGGGCTTTTAACAGAGTGAGCGGGTATTTTTATTTAGCAGTACTGAGTCTGCTTTTACTTCATTCCGATGAGGCACAATAACAGAGAAACATCTGTCGACGGCTACAACTCCGCTCTGTTTAGGTTCTATCGGTGTAGCCTGTTCCTGCTGGCTCCGAGATAGACGAGTCCGCGAAATTGAGAAAGCGTGAATACGAAAATAAAACGGGAGGAAACTCTCCTCTTTTTTTCCCTCTACTGCCCTCTTTTCCCGGATCACGCGCTCATATTTTCGCGTGCCTTTCACTTACGCGTCGTCACTGCTATCTGAGAGCCAGGAACAGGCTACTATCGCTGCAGTGTCTATGTCTTGCAAAGTTAATTTTTACCGAGCACGATCAGCTCTGCAGATTTCAATGTCTCTCTGTTTAGCCTCTCCCAAATGGCATTTTCATTACTCCCTGCTCCCGCCGTGCGTGTCCCGAAGACGACTGGGACTAGATAGTAGTGAAATCCTAACTATTTTGTAAAGTGAAGTCGAGGGAGAGGGGAGGCTTATTGCAATTGCTAATTGGTCAAAGGGTTAGCGCTTATTAGAGCGGAGGGTTTATTCAGGGCATATAGTACCAGTTGCGGATCCAGACCTTCGGATAAGGCGTCCCCGGTCATCCAGACCCTGACACCTGACATAAGGGGGAGGTCTCAAATAAAAATTTTATAACGGCTCTTTGAGCCTCAATTTGGTCTCAAATTAAGGGGGTCCCGTGCCCCTCCTCTGGATCCGCCACAGAGTAAGTGTGCCTTTTCCAAAAAAATAACTTAAGGGAGTAATATTAGTAAGGGAACACCTACAGGAATTACGTCCTTCAAAACGTTGTCAACATCTCGTCTGTCTTTTATCTGATTTAAATCTACAGTCTTGAGTGCTTTTAAGCCAGGTGGAAACACTTCTTCCGCAAATTGACTTCTTTTGGGGGAAGGAGACGTGTCGACAACTATGAGGCTGTCTAATGAAGCTGGATATGTCAACGCGAACGTCATCGCCGTCTTTGCGCCCATACTGTTTGCCAATAGAACCACCTTGGAAAGCTGCAGTTCTTGAATAAGATGATATACATCGGAAGCCATTAGAGAAAAGCTCATGTGGGGACTGCGGTCACTGTCTCCGTGATTTCTCGCATCCACAGTTACAATCTGCAATAGAACGGTGTTTAACATGAGTTTGGTAGCACTAAAGCAATTCATTCTTTTGTATTACGTCATTTAGGGATTGCATGCACGTCCTCAACACCAAGAAACTGCCTATTATAAAAGCTATCAGTCATAAGACTGGCAAAAAAGGCGGGAAAGCGAATCTTTTAACGACTGATTTAGACGGTGTCACTTCAGTCCGGTTTAGAAAGTCAAGCTATCAGTATAATTCGCCGATTCTGAAAAACTAGGAATGAAAATTATCAAATCAATTGTAAAAATACAGTGAGTCCTCTATCAAGCCCCCCCCCCCCCCGGGGGGGCTATTTATTTCAAACACATTTGAAGCGGGGGGGGGCTTAATATCATTTCTCCTTAAAGGATTTCAATACAAAGAGGAAAAGCTCAAGTACATGAAGAAGTTGGAGGTCATACTCGGCCGAGGATCATAAACAAAGCCAAACGTTCAGTTGGCGAATAAACCATCCCAGATCAGTCAGAGGGGGTAAAATGAGCACACCATCGGCCTCAGGTTTGTCAATAAGATGACTATTTCGAGCTATCGGCCTCTTTGCCTTTTCTTTTTTATCATGGGTTTGGAGCCTCTACTGGGAACAGTTCATTCACAATATAGTCTGCTACACAGCCGTTTTTAGTGTCGTCACGCAACGCTCCTCCTCGCAAAGTGGGGAGGAGCGTTGCGTGACGACTCTAAAAACAGCTGTGTAGTAGACTATTCACAATAGGGAGCTTAAGCGAATTCGCGCTGTTTCAAACTTTATCACTTTTATTCCATTGATTTAATTTGTCAAGCGTTGGGCAATTTTTCTGGAGTTGATTCTGAAATACTGTATCTAAGGTTAGAAAAAGAAACTGAAAATTTTTCTCTTGTTTTCACGTCCCTCATAAAACGAGTAATTAGAAAGTTTCACCTCGTAGTCGTTCAGTGTCGGCAAATAAATGTACAAAAAAAGCGTGATGCGCGTGCAAAGTTGTTGTTTTGTCAATCAAAAACTAGTGCGTATTTGCCGTTCTCGTTGCCGTCGTTGTTGCTTAAGCTCCCTAATAATAGGATTGGACTGCGGGAATTCCATCGGCAAAGACGTGTACGAGTCCGCAATGCGCATGCATGGGAAGTACCAATGTACACAATCGTTTTAGTTGTGGTCGGGAGTTTGGGGTTCGATTGAGTCTTGCAAAGACAGCTTAAATAACTGCTCTGACCAATTACTATGTGAGCTGAATTTCAAATGTATTGATGAGAACTTGGGGCAAATACATGTAGTCCGCCGGTACCAAAAAAGGGTGGGAAAAGGCGCACAATTTTGTTTTTACCTCTCACTGGTTGTGATTTTTCATCCAATCACAGAGCGCACCTCCTCATAACCAATGCACTCCACAAAATAATAGTTTACCTGTCGTCCAGTTTCTTTGTTGAACATCTTTGCCAACTCTCTGAAATTGCGCTTGGAACCAAACAAGCCATGCAGGATCATTAGAGGTGGTAAATCTTTCCCGGCAGCGTTTGCGTCAAAGTTATCATAGGCTAACCGCACTGGTGACCTAAAATGTGATTTAAAAAAGACCCGATTAATATCAGGAGTAATACAGGGATCACTGGAAGACGTTGGATCAGTGTTAGCCTGCAGAAAAAAAAACGTCTATTTTTCGCGTTTTTCAGGCGAATAACTGGGGGGCAATCGCAAAGCGAGGGAGAAGCGCAAGATACGCCTTGCCCCGACGCGCGTGTATCGCCCTCTATGCCCACTTTTCACTTGCCTTTACCCGCCTGAAAAAGGCGAAAAAAAAAAAATTACCCACCTACCCCTCCCTCACTGGTACTGCAGTTGAGGAAAGACTGAACTGTTTAACTATTCTTTATTTTCACTTCCCTCACCTCACCTCCTCATCAGCAATTCTGATTTTTAGCATGTGTACGCGAAGATGGTTTAACATTCTTCACCGAATTTGATCCCCTATAATACCGGAATCTCGCTCGCCAATCTCTAGTTGTCATTTTACGTCAAAAGAAGGACAAGACCCTTGGTGCATACCCCGGGGGGGTACTCGCAGAAAAATTGGGTAGGGGTGTGCGGCCCGCTTCCCAAAACCCTTACCCTATTTATGACCAAAATCTGCGATTTTCCCTACCCTATTTATGACCTAACCAAAAATTTGATACCCTATTTTGTGAAGGGCTTTTGTTTCTTGTATTTTCTAGCCTACAAAGCAGCCGGTGGAGAGGAAGGCAAAGCGCGAATGGAAGGAGGGGGACATGATAAGGAAGTAGCTTCTTCTAAAAAAGTGCATTCAAGACTACAGTACAGAAATCGTTACCCTATTTATGACCAAAATGGCGGCAAAATAGGCAAAATCGATACCCAATTTATGACCAAAACGGCTGAAAAACCCTACCCTTTGGGGCCGCACATACCTATGTAGCCAATATTAGGGAGTACCCCCCCCCCCCGGATGCATACATTTCCACCATACGGCACGTCTAAAATTGTGAAAGAGTTTTTTTCTCAATATTTTATCTTGAACGTTTAATTGAAGCCAAATTGATAATCTTAACTTTTGTTACAGACTGCAAAATAGTCGGCTTTTTTTTTCTCAAAATCGGTCCAGCGTGAAGAGTTTCACACGCGCGAAGCGTGCGAGCCTCACAGCGGGCGTGTTTTAGCGTCTCTCCCTCCGTTTTCAGCCTTGCTCAAGACCTTTCGCTTGACTGCTCGCACGTACTTGAATACGCAAAAATACGGACTGTTTTGCAGTCTAGTTTGTTAGTGATTTTATTTTACCAAGGTGTTAAACGACACTTCAAAATAGACTTAATTTTTTTCTCTAATTGAAAGGTCTAAAGGCAACTTTGAGACATTTGACCTTCGATTAATTTATATTGTTCCCAAGAACGCTCTCTTTTGTGTGTGACAAGCCAAGCAGATATAAATATTTATCTTAGTACTTATGCTATTATTTGCAAAGAATTAAGTACTGTCGAGTCTCTTCACGCACACCTCGCTAAAACTGACACCAAGAGTTGGTCCCTGCCTTTCTTAACTCCTTTCAGTATTAGCTGACTCCTTATTTATTATTAGACGGACATCTCGCTAAGACGGACACATAGTGCCGATCCCAAAGGAATCCATGTTAAATTAGAGGGAGTTAACTATATGTTGCTTAAATCGGATAGTTTTCTTAATACAAATATGCATGCGGTGCGAAACAAAAATTTGGGGATAGGAAAAGAAAGGTAGATAGTAGGCGATCGAGTTTCACGCACCAGTGGAGTAATCATTTATTAATGATCGTTAATTAACTAGTTACGGAGGTGTCAAATGTCTTATATAAACGAGCGCACATTCTTAACCGGTCATCTTTTGTTAGATCCGGAGGCGACGCGTAACCTCTTGCCCACCTCTCCCCCCCTTATATCTCAGTATTCTTGTTGAGTTTATAACCATATTGTCCCTTCGTTTCATTTAATTTAATCTAGTTGCGTCTTGGTTTATTGTCAAGCTATCGGTCAGCTTTCTCCGCTTGGTTCAATAAACTTATTTTGCCCAAACTCTCGTGTCGTCTTGGTAACGTGGGTTGATTAAGCGATCATTAGACTGCGTACACAGCTGGAAATTATTTATGGAGTGCGTATTTTTCAAGGCGCTGAAGTTATGGATTTTTTAGGGAGGTTCTGTTGCAATTTACATTATCAAGCGATCAGTAAGACTGAAATCACGCACTATCAGGTGTACTATATCTGACTATATGTAGTACGGGACGCCATTAAATAATCAATGTCGTTTTATAGTGATCTAGCGCAAATAAGACCAAAGGTAATAGCCCATGTCATATATCAAAATGTTCAAGACTCAGAGGCCTTACGGCTTAAAATCAGCGCAAATTTTTCACGATTTTTTTTCGAATCCGCAGTCCAGAAGCGACTTGAACACAATAGAAAACCAAACCAAGCATCGAAATAGGATCAGAAAGCCTCGGAGTATAAAAGTTAGAATTTTACATAACGGGACTATCAAGTTTGGTGTTAATTTTCACAATGACTATTATATTTCTTCCACTGAAGTCGTGTTCTGTGAAGTCATCCTTACTCGACTGTCGTTTCCGAAAGAATTATTACTAGCTATTAAATATGCAACCTGTTTGGAGTCCCTGTTGTCCCTGTTGTCACTGTACCTTTCATCTGCAATACTGTTATTAACCTGTGAGATTTGAAATCTTGTTATACACCGGAAGGCAAGCCGAGACTGGTTCCTGTGGACAAATGGTAACACACAGCGCCAGAAGCCCATTTTGTGATTTTTTTGAGCGCAGGTTGACTTTTGAAGTTCAGTAAGCTTTTATGGCTTTAACTGTATTGGGAGATTGTGAATTCTACGGTTTATATCCTATGTATGGAAGGGACTATCCCATTGGTAAAATCATAATGACGTCACAACATGACGAAAACACAAGAGCACCTGATTCGGTTCCCTTGCGGTTAGACTTTCAAAAAAGTCCTTCGTCGGATTTCATACAGCGCGACCTCTTGCGACTTCGTCGCTCGCGGTCGGTCGCTTCGCGGCCAAATTTTGTACGACGGCCGTCGGCCACCGAAAATTCCCGCCGCTCGCGATCGAGGAAAACCCCTGCTACCCAGGGTCGTAATTTTACTGTCGAAATTTTGAATATATTTTGCAGCACTTCATATTTTGCGACTGATTTCCGTTTAGCTATATGATAAACAGTAAAAGACAAGTACAGTCAATCCCGTCTTTACGGACTTCCGCTTACGTGTAATAGGGACACCTCCTTAACACGGACAGTTTACTTTGTCCTTGGGAAAAGGAATTGTACATTTTCTCTAAATTCAACCCCCTTTAAACAGACACGCCGTTAATAAGGACGCTTTCTATGGCTCCCTCAGTGTCCTTATAAATGTGGTTTTACTGCAAAGGAAAAAATTTGGTCACGTGGAACAAATTCACGTTTGTCGTTTGCCATGTAAACGTAACTCTAAATTTCTCAAATTAATGACTCTTCTATGGTACAAAGTCTAAAAGCTACTACTAGAGGAAGGGATCCGCAGTGGGGGTCACTTGGTTAGGTTGTTTGGGTACCACAGCACAGGGTGCAAGGGAGTTATTTGTGACCTTGATTCCAGTAATGTAACGGGATTCCCCGGGCGGGATTCACCCCTGACAGGAGCCCATAATGGTCTCCTGCCCCTCATGCGCCCTTTGATCCCAGCTAGCCGAGCCTCTACATTTTCCTGTCAAGGGTCTGGGTCGAGCTTAAGCCCCACCTCGACTTACCACGTGACCAACAATTTGTCGTACTCTGACATAAGCTTACTTCCTGTGCAAGCAACGCGACCGAAAATATTCCCTGATGCTATTTAGGTTACTATAAATGCTTTAAATAAGAATTAAGACATGGCTGCGAAGGATTATGACCATTTATTCAAGCTCCTAATCATTGGGGATAGCGGTAAGCATTACTTTTACTGTGACCTTAGACTGAACCGGGGAGATTTGTGCTGCGACAGTTTTCGGGTGTTGAAAAATTACTTATCTTCTTGACTCACATAAAAGGTTTGCGAAGCTCTGATCAAGCTTCTTTTGAATGCTTAAGACGCACAGCAAGGGCTTCTCTTTTTCTGTGCGTCGCTGAGAATGTTAACACGACTGCCGGCTTGCGATCGATTAGCCAGGACAGTGTAAACAAACGTTCATGTGTCTGATCTGTTCGGCCGCACATCGTACAGTAACTTAACGTGAAAATAATCGATTTATCGCAGTTGCTCCTCAAACAATCTTGGGCTTCATACCACTAAAAATTCTCCTGTTTGTTTTCAGGCCTAGTTCACACTGTCCTGGTTTTTAAAAGGACCCTTGCCAATTTTTATTTTTGAGTCCTCTAATAAGCTCAATTAATTAGAAATGTTTTGTCGGCAAATATTCAAGCTGTTGTACGATGACCCTAACGTTTTTCTTAAAAGCAAATTAGTTTTATGACCATTATTATCCACTTCATTTGGCCATTGAGCTCCTAAGAGTATTCAAAATCACGATTCACAAGAAAATACAACTTTTTTTGATCAGGAGAAATAAATAAGCTTACACCACCATGCAAAGGGGTTTCATTAATTTGATTGGTCACACTGGATGACCTGTCCACAGACTTAAGCTTTCAAAAAAAAAGTAAAAAAAATAAAAATGCACTTTGAGTGTCAAGGTATTTAGCACAAAAGTACTAATTGGGGACATTAATTTTAGTCTCCAACTGGAGACGGGTCCGCCATTTTTACTTGGTCATCCGAACCATGTGAAGGTCAAGCCACTTGCAGTGCAAAGGGAGTACCTTCATTTCTCAGTTATTTAAAGACCCTCAGTGTTGGTCTGGCCCTAGGAATCAAACCTGCGACCTCCCGCTCTACAATCAAGGGCTCTACTGACTGAACCAATCCTGCCGCTGTTAAAACAACATAACATGTTAATGTACACATCTCTGTGAAGGCTACATTTAAGTGCTTATTTTAAGGTGTTTTGATACAGTTTTTTCGAAGGTCATACTGATAATTTTCAATTTCTTTAAAAATGATTTTATCGCACCATACATACCTCCATTGATTCAGTGAAAGTATTGACAATGCTTTACATCAAAAGATACAATAAAATTCATGGAGTCACGGAGGTATAAATAGTGAGCATTAATTTGGAAAACTTAGCATAGTGTCAAAACAGTGAATTATTGTAACAAGGATTTTCGGTTGGTTCGTAGGCTTGGCTCATCTTGAAATTTCAAGGTATTGTGGTTTTTATCTCAGGTTCCTTTGTTTTTGGGTATGGTAATGTATGCTAATGAAGTTGAAACAAAGGAAAAATAAAAATTACCTGAGATAAAAAATTAACTACAACTTATACATCGTGAAGATTATGTGACAAGGTTTGAAAAGAATTCTTTCAAGCTATTCCAGAGATATAAAGAAAATTGCTAAAAGTCAAATTTCAAGTAAAGTCGCACTTAGATAGGTGGTTAGAAAACAGGTTAGTTTTTAGGAGTACAAGACACAAAATACACCAAACTTTCCAAGCAGTGAAAAGTGATATTAGGCAGCATTCTGATGCTACTTGACATTAATTTGAGTTTTGTGGAAATATCAGGTTCAAAGTATATTTAGGTTTCATTTTAATTCAAACATACAGAATTTTTTGTTTTTCGTGGAGGTTATATGCTAAACACCACACTTAAAGTTCCTAGTGTTGAATTTTCAGTAGCAGGTGTAGATCGCGCAAAATTTGGCTTTTATTGATTTCGATTTTTTTGTTTCTTGTTGTCATAGTGATATCGACTTTACTAAAAACTGTATGTTGACAAACTTCAATTCATAGTTAGTCACTGGTGAAAATTTTATGGCGATCGGACAAGGATAAAATCACTCTTAAAGCGACCGAAGAATGTCGGTATGACCTCCAAAAAACTGTATCAAAACATCTTAAGTAGCCACATAACACAAAATGTTCCATTTTGTTTACTGGTGTTTTTGTTTAACTTAACTTTTGTTAGCTTTATTGTAGTCAGTTAGACAGGGGCCAGCCTCACTTTGCATGGGGTGAACCAAACTGCAATTTGGGTTTGACCTGAATAATTATATGAGTTTTCAAGTTGCCAGCTATATGCAATATACAATATGTCATTTCCAAGTTCCAAAAACTCTCACTCTCAAAACGAGGCTCAAAGAAATCATTTCCATTGCAATAGCTTCCCACTTGGCCTCAATTTGAAACAGAGGCTTGGGGCAACTCAAAAATGGCCTATTAGCAATTGGGAAATGGAACTGGTGGGAAATTTTTTTGTCTCTATTTTCCTTTTGTTACCCTGTCTCTGGCCTTTACTGACAGCCCTGCTGAATGTATTAATAGTACAGGACCTTGAGACTAGAGTTCACTTATAATTTTTGATAGATAACATTTTTTTGCTAACAATGATTTTATTTTTCTTTTAAGGTGTGGGAAAGAGCAGTTTGCTTCTTAGATTTGCAGATAATATGTTCTCAGGTACAGTGTTTGTAAGAGAATTACTAGATAGGCAATAGAACCAGGCCTGTTTTTCATGTCCTGTAAATTACCTTGTAAATCACCTTGAGTGGCTGTCTCCAGTAAAAACTTGATTTGTATGACGCAAGTCCTTTGCTAGCCTGAGTAAACAGATGACATTTTGCAATGCCACCACTTGTTTTTCCGGAAAATGACATCTGAGAACGACAGCAGACATTCCATACTGATGACGTGTCACTTCCTAGATCTGGGTAGTCTCGCGTCATCAGTATGAAATTTCTGTTCTCACTTCTCACACATTCATTTCACAGAGAAACCGGAAACTACCCACCTGCCCCTCCCCTAAGCCAACATTTTGCCCTAAGTGAGAAGTAGGTGTTAATGTTGGCTTAGGGGAGGGGTAGGTGGGCAGTTTCCCAGAAACGTATAATAATCCAGGAAACCAGTAATGGTGTTGCAAAATGTCAGCTGTTTTCTCAGGCTAATCTGGCATTGTCCCCAGATTTTTTGCCAATTGGCACATCTAGTCCAGGTTAATATTGATCTCAAAGGAAAAAAACTTCTGGGTACCTTTTGTGATATATTTATATGTTATTAATTTGTAGGAAATTACATTACGACCATTGGGGTGGATTTTAAGATAAGAAAGATAAATGTGGATGGTGAGATGGTTAAATTACAAATCTGGGATACAGCAGGCCAAGAAAGATTTCGTACAATAACATCAACGTAAGTTTGACTTAACAGTAGACAAAGACATTTTTAGGAACTTGTTGTAAGGAAGTTAAGTAATGGTGGCACTTGTTGAGCAAATTTCTGACAATGAAATAATGTTGTGGTCACAGTGTGAAGTTTGATAATAATAATATTACTGTCTTATTTTACACTTGAATGATAATTATTATTCAAGCGTAAAATAAGTAATAGAAATACTGTCCCTTCAATTAATAGTAGTAACTAATGATGACCAAAGGTTTGTGAGTGCAAGTGAGTGACAGGAGGTCCAAACACACATCATCAGATTTTATTCTATTATTCTACAGTATTCCTTTCTAGTGGAAGTCAAAACAAATGAGCATCTGTAATAGCACAAACTTTCTTACTTTTAGTAACCCAATAAGCTTGAACAAAACATTCAGCTGTAAGCTGATTCTGAGTTTAAAGATTTCTCGACGCAAGGTTTTTATCATAAAGGAGGACAATTCCAGTGTCAAGCTTTGCTGGAAAATGTATTGGTCACAGGATGTGTTATCTCCAGTGGGTTACAGTCAGACAAAAGATGTATTTATTATGTACAGTACATACTGAGAAATACTCACCAAAAAGCTATGTCATAAATTTGCATATGCAAATGTGTTCGAGCCAATCAGGGGAGCAAAGATGGTTTTCACATATGAAAAAAAAAAGATACGTCCAATGAGAATCGCAACGATGTTTTTTTCACTGGTGAGAAAAATGATACGTCCAATCAGAAGCCACAGAGGTGTGTGAGTTTAGTGCCAAAATTCCTGCCATTTATAGGCGCTTGCAGCTTCGCAGACATGCAATGAGAAAAGTTTTTTTCAAAGAGTTTTTCTTCTAAAAAAAGTGAAAAGCATCCTGGAAATTTGAGTGGAATAGTTTTGTTTGTTTCGTTGTCGATGAAGAAAACTGTAGAGAGTTGGGAAAACAAAAGGAAGGGGAAAAACTGAACGAGACATAAGCTTAAGTTGTGCTAAGTTGGAGCTTTGTCGGCTACTTATATTCAAACCAGCCATTTTACTTAAATTCATTCATTTTCAATTGTGCATTGAGAACAAACAGTTAAGATTACTTGTAGTTCTTAGATTGCCTCATATCCTTACCCTCACTATATTTTTAAACGTTTTTACTAATAGGCTGATACTTCAATTTCATTGTCATTTGGTGGTGTGTAGTGGCAAATTTTAGCATTTTGGAAAGATTTGAGATAAAAAGGCCGCCAAAATTATAACTGTCTCAGTATGTATATAATAAACATAATACCACATGGAAAGTGCTTTGTATGGTATTTGCACACTCGTTTTTGTATCAGAAATCTCTCTCGATTGCTGCGATCATTCATCTGGTTTCTTATGTCAACAACTCGTGCATAAATACTGTACGCCCACACTCTCCATGAAGTATTCTCTATGAGCATACTTGTAGCATAGTGGCTCAAGTGCAATGCTTCTGCAGTTGTATAGTTCAAAATGAAATTCAGGTGAAAGAGGTTTCCGGTAAAAATTGATTTCCTTTGTGTCCTAGCCTTAATTTTTCATGGTTAAGAGTTATTGGGTTTGGCTGACAAAGGAACTGAAACTCAAACTGTCATTGTCATCTGAATTTCATTTTGGACTACAACACTTCATTATGGAGTGGTCCTAGCCAAGTTTATTGCTTTTGCCACCGAAACCTCTCTCTGACACACATACATGTACATGTACACTGTAGCAGTTTACAAAAGCAAATTTTTGACTATATATTATACTTGTTACATCTTACTAAATGAGGAGATGCCTAGAATCAAGTACTGACCTCCAATGAACTACCAAATTTTCCCTCCAATTTTCGTGACACATGCTTACATTGTAAAAGGAGAATTCTGATATAATTTAGATTAGTTGTCACTTAGGGCCTCATTCCATGTTCAGTATCCATTCAAATAATAATAGAAAAGTATGATTTTTTTTTTGTCAGGTATTACCGTGGGACACATGGCGTTATTGTAGTATATGATGTGACGAGTGCGGACACATTTGTGAACGTGAAAAGATGGTTACATGAAATTGATCAAAATTGTGATGAGGTAGTAAGAATTTTGGGTAAGTAGATATTTGAGGCAATAATATTGCTTAACTAACAATCTACATGTACTGTTTTACAAGTTGAAGGCTTTCAATCAATCAGTCAATCAATCAATCAATCAATTGTATTTAACCATGTAACACCTAGGAGCTCACATGTTCTTGTTAAGGCATTTACGTGTATAATAAAGTAAATGTGACAGAATAAAAGCTTTCATAACAATTTCCATAAACAATATTCATTATACTAAGATGGAAAGTGTGTGTGTAATCAAATGGCGATGGGTACCCAGTGACTGAATCTTTCCAAACAAGTCATAAATGTCTAAATGGATTTCTCTATGCTTTAGTAATCTGTTTTGTTAATTTGGAACTGCGCTAAAAATTATTTATCTGTTCGAATGTTTTAGGGGAACTTTGGCCATCTTGAAAGTTTAAGCTACCCCGATGTTTCTTGCCGAAACTGTGAGGACAAGGAGTCACCATATTTCCATTAGAAAATATTAGGAGACGATTTTCCTTTATATCGAAATTTTTAGGTGACCTTTTTTGTATCAATAATTGCCAGTTGTTGGGTATAAAATGTGAAAAATCCAACTCCGAAAATCTTAGGGAAGCTAATCGAAAAAATTCCAAATATCTTAGATGAATGGAAAGGTTATCCAGAAATGTTTAGCTTTACTTTTAGTATAGCAATTTCTAGGCTATATTTGCTCCTTCAAACAGATATTTTACAGAAACTGTCGTTGGGTGCCCCTGGAATAATTTCACGTGCATTTTGTCCAAATTTTAATACTTTCCAGAGTCGAGCTTGTCCAGTCATTTGTCAGTCATTTTCTGTCACTCACCACCCATTACCATATCATTTAGAGCGCCGTGGCATCCATCTCAGAAAGAGGTGATTGTATAAAATTAACACTCCCATGGCACAGTCAATTGTACATTGACTGTATATGAAGGTGATTGTCCGTAACCTTAAAGAAACCTTTAAATTGTACATTTTTAGGTTTTGTAAAGGCAGAGCTGTTTACCTATATGTAGAGATCAGAGCTCTGCCAATGATGATGATAATGTTATTACTGTTAGTTACCATTAGGGAATGTTGCCTATTGAAAAAGTGTTGGCCATGAATATTTATGCGCACATGAAATGATGCCGACCCATGTTGTGTCCTTTGACTCTCTGAGTGAAGTGTTAGCTTCTTGTTTCGATGATAGAGACTGATACTTTGAAGTAATTTCGCATACTGACAAAAACAATTATTGTTTTTGTCAGTATGCAAATTATCTATCCTTTCCATCACACTGAACTATCCTTACTTTTGTCCGATATGCTTTGTTTCATTTTATACAATTTTTATGAAAGCATAATTCTTTCATGTGAATTTTTGCTTTCAGAAGGAAAAAACTTGAAAGAAACTTTGCGTTTTCAACCACGGCGATATGTATCTATTTCACTTCACTTACACTTATATGCAAATTACCCTTCATTGGTGAATTTCGCTGGAGACAAAAATGTCACCTTTGATTTCTCAGATGCTTGCCTTTTTGGACACTCTGTTTATTTTGAGATTTTTTAAGCTTCACTTCAGACTTTTTATTCCAACTTTTTAATGCAGGAAAGATGTGAGAAATGCTGCAATTGAATAAAGTCACGCATCGTGCTTTAAGACAGCATAACTTGATCTTTCTGGTATCTTTTGTTCTTCTGTTGTCTCCAAAACAATCGAAATGTCTCACCAGTTTCCACCTACAATTAATAGGAGGCATTTGATTGGCACAAAAATTTGCATTTAACATTGACAATTTTCAATAAGCGCAGTTCTGTAATGCATTGATGATAATATTACAGTCAAACCAGGAAAACTGTGAACACCAGAATTATTTGGAATGTTATTGTGTTGCAAGAAAAAAGCCAATCAGGCATGAGAAAACTGAACCACAAGCAAGAACATTAATTAGTTTGTGGTTTTGTGGCTAGTTCGCATGTCCTGATCTTTGCTGTGATTGGTGGTAACACAATAAACATTCCTGAGATATTTCAAGTGTTCACGGTTGTCCTGGTCACACTGTAATGATGTCAGTAATAAATAGGCTTTTGTACATTATGCTTTTGCTTCCCCACTAAAATGCTCCACCTTAATTCTCCATTTTTCCCACTAAAATGCTCGGTCTCCCCAAAAAAGTCACTAAAATGCTCGGAGAATGCTCATTATACAAACGGTTCTTAAATTAATTTCAAAGTTTACACTTACAAAAACGTGCAAGTGTTGCAAGTAACAACGACAACGTGTACAAGTTATAAATACAGCCAAAAAAAACCAGCTGTATTAGGTTTTTTGGGAATTTTGAATTTTAGTCTTCATTTTGTTTAAAAAAGCAGGAGCTCATGGGGCATAGGCTCCTGAAAAAAGTTAATTTCTATTTTATTTTCTCGGAAAAATTAATTTTCCGGGGAAAATGCCACTAAAATGCTCGAATAATGCTCCATGCTTTTGCCTCACTAAAATGCTCGAAAAAATGCTAGCATAATGTACAAAAGCCTAATAATAAATTAAGTATAATACATTATTATACGGTTAATTTCATGACAATACCTGTGACTGACATTTTCTGATTGAATTTTCTCTGTCATATACAGTTGGTAACAAAGATGATGATCCAGACAGAAAAGTTGTTGAAAGAGAGGATGCAATGAAGTTTGCAGAACAAATGGGAATTCAGGTGTTTGAAACAAGTGCAAAAGACAATAAAAATGTGGAAGAGGTATGTACTTGAAAGAGCTGGAAATCATTAACGTGGAATAGCTTGAGAACATACCTTCCAGGGTTATTTATTCATTATTTTGATGTTTACGTGGTGACAGATCATTTTTGAATTTGTGAATAGATGTTAGAGGTCAAAATTAAATTCAGGTTGGAATTTTTAAACAAAGGTTGATTCTCAATTTCCTTTGCCTTGGCTTGGATACAAAGGAAATTGAGAAAAAACCTAGGTTAAAAATTTTAACCTGAACTGGGAAGAGAAGTCATGATGGCACAAGAACTAAATTATTGTGAAATTATGGGATAAGTTGGCATATCCAGAAAGAACAAGATGAAAAATGTTCACTTACTACAAGGCAGCCTGTTATTGCAAATAGGTGGAGAGATGTAAGCAAGGACTGTTATGTGCTGATGACTCCATATAAATCCTGAATGGCAGTTACAATTAATGTGATTTCTTCTTTTCACTTGAATGTAGTGCAAAAAATTTTAATGTGTAAATTGTGAATTAGAACTTTAGAAAAGAAGAGCATTTTTGAAAACTTTGACCTTTTTGTTTTGCAGGTATTCAATGCAATAACACACATGGTTCTTAAGCAAAAGAAAGACAAACTAGCAAAAGCAAATGAACAGTCTGGAGTTATAAAGGTTAAAAAGGACAAACAAAAAAAGAGAGGAAAATTCTGTTGATATTATAAATAAGCAAGATTTTAGAAACTTTATCAATCAGGCAGTCCAGTGATAAGATTATGGATGCTTACTAACCACTCAGGTAAAATAATGAATTATGAGACCTGTAAATTTATTGTTGTTCATTATGTGGTCAACAGAATCAACATCCCATGTTATTTTGTATTTCATCATGTACCTGTACAAACATCACCTTTTTGGGTTTAATTATTTGTAGTTAGAATCCTTAGGATAATAGACCTATTAAAGTGACTTCAACAGAAAATTGCAATTAAATCTTGAGCAGAAAATCAGTTTCAACACTTGAAAGAGCTGCCATGGAAATGTCTTTAAAATTCGTTTACAGATTATTCAGCTCGTTATCTAAAAATACTTTGTGAGATTTGAGAACAATAGGAAGTCTTTCAGTCTCTGGTGTTGATTTTCTGCTAAGCATAGTTAATTTTTCTGCTGATGTCACTACTCAAGAAGGTCTTCTGTGTTAGTGATCACCATTTGCATAGCCTGTGTCACATACTTGAGTAAACTTCTGGTTAAGTTCATCTGCGAAACACGGTCAAAACTGCTGTTCTGTCGGGCCCCCACCTGTGTATGAGGATTTTAGTACTCACCATGATAAGCCTGTTTAAAAAGCCATAATTTGTAAATTTGCCAGTCAGGTGGAAGGGATATTTGAAGTGTATTTCCAGCAATTTGTTGAGTTCATTGAGGGCCAAAAACAAGGACAGTAGCACTACTTCGCAGACATAACTAACTGGGGTAAGATTATGTCTGTGACACAGACTACATTTGCACAGAATGGGATGAAGGAACAAGGAGGTGATTCATTGAGGGAAATAAAGTATGGCACCCAAAAAGTCTGAATGTTATGATGTAGCAAAGAGACACTAAGCTACATGTACACACTGTAGGACACTTTGTAATCTTAGACAGCATGATATGGTATTTTTGCAGTCACCTCTTCCTTATAGGACAGACACCTACCTAAAACAGACAGTAAGAGCTGGTTCCTTCTATTCTTAAGGTATTAACTTTGAATTTCTTCAAGGCAAATTTCTTTATGAGACAGAGAACAGTCACCTCTCTCTTATAAGACAGACAGCTCCCTAAAACAGACACCTAGAGTTGGTTCCTGTCATTCTTCAGTCATTTTCTTTGATTCTCAATAAGGCTGGCATCTCCCTAAAACGGACACCTAGAGTTGGTACCTGCCTTTCTTAAGTCATTTCCTTTGACTCTGTTTAAGATGGACACCTACCAACAGCGGACACCCAGAGTTGGTCCCTGCTGTTCTTCCATCATTTTGTTTGACTCTCTTTAAGACAAACACGTCTCTATATAGACACCTAGAGTTGGTATCTGCTGTTCTTCCGTAATTTTCTTTGACTCTCTATGAGACAGACACCTTTCTAAAACAGACACCTAGAGTTGGTATCTGCTGTTCTTTAGTCATTTTCTTTGACTCTCCATAAGACAGACACCTCCCTAAAATGGACTCCTTGGGTTGGTCCCTGCGGTCTGTCTATCATTACCTTTAACTTTCTACAAGGCACACAATTGTATAAGACGGAATTAAGTGCTGGTCTTAATGATATCCTTCTTAGAGAGGATAGACTCTATTGTGATGCTAGTGTCCCTGTTATCATACTCATGAAAGAAACAACAACTATTAAATTTTCTTTCTCCATTGTTTGATGTAAATTTTATTTTCTGGTCAATGTGCCAAGTTCACAGATTCCTTACATTTTCCCTAAAGATGCCTGTTCTGTTCTTTACCATGCTGCAAGCAGAGGCTCTTTGGTCTCCCTTAGTACATTGGGAAGATGCTCATGAAGTATTTCTCCCATTAGGGAGCTTGAGCAATGAGAACAACCGGGGGAAAAAGATCTCTTGAAAAGAGAATTCACACTGTTTCAAAATTGATCGCCTTATTATATGTCACTCAATTCATCAAATGTCGGCGATTTTCCCTGAGGTTTACTTCTAAGAGACTCCACCTAATCTTTTAAAAAAGAATGAGAAAATCGTTGTATTGTGTTCATGTGTAAATTAAAATCCTCCACAAAACGTGAAATTAGGTAACTATAAGTGTGGTCATGTAACGACAGCAAAGAAATGTACAAAAAGCTTAATGCACGTGTAGAGTCATTGTTTTGCTAATCTACTAACCCTATTGTTGTTTTGCTGTCCTTGTTGTTGTCGTCGTCATCATTGCTTAAGCTCCCTATTAACTGTGGCCAATGGCAGCAGCTAAACAGATGGACAATTGAATCTTTCCTTATTGACAGCTCTTTGATACAAACAAATCTCTATTATAGGTATTTGTCTTGGGTCAGCTACTTAGCTACTAGACACTTAAATACAATAATAATATTATTGTGGCTTTTATTGCTAACTCTGTAATACAGACATCTCTATAAGGAATCTACCCCTTTTGTGTCCATATTATGGAGATTTCCGCCTATTTAGCTGTGCCAAGGTTACTAGGTAACTAATGAGTTTTGAAAAAGACAGCTAGTTTTATGTTGTTGTTGATCAAATTATATCACAGTTAATTATATTGAAAGCAAAAATCCATTTAACTGAAAATTGTTATGGTAAGAAAATGGTCATCATTGAACTGATGCAAGTGGCAAAAAAGTTTTTTTCGATAGAAAAAAGTTATAGGATGATAGTATGTAAATGTAACATTGTGGTAGTATTTTTGAATAGGTTGTGTTTGGTTGTTGTGGAAATATTCTACAATACAAGTCCCGGCTTAATTTCATTTTATACTATCAGTACCGAGGGTACTGCTGTTCTGAACTAGCAGTTAATTTGATGCGATAACAAGTTATCTGAGCTTCTTGCCTTCATTTCTACGTTGCTGGGTCAGTTTGCTTGATTTACGCCAATCCAGCACTTGTTAAGCCTGACCGCGCTTAAATCAAAGGATTTGCTAGTACAACTGCAACGAGATCTTTCATTACAGAATGCACTACTAGGCTAAAAATTACCACTACAAGGAAACACGTTGCAAAATTGTGTTTCCTTATTGGAACCTAAGATACTGCAGTCTTTTCCCCCTGGTTGGGGAACTGGGTTATTACAGAAACGGCTTCTCTCTTGTATCCCCCCTCCACAGTCTGCATCGCACGGTAACCATGGAGACCACATACTGTATCCTCCATCAACTGTAAATTTGAAATAAAAATTTTTTAAATCTCTTTCATCGTGTTGTGGGAATGAGCCAGCTTCGAGATTGGAAATGGGACACATTGTTATGACGAGTGATCAGAAAAGTAAACACATCTAGCCAACTAGATGGTAAGGTACTAGGCAGTGTACAGACCCCCCCCCCCCTCCCCCTCAGGAAAAATCGGAGAGGCGCCCCTTTTCCGATTTTTCCTGGGAGGAGGGAGGTCTGTACACTGGCTAGTGAGGTACTTAGTATCTTTAAACATGTAGCTGTTTTAAATTGCGTTCACTGCGACGATCATTTCTTCATCTTCATTTCATTTCCGCAGTTCATATATGGTTTATTTCATATATCATTAACACTCATTTCTTTCACGGGAACATATGAACCCACAATTGACCTGCTCCCAACGTCAGTTGCTTCATAGCTCAGTTGGTAGAGCATCGTACCGGTAATTGCGAGGTCACGGCTTCAAACCCCGTTGAAGTCCTGATTTTTTTTTTTCAGGCTTCTTTTCGCTATTGCATAAATTGCGTTCACTGCGACGATCATTTCTTCATCTTCATTTAAACATGTAGCTGTTTAGTTGTAATTTGGCAATTGCGTTAAAACCCTGGAAAAGTAATGAGGTTCACAGGGTCTGCTGGAAATGCGCGTTCATTAGATTTGTCGCAGGGGAGCCCCGGAGCCTACATTCCTTCATCTCGGGAAGATATAGCTTTCCTAATTGGCCATTTCCGATTTGCCCCAGGCCTCTGTTTCAAGGCGAGGCTAAGTGCGAAACCATTGAATGATATGAAAATGGTTTTTCATTTCCTTTAATGTAAAACTCATTTTCACAAGAAACGTTTTGCACTTACCCTGGTTTTGAAGATGAGAGTTTTTGGAACTCGGAGAGGGCCTATTTGATATTACTTTTATTACCTGGACAAGGTATTACTGAGCAGACTCTGGTTTGATAAGGATGTCCAAAACAGGGCTTTCCACCGTTCATAGGAGCAGGGTTTGAACATGTCCTATAGCGCTTCTGAAGCCCTCCTGTTCCGCACGATTTTGAGCAAGGACCAAACTCGCTCCATGGGCTGTAACCTCCATCAACTTTGCAAGTAAAGAAAGAATATTTCCATGAGTTGTCTGTCATCATCGTTATCATCATATAAGCAACATCATCACAAGAATCATCATCATCATTATCACCAACATCATTCATTATTATAACCCGGCAACTTTTTAGACTGCAAGTAGTCCCTCATTTGTCCTCAGGGATAGTAGAGCGAGAGAAAAGCGAGCGCGCGTGATTTTCACGCGCTCGCGTTTCGCTCGCTCTACTATCCCTGATGAAAAATGGGGGACATCTCGTAGTCTAGCAACTTTTCTGGTCCGAAGGCCAATTTTGAAATCAAAACCTGTTGGATCCTGTTGAATAGTAGCACAGTACCTAGCACACAAACCAGTCAGTTTTGCTTCGTTCTGATTGTTTCATTTCTATCATTTTCAAAATTTTTGAAATTTTGATCTTGAATGCAAACACGGAAAACATAAAACAGCTTTCCGGGCCCGAAAAGTTACCGGGACTTTCGAGAAACGGTCCCCTGGCCGGGCATACATATGTCGTGGGGGGAGGGGTAGGCGTGAATAACCGACTCGGATGCTTAAAACTTGCGCTTACAAAATCGGCAACCGTCTAATCCTTAAATTGAGCCTATTTAGTAAAAAAGTCATTATAAAGAAGAGCGAATATTCCCTCAAGGAAAAAAGGAGAATCTCAAAACAAAGTGAGGCTAAGTTGGCTAACCCGCCCCCTACTGGGAACTGCGACTGTGCTTCGGTTGAAGGAGGAATCATCGGTATTGTGTATAGCGTGGAAAATGCGATTGTTTTCTTTTAAAAAAAAAAGGGACAGTGGGTGGCATACGTTTATGTGCCGCATCATTACATTGTCCCAGTGCTTTTTTATATTCTTTTCGTTTGATCAGGGAAACCGGAAATCCATCATACAGAGGAAGTTAAGTTTACGTTTTCCGTTAGGACATTTAATACGAGCCTAGGAATATATCCGACTCTTTAATAAAATTACATATATTTTAGTGACTGAAAATACAAGGAACTTTTATCATTGGGAAAGTCATGTTAGTGGACTTCGTGACATTCGATAACATTTCTTACCTATTTCCTCAAAGGAAGCCATTTGAGAACCGGAAATTAAAATTTCGCGCCAAAATTAAACAACGAGACGGCTGCGCATCGCTCGTGTCAACCATTTGAGTCAGTTAAAAAATGTGTTCGCGAAAAATTAACAATTTGAGGGGATTTTAAGCGAAATTTCTGCTCTTTGAAAGGCAAAAGTACCTATAAAGGTAAGTTTATAACAGAGTAAGCGTTAATAGTTCGTTCTGACATCTTAACAAAACAAACGAGGTTTTGTATTGCAAATCGCCGTGGCGTGTCGTCCGTGCACGCACTTAAAAATAAAAACAGTGCATGAAGAAATTGTTTAAGTAGATAAGTTCTAACAAGTACATTAAGCTTTAGAGAAATACCTAATCTTATGTTCTTCGACGGCAAAATATTTTAGCAATGGCCGTAGATGAGTGCAAAGATTGGAGTAAATAAAGGTCAACAGAGATCAACAAATACGCAAACAGTCTGAGTCACGAAGATATAACGTAACATGAATAACTTGAGGTAAGCCGATGAAACCGATACTTTTATGCAAATGCATAGTAAGTGTTAATCCTCTAAAAGCGATATAACGGCCACTTTCCTTTAAAATCAGGGATTTTTATTGACTTATAAGTTACCTGGGCAGTCTTTGCGATTGCAGCGCCGTACTTGAATAGCTGGGCCTAATGAATGACACATCTTTCCGCCCCTACTGGGAACGGGCCTGTTACAGAGACGAGTTCGCACTTGAGCACCTCCTCCGCATGATCTGTCACAAACACCCCAGTCGGACCATTCACTGTAGCCGCCGTCTGAAGGAGTTTAATAATAATCATGAATGTTTATTATTTAAATAATAGACAAACTGCCGTTTTAGCCAAGGTAATTTTCGACGCTATGCGATGTTTGTTTTTCCTCAGCGTGGTGTCCTCACAAAAATTGAGCGCGCGTCACTCACGATGGTGCAATTTTTTCCACAAAAATAACACATTTGGCTTTTTCAATCGGTCATCGTGTCCAGTTATGGCTTCTTGTTCAACCGTATTGTTTTTTGGTAGTGTTGTCTATTGCCAGCTATAGTCGGCATTTCTCATTAACACCGCCCGGCTAGCTCAGTCGGTAGAGCATGAGACTCTTAATCTCAGGGTCGTGGGTTCGAGCCCCACGTTGGGCGTCCATCTTTTTCCCTAGGCCACTACTTTATTTTTTGCAAGTAAAGGAATGGGCTGAATACCTACGGAAATGATATTTTGATCCTTCTTTTATGGTTGCCTTTTTGTGCATGCTTGCAAAGGAGACATAGACAGAACCTTTGGTAAGGTGAGGCAGGATTATAGGATCGGTACTTTCGAAGAAACTGTAGTCCAGTTAATTATTTGAGATTGAAAATATCTTATAATTCTGCCGCAACTTGCCAGTACAACAGCGCCCGGCTAGCTCAGTCGGTAGAGCATAAGACTCTTAATCTCAGGGTCGTGGGTTCGAGCCCCACGTTGGGCGCATATATTCAATTTTTTTTCTCTTCATACTAATGTTTGTTGTAGCTCTATGTATTTTAAATTGGACACGTACTCAAAGTATGAAACAGGGAGTTCGGAATAGAAATCAATTTATGTGAACTCGAAAACGAGTATGTTTGTCGATTGAGTTAACGCTATACTATATTCCTGACCAAACCAGACTTTCTCTCTCTCAGGTCTCTTTAAAACTTTACGTTCTACAATGAATTCCCTACTATCCATCCTCTCTCGAACGCGAGGTACCATAAAACTTCAAATACCAGTCATGGAAATAATTAGTTTCCATACATTCTCTTACCTATAGCCATGGCTCGAGCAAGAGCATTCTGCGTCCCAATGTTCGCAGCCGGATAGTGAAAGCTGCCTACAAAGAGAAATATATGTTTTTTTGAGTATCACTGCAGTTGCTTTTCATTCCCGCATTTACCTTTTTAAATTAATTTACAACTAATACAGACGCAAAGTGCTTTGTTAATACTGACCGCCGATACCGCCGTATCTGTGTAAAAATAGTTAACCAGAAGCCGGTGATATTAATACCAAAAGTTGTCTTTACTTGTAATGAATACCTGTATAAGATTTAGCGGCCTGCTCCAAGGGGAAAAATCTGCTACGCTGTGGGGAAAGGACTGATAACATCGAAGTATATGCTGAAATATAGTAGAAAGAATAACAATAATAATTAGGAGTCTACAGCTGCTGGCAAATCTAGTTTGAACATCTATGAACGGCAAAGCACAGGCAACCCAATTTCACATGTCGATCCTTCCTTTTAACTTCATTGATATAATTAATAGTATTTATTTGTTTGGCATATTCCTTTTACGTTCGTTGTGATGTTTGTTCTCCTTCTTCTCTTTCCTCCTTTTCTATTTTTGCGTTTTCTCTTGCATCCGCTTAGACGCGGCAAATGCTCGTCAAACACTCCGCTTTCCTTCCATTCTCTTTCGTTCGTTATTTTCAATCCAGCCGTCGTTTCGCAAAACTAGGACGATGCTCTTTTAATCTTGCCTATATCTATCCAGCAACCTCTACTCTGATATTGGTCGACATCCATTTATTGACTATTTGTGTAAGTTCGTTGATCTATTACGTCTAAGTATTAACATTTATCAGTTGTTCAGAGGGTCTGCGTTTACGTTTCGTCTCTTGAGTCTGCGTTCGTCTCTCCGTAAGGACAGAAACAGATTATTTTTTTCCTCTCCTTTCCATTGATAACGCGGGTGCCGCTTACTCTGGATGGAAATAAGATCAGGTCTTTTTATCAACCGTAATTTGAACTGCGTTCCCTACCTGGACACAACCGATCAAGACACGACCGGTGCTGTATGGAAAGACCATGACACAGATTTGGAAAGAGGCTCGGGTTGATACAAGAGCGCCTGCGAGTACGGAATCCAGCACCACATGTCTTTGAGCATGCGCTCCAAGCACTCCACGATGTGAACAGCTGATGGCTTATGTCAGTGGTCCTAGTGGCGAGTCCTGCATTGAAATGTTCAGGTTTAGAACATCATTTGCACCTCACAGTTACGTCAATGGCCTTTTTTTAACCCGTCAATCTGAGCCAAACACCTGCGTAATCTATCAGCAGACATACTACGTGGGTATAAAAGAAGTTCATAGTGAATCCACAAGTGCGGAATGCGATAGGCTGTTGTGTTTTCATTTATCAAATCGCTTTTTCCTCTCTGTTTACCACAGTTTCAGTCCCCCTACTCTGTTATCAAAGTACCGTGTCGTTTAAAATTTACAAACAAAGATGAAGAGAAGGGAACTTAACAAGATAACACTTTGATAACACTCTGTCAATAGCTACTAGTAATGTTCCTTTGCGTATATGAGAATAACAGAATCCGGCCTTTGGTCTATGCTGTGTTCAATGTTATCCCGAATCAAATTCTTTCGTTGAACTATAAGACCACTTCAAATAATTTTGGAAGGTGTTGGTAAAATTTCTTTCTTTAAATCATCTTGTACAGTATCATAAACTGCACCACTGAAATGGACACACACTCAAAATCTACAGCCACCATGAATGGTACAAATCAGCGAACAGCTTCTGACGTTGTGTACCTTGTACAGTGTACCTTATAATTAATGGTACCGCAGCAAAGTGCTAATGAAGAGCTTATCATTTTAAGGGTTAAACTTAAGGCTGTTCAGAGTCTTCTTCAGTTTGCAGTGATGAGATAGTGAAATCACGTGCTCACAGCACACACTTTGTGATTAGTTAAAAAAGGTTTGGTTTTTCCTTTGTGCAGGAGGCTTTGTTTTTATTAGTCAGAATACACTACCACTGGTGTTGGTCTACCCGGTGATTTATTTTCTCGTGACTCAGCGGACACAATATCTCACGAGTTATCGTAATTGTTAACGGAAAGTGGAAAAATCACGCGATACCAAATCGAACTTTCCGGCTATCAGAGCGCTGATTTTTTGCGTTTGGTTTGCGTTGCATTTCAAAATCGTTTTTTACTATTTCCTTACAAATGCGTTGTCAGCATAGAAAACTAAAATCTACGCTACTTGTCGATCTGTAATCAGTACTACGTTTAGGAATTTAGTCGGAGAATCATATTTTGTGTATCAGACTCCTATCTTGGTTGCTACCTTTTTGGGGCTTCAGGTATATGAAAGGGTGTCTTTAAGGTGGAAAGGCGGGGGGAGGAGGTGCGAAGAGGGGGTGAGGATTCTCCGCTCTTGGCTGAGAATGCCGACGATTTATCTTAGTCCTTAAAAACTCTAATTTGTCCTTGCAAAATCCTTGAAATTTGTTTGTCTGAGTTTGTACGAACAATGGTTCCCAAATTTTATACTCTTCCCCAGTTTGAGGCTTCGCTTCAGTTGTCATCTTTCAAGTGCCCGGTCTCTCGCAAACGAACCTATTATTGGCCGCGGCCTAAAGGGGATTAGTTATTTGAAATGTAGACAACAAGAAATACCGGTGACCATAACTGGAAGGGTTGCATCAAGACAGACAGAAGGGGCAGGGCTCCTTAGAACGGATGCAAATCAAGGCATTGTTCAAGCAAAATACGCATCGCTGAGAAGGATTTACCGCTCCAGTAATCAACGTCCAGAAAACGTGAAATATCCTTTTATTCTTAGAATATATGCTTTAGTGTAAAACTCACAACAGTTTCCAGTCACATCCATAATGGTAATAGATTTAAAAGATTAGCTCACAATGTTAGCAACCGGCAAAATCTGCTCAAAATCGGAAGATCCTTCCAAGGACCCGCCAAACTCATGTACTGCATTTTTCTCACATCAAACAACTGGAGTGGTAACTGAAGTTAACTATGGTTTGAAAACTGACTAAAACTCATGGAAAAACTCATAAGATGGATCAGAGGCGAGTGACGACGAGAGTTACGGAGATGGTTAGGTTACTGTTGTTAGTGGAATAATCTTGCGTCATTCTCCTTCTGGTGCAGTAAATATTATTGGCAGATTCTTGGTAGTAAATTGCTTGTTTTAGTCCTTGAATCCTGATTACAAGTATCTAATACTCAGCTAGTTTCAATGTATGTCTGGGAAATTAGTCCGTTATTTCTACTGATTAGGAGTAACAACAAGAACGCTTTGTTTAAAGCCTATGATACTTAGATTATTATTTGCGTTTGGCTTGTCTTAATTGTGAACCTTTCAAAGAATTAGCAAGAGAAAACCCTTTTCGGCTAGATAATGTGTTAGTTAGTTATGAAATGAATAAAGAGATGGACTGGTTAAGTCTTCCAACAATACTGACCTGATTAGAAAGGGTACTAAATTGTAATGCGGAAATTCACATTGTGCTAATATTTTTTTTACGTTTACACGATGCTGTCTATTTTCAGTGAATTAAATCTCTTGCTTCATCTTAGATGCGGTTTTATACTGCAAGCAGACAAATCTAGGTTCTTAATTTACTGAACTGAGTCCTATTTTAGGTAGAGACACTCGCCACTGTATTTCCCTATCGTTTAGTGGCTACGTTTTCTCTTTTTCCATATAACACGCGTTCTATAATTAATATGATCACGGGACAAAATATGGGCCAGCAACCCCTTTTCTTTTAGTTCCCCCTCAGTCACAATTTTGTCTGCAGTTGGGACCTTTCTACGTTCGTTTCCCCACGGCAACAGCCGGGTGTAGAATTGTTTCGAAACACCAGCGATATCACTTACTCGTTCAGTCGATAGAGCGGGCTCATGTGTATTAGGCGATGATAAGATATTAGTAGAAGCTGCTGTTACTTGATTTGTAAGATGTGAATATGGGTCAAAAGAAGCTTGCATTAGTCCATTTGCAGTCTGACTTAACCTGGCATTTTTGTAAGGAACGATACTAGCATCACTATAGCCATTTGGTGAACTAGAGGCTATGATGTTTTGATTCTCATATCGACTACCCGTGGTTTTATAGTTAATGTATGGTGTTACTGTATTTTTCAGAACCGGAGTGCTTTGCAAAGAGGGCTTAGACTGAAACGCAGTTAAACTAAAATCTGCGCTTGATTGGGTTAATCTATCCTGTTGCCCTTTTGCATTTTGACTAGTCTCAGTTTGTGAAGCCTGCTTTGCATAGTAAGGGAAAAGCCTCTGAAGCAGAAAAGAGTTGGAACGGGCAATGCCGGCCAATCTAGGGCTACCGTGCGACTTTAAAATAGTTGATGCTGTTATAATTGTAGAAGGCATCACCATACCCCTGACTATAGATGAAATAGGCAACGGCAGTTGCCTCGACGAAACTTTTTCCCAACGCCCTTTGGTGTGTTCTAAAGCGAGACTATTTCTGTCTTGTTTTTTACGCACTCCTTTTAAGACACCAGGAAATAAAGCATGTGGATTATTGCTTTCGAAGTGCCTCGAAAGAGAACTTGTAACTGAAGAAAGCGGCTCTGTACCCTTACCTGTATAACGATTAAAATACAGCTGATTTGCTATATAACTTTGAAGTGGGTAAGCGTGAACTGCTGCTTGATTGACAGTTGGTGAAAAAAATTTCCGTTGACTGACCTCCGGGAGAATAGTGGGAGTGGGCTGCGATATCGATTCACTGAACGCTTCCTTTTCACCTACAAAATGATTAAGTAGAAGTGTAGATTAACCGGCACATGGCTGAAACGTTCACCATGATGAGGAGATGAATTAATTAGGTAGCACCTTAGTTTAACGTAGCACTCAAGGCTTTTACATTTAATTACTGTATCTCACGCAGAATGCTTTCTTAAGCCGACATTCTCAGTCACCCTGCCCTAAAATCTACGGTCAACGCTTTTGAAATTCCTTTAAAGGATTGACTCACAATATTTAGCAATGAAAATATTTTTAATGAAAATTTTGGCTTTGGCAGAAAGGGGTTATCCTTTTTGCAACGAATAGCATTCAGAAACATCAGGGAAGAGCAACATAGTAGACAACTAAAAATCGAAACACTTATTACGCATGCGCCTATGGCATAGCATATCGTTTCAAAAGAGATGTTATTGCTTATAGACCAAATTATTATTTTATTTGTTCTGATTGCTTACAGCAACATGTAAAACATAAAACTGCATGTTTAACACTCTCTCTGAGACAAATTGCTTTCAAAAGAAAAAAAAGTGTGACTGACTGACGTACCACATGAGCGAGAATGCACAATAATAATGTAATAAATACTCAAGAGTTCACGTCTATTTCATTGCGCGGATGAGCCTCACTGGTGTGGGGTGCAGGCTTCAAACCTGTAGCCGATTAGCGTCGGAGCGGTTCGATTCCGCCTTCTGCGCGGGTTTTGTTTTGTTTTTACAAAAATGAAGAATATACCACCGGAAGTTTCGTTACGTGAACAATAGTGAATAACAAATAATGCACTTAATGAAAAGAACACTGGGTCGTAGCTTACGGAAAAGTCACACTTAATAAATGATTTTCTTTCCTTCCCGTGCGAATCAGAGTAGCTCATATGAACGACTCTGCAAAGCTTAACCCGGTGACCAAAGTATATAGGGTGTGAAATTAAAATGAACGATAATTAATTTTTCTTTCAATTTTAACTTCTCTCTGTTCCCATATATTGCCGATGATACATGTATTAAGTTTTTTCCCCATTAAAGTATTTTCCTCAGAAATACACCGTATTTAATGTTGTAGAGAGATTTGGTGTCAGTTTTTAATTTCACGATAAAATTTGCCATGCAATCTACCATTTTTACATCAGTCATGCGAATATCGGGTATCGATTGTCGCCCAACCGTGTAATGATTTGTTGTTTTATGGTTAGGTCATATTTGCCAATTTACGTGTTGGCAAACAAAGAAAACAGCCGAAATAAAGTAGTTTTAACGTGGCTATAAGTTGACAGCGGGACTCCACAAGCGAGAGATTTGAGAATTTTGTTTATTATGGGGTTGTTCCCAAGCCATACGGCTCCGACACATTAATAAAGTTTTCTATTCTATTCTCTGTATGCAAAACAACGTGACAAAAGCTCAGTAATTGAGTGGATTTTGACCAATTAACTTGCTATTTAGCATAATCTCTAGTTCCTAGCCTAATAACCAAATCACACATTATTTTGCATACTAGCACTATTTAGCCGAAACGTACTGAAATAGCTTCTATAGGCGGACTTGGGTATTAAAGGAGTCGTCACGCACAGCTCCCCCTCCCCCACGATTTACTTACTAGACTAAATTTTGGTCACAAATTTGAGGCTTACTTGTTACTTCAAGAAAAATTTACTCGCCGTGTCCTGTTTTTAACCCTAAGAGTGAAGGCTCTGGTAGTTTCTCTGTTTTCTTGAAAACGACTTGGAATTTGACATCTAAATCAACCCTTACCTGTGGGTGCTCCACATAGTGTTTCCACATCTTTAGCCGACAAGTACTTCTCCCAGAAGGAGACGTCACCACTGTCAAACTTAGTGCAGTGAAAGTGCGGGCTGTAATTCGGCCTTCCAATCATCAGTAGGGTGTTGATATCTGTCACGTGGCAGCCTCTAGAGTGACAGCCTATACAGTGCTCACTTCCCTCAGTATGTGCCTTCAGTTCACAGTTTATGTACATCTTCATTCCTGAAAACCACAATAATATCATATCCTTCCTTTATTACCTCAAGAAATATTTAGAGAAGGCGCATGCATTTTGATATCTTTAGGACTTTACACCTCAGGTTTACCGCGTCAGAACGTTTTGCTTTTTCTTGCCCATGCACCAATCGGCCGACTTATTTCCACGGAGCCAAATGTTAATGTAATGCAATAGCCCTTACCTTCGCTTTTCTTCCAAGTGACAAGAATGTCCTGCCATTTTTGGACTGTTAACGGGATTTGCAAACAAAACTCATGATCTGCAATAGCTAAATCAGCTCTCAGATTTCCGTGAACGGTGTAGAGACTGAATCCTTTAGAGTTAAATGTCGATGCCCCGGAATCGACGAGGTATTTCATGTCGTTATACTTTAATGCATCCTTGTCTAAACGAAAGGTCATCTCAAACGACAAGCCATCTTCGCATGTATCTGGATCTACAAATTAAGTTCTTATAATCAGATAGGTGTTTATATATAAGTTGTAGTCAGTGATTTCTAGCGGATTTAGTCTAGGAGCAGAAAATTTAGAAGAACGTGTTGGAACCCCAATTAGACCTTTGCCCAGTATTTGTCAGTGGACTGAACTGCTGTTTTTGGTACTTGTACGTCCAAGAAAAAAGTTTGAAAATGTCGACATTCTAATCGCTTCCTTGAAAATTGCACTTGTCCTGACTATCTTTTTAAAGAACAAAAGGCTTCTTAAGATATCAAAATTTATAGCTGAGTTAATAATTCCCTGAAACGGGCAAAAATTCTCTGGGGAAACGTTCTAGCATCTTTGGAAAACATGGCTCCATTGGCGCTCCAGGAGTTTCCGATCTCTCGGTCCCAGAACCTCCAGGACCCGCAGGTCCTTTGTTTCTATACAACAGCCGGAATGCTACCATACCGCTTATGCAGCCTCCTGAGAAGTCACCAGCTCCCAGCCATGAATTGTTACCGTCAAGATGCAGTCCTCCTCGAATAGCTTTCATTTCTCCGTGGGTTCGTATAGCGGGCCCAGGACTTCCCGGAATCCGATCTTTAATGCGTTTGTTTAAAGACCAGTGATAAGTTGGCCGTACTGGAAATTAAAATCGTCAAAGAACAACACGCTTATAAGTTGGTGTTATTTAGTTATACCTTATTTTAACTGTGGTCCGAATGAACCTTTTGTTATCAGTTGTCCTGCTTTATTTTTTGTCGAAGGTGAAAAGCCGGGTGAATATTTCCTTATGAAATCTTTTAGGTAATTTTTCATACCTATCACCAGCAAGGAAGTGAATAATTACGTATCTCACGTATTTTATTATAAGATAAGTTATATATTTAATTTAGTAATTAGCCAGCGGGACCAGCATTAACTATGTTCCCTGCAATTACGTACAAATGGGCAACATCAGCTCTTTGCTCCTTCTCAAGCACTGGTTTGCCATGTACATCGGAATTAGCCAACCAGAGAGGGTGTAAAACACTATTCGTCTGTGTGGTATATGATGAGGTAAAAACTAAATCAATGTATACAATTCAGTTCCACGGTTTTTGACCGATAATGGAGACAAATCTTTCCTTAAATCCTTTCCTTGATCATTCGGATCAATTAATAAATTGCATCGCACTGTTGTTCAATTTCAAATATATCATGCGCTGGTGGAATAATTCTTAAAATCAATATACAGACGACTCCCGATAACTCGAACCTTCAAGGGAAATCGAAAAAGGTTCGAGTTATCGGGAGTTCGAGTTATCGGGAGCTCGAAGAAAATAGCCGTGCACAGTGAGTATTCTAATCACATCTAATTGTAAAAATGCTGAGTGAAAATTGAAAGATACTGTTAGATTATAAATCAGAACGTAAAGTAACAAAACGTTGCCTAAATAGAGCATGCATTTTACTTTTTGAGAAGTAAAGCTATTTCACGTTAGATTTGTGGTAAACAACATCCGCCTCCACTATCGATCCACTAGTAAACTATATGCCTACAACACGTCAATGGGAAATTCAAAATTCAATGTTTCGGAGGCAGAACACTCTTTTTCCCGACTTTTTAAGGGCTCAAAACACGGTTCGAGTTATCGAGGGTAAAATGATATAGAAATGATCTGAGGGGAAACAAAAATTACTTCGAGTTAGCGGGAGTTTCGAGTTATCGAGGGTTCGAGTTACCGAGGGTAAAATTACAGTAAATGTATGACGGAAATCCAGGGAAATCGATTTTGGTTCGAGTTAGCGAGGGTTCGAGTTATGGGGAGTCAACTGTATTAAGCTCGCCCCAAGCTTATTAAAGGCAAACGAAATAATATACAGAAACACGCTTTATGTAATGAGGGTCTTAAGGAGGAACAATGAAACAAATCACTCAGGGGAATAATTGGCCGATCCTTTAATGTACTTTTATTGTCACCCTACCGGGCAATATCTTATGGCGCCCACTTCATCATAAAGTGTTAAATCCAAGAATGCAAGCATTGAGAATTTATCAGTTTTGTAATAAGGATCTTGTAATAAGCAACTTACGTCTCTCACTGTCCTTTGGGTTCCAACCCAGCGCCCCTTCTTCTCCGTATAGTTTGTGTAAAGGTGTCTTCTCCACGTCATCGGACTCTTTATCCGAGTGGGTAACACTAGATCTGGCTTTTGTTGGGAAACTGAGTTTCATCTCCAGATCTTCGGGTTTAATGTGCTCAATAGTCTTTATCGACGAAGATGCAGAATGTGTTGGTTCCAATCTTTGTTCTAAATTTGACTCTTTCTTCGTATCCGGCGTTTTATAGAATTTAATGAGGTCCTTTCTCTTTATTTTATCGATGAGATCAATGAAATCTTCGTTAGGAAGGTCAAACCCAACACCATCAAAAACGATGTGATGCTTACTACTTTTCTTTTGGATTTGTGTGACTCGATCTGGTACCTTTTCTTCAAAGAACCGCTGAGACTGTTCTGCCTCAAGGTTATTTTCATTTTTAGCTTTTCTCTCATTCAATAACTTTTCTAAATCGTCGTCATCCGAAGATTCGTGTTGTTTCGGAAGCATTTTAAGAACTCCTTCCCGCAAAGGAATCTTAACGTTCAAATTTGAACTTATTCTTTTCAAGCCAGAGTTGTACTGATGTGTTGTTGGAGTTGGCACTTTTGGACTTGGGAGCGAGTCTGACATGAATTCTGATGCGGTCTGAACCTTGTGAATCCCATGGTGATATCTTTGCTGGTGAACTTTGAGCTCTAACTTCTGCGAATTCTCCCCTTGTTTAAACAACTCACCAAGCTTCCGGTTCATTTCCATAGAACTTCCTGTCCCTATGATCGTAGCATTTATCTTACCCCCAGTAATTAAAACCCCATCTCCAATTTCACCCCCCTCTATCACCCCTCCTTCAATAGTCCCACCCTTAATTTTACCAGCTAGAACAAGCCCTCCCTTTAGATGTCCACCTTCCATAACCCCGCCTTTTAAAATCCCCCCTTCAATTACTCCGCCCTTAAGCGTTCCTCCGTCTATGCTGCCGTTCTTTAGCACCCCGCCAAGCATCGCACCCGATTTGAGAGTGCCGCCTGATATATCTCCAAATTTTAATTCACCCCCCTCTATGTTACCTGCGTGCACAATACCACCTTCGACTTTGCCGCCTTTCACTGTCCCTCCTTGAATTTCACCTCCATTAAGTAGTCCGCCTTGCATGCTTCCCCCTCGAAATCTTCCACCTGCCACCACTCCGCCTTTAATGTCTCCCCCTTCTACGCTCCCTCCCATTATTTTCCCACCGAAAACATTTCCACCGAGTAACTGCCCTCCTTCAAGTCGCCCATCAACTAAGTGTCCACCCAACATTTTCCCATTCACAACCACTCCACCTTCCATGGTTCCGTTGGTTATTTGGCCACCAACAACCTGTCCCCCTTTGATGATACCACCTTCTATTAATCCGGCTTTGATATGTCCCCCTTCTATTAAACCACCGGATATTTGACCACCGGATATCTTTCCTCCCATGATATGTGTTCCTGCAGAAGGTGATGGTAATGAAAGAGCGTCTTGCGGTCTCCCAACGGTAGGAGTAACTTTTGCTGTCTGCTGCTGGGTTGGTTTGTGTGAGTTTGTAAGTAGACTTTCGAAATTTGCTGAGGGACTTGGGGGACTCCGCTGTGATGATGAAAGTTTATTTGATGAATTCATACTTTCGCCGGAAGGTCTTTCCACTCCGTAATTCGATGTTGCACGAAACGATGCCACCCCTGCTCCTTGTTTATCCGTCCCATCGTCTTTAGTTTCGGAAAACGGAGTATTCAAAACTGCAGTGGACTCCACTTTCTGCAGCTGTACTTGTTGGGTCTCATCTGCTTTTTCTGGGCTTCCAAGCGAAACCAGTTTTTTTACGTTTGCTTTACTAAGTCCATCATGTCCGTCTACGATAGCTGTTACATTTTTTTGGTTGTCATGGGTGTCTTGAGAATTTTCTTCAACTGTGTTTGCCTGCTTCACCGTTTTATTGGGCCTTCTTAGGTGGCCAAAGTGATCAAGCATTCCTCGAAAAAAGTTGTCAAAATCCTCTTGAGAAGGTTCCCGAGAAATAGGAGGCTGTCGAAACTGTGTGCTTGCGCTTGAAGTCTGTGAAGGAGAAATGGCAGCTGTGCTTGATCTACTAATGTACTTTTGAGAATGCGATTCTGTAGGTCGAGCCTTCTCCGTTTTAATTTTAGGTGGATTGTCACCATTTTCAATAGCATCGTAGAAATCATCGTTACCCCTGTTGCTGTCACTGCTGCTGTCCTCCGTGTATGAAGGCGAATTGTCATCCCATGAATACTTGGAAGTCGGCGTCGAGGGTGACGTAGGTGTGTATATTGAGTCTTCATTGCCATTGTTATTGGCTGTGTTTTGACTTGAATTGTCGTTTAAAGCATGAAAGTAGTCTGAGAGAGTGTTGTTGTCAATCATAGTAACTTCAGTCACGTCCATCCCATCCAAGTCAAGTCCCTTGGAAAAAGACCCTGGAAAGTCATCCAAAGACTCGATCGTCTTGGCAATATTTTGTCTTTCTTTGGTCATAGCTTCTTCCACCTTTGTCCTTTTCCTTGTATGTCTGTGGTGTTTTCTTGGAACCTTATACCTTTTGAAAGCTGAGGATATTTTGTCTCTGTGACTTCTCACTGAAAGGTCTTTACCGTTTGGGGAAGCTGTTAAATTCAGACCATGTCCAACAATAGAAGGCGCTCTCATCTCTGAATGGTGATTGGGCATTACTCTGCTATGATCAGACACGTTTTTCCGACCTTCTTTGTACATTTTCCTAGCCCGCATTCGGTGTATCACATATTTGTTACTTTTTCTTGACATAGTCTTTGTAGTTGGGGTATCAGTTTCGCCACGTTTAAAAGGAACCTCCTTTGTATGGCTAGATTTCTCAAAATCTTTCATAGCACCGTATAACAACGACATATCTCGTTGCTCCTGATTTTCCACTGTTTTCGAGTTTTTTTCGTTGCGTTTTTGCTCATGGTTGCGTTTGCTGGCCACAGTATCAGATTGTATGATAAGCAAAATGATGGCGATTAAAATGACGATCCTCATTTCTCTGTATATTAAAAAAAAGAATTAAGAATGAGGAGATGACACAAGGAAAGTAAAATTCAGAGTTCGAGTTACCGTGGTTCTACTGTATTATTATTATTAACTTATATTTATACAGGATGTGCCCCTTCAGCGGGGCTGATATTAACGGGGATCCAGATAAACTATAAAATTAAATGCATGAGAATAATACAAGTATGAAAAGGCAGATACTTGAGAAATGAACTATACAACAAAATCACATGATAACAGTCCTCAGCGTCTCTGAGTTGAGCTAAAGATTTGCAATGCGTTGATGAGTCCGGGACCTCATTGTAGGTCCTTGCTCCCTGGTACGTAATTTAGTTTTTCCTAAATTCAGTTCGCACAGCCGGAAGTACAACATTTAGTTGCACATTGTTGCAGCGTTTAAAGCAACTGTCATGTAACATGTCTTAAGGCAGACTAACACTGTATTAGAGATTAAAAAAATTAAAAGACAAACGCCCCAGGCCCGCTGTTTTCCGAAAGATCTTTTTTCATTTGTTGACAGCAGTGTATTTTCCCTTACACGGCTAGTTCGTTTGACCTAAAATTACAGGCTTACAACTTCCTCCCTAAGACCCGTGGATTATTCGGGCAAAGCGTCTTTATAGCACACATAAATATGTTTTTTCGTCCGAATGTTTGTAGACGCTTAAATCGGCCTTGTTCAATGAATATTCATTCACCTAAAACACTGAATGGGTCGAAGAATCTAACGAACTGAAACACCATTACCTGTAGCGTGGGACATATGAGTAGTTCTAAGAGAATGGAATCTTACTTAATGGCCAGTCATGTTTCAATTCATATATTTCATAGGTCAATTACTGCTACATTGCCACCCGAAATAGATTACCTTCCAACTTAAGTGTAAATTAATAGGTTATTTGAAAGCTAACTGAATTGTGTTATGACTAAGTCTGAATCTAACCACCTTGAAGTTGTACGAGAATTTTAATCGTTATGTGTTAAAGGTAAAAAAAATATTGTTTCTTTCGAAGGAGAGACCAGTCAAGTAAAAAGACTCAAAATGCAGAAGTTTATTCGCGGTTGCGAAGGGGCGGAAAATCGCTTATTTTAAAGTTAAACAAACAAGCATTTGCTAGATTCAAATGAAACATTACCGTCTTGTTTTAGTGTAGTGTAGTGTTACCTTAATACTAAAGGTCTGTTTAAAGACGGACAAACTAAAAATTATTTAGTACTTAAAACCACAACAAACTGCCTAATAATTAAGGTCGTATAACATTTTAATTCTTCGTACCTTAATAGCCGTTTTTCATTTGTCTAGTGTGTTATTTGGCGTAACATTCTTCTAAAAAACGGTCAACTCCTTATGGGATACATCTCTCCATGTAGCTGCGCATTATGTTGGTCTGTAGCTTTATACATTTAACTATCTCATTTTCTTGCGATAAACTTCAAGACCATTACAAATCGCCATCCATGTAGCACAATTTCGAAGGCACTAACAAGAACAAACTATCCAAGCGTGACCGAAATCAAAAATCATGAAATCACTTTGGAATGTGTATCGATTGATCGCCAGTCGGGTCCGGTCTGTGCGTGCTCTACACCAAAACGTTTGTCACCTCCCTCAACTCTCTTGCGTTTTTGTGTGAGTAGGTGGACTAAAGGACGACTGTCATGTTCGATTGCTGGTATGGGATGGAGTATGGGACTAGCTGGCAATCATGTCGATTGAGCATGTACTAGCTCACTCCGGGACGTTCTGAGCGTAGACTAATCCTTGCAACACGTATCCTGCTAAAGGAACAGAGATGTAGGGGTTAGGGCTTACCCATGCGAGTTGTCTGTTTTCTATCCAAATGTACTTCAGGTTAAAGTCTGTATATTGGTTTGGAAGGGGTATCAATAAGTAAGGTAAAGCCTGGTCTCGTTTTCCTTTATTAGAAAAACGTAATAGACATACTTCAGTTTTCCTTTGATGGTTAACCTCTTTGATTTCCTATTGTTTGTTAAGTCGTTGGTACACTACCATCTAGTGTCCGCTTGGAGAGGAATATCTTGAAAGTGTCATGCCTAGAACATAAACACAAGGAATAACTTCCTGCAGGTTCTAGAGCGGTAGTTCTTAAATTCAGTGCATTCATGACGTAACACCGTGCCCAGACGACTGAAAGTTTCTTGACCTTGGATAGTGGTAGAAGAAAAAAGTAATATTAACAAGATGTTATCATTTTTATCTAAAACGTAGTGCAAAAGAAAAGGAGAAATGTAATTTAGTGTAATTCAGTGTAATTCATGTAGATATTTTCCATGGCTTTATTATGATAAGAATGATGAGGCTATTCACTTGATCCATTGCATGTTTTAAAAGATCCCTCATTGAACTCCTTCCTCTCAGTCTCTGTCGTGCTGGAAATTCCTAGTGAGGCTATCGAGGGGTTAATTTTGGGAGTGGAACGGCAGTAGATGTGATGTCTGTAGCTAAATACAATAAATGGTTACACATAATCTGGTTGCTAACAGTAACAAAAAACTGAAAGCAACCTTATTTTAGGGTTCAAATTCCCCTTGGCAACATCGACTCAAGTACTTAGGAGTGGTAGTGTTGAGAAATGGTAATTATCTTTACTCATGTAGTCACATCGATGCATTCGCATCTTCCCTCGTGCTCCGGTTGTTTTTGTTGTTCTGAATGCGTTAATAGATCATTTATGTGAGCACTGGAAGCTAAATCATTTTACATCATAGTTAATCGTTTTCAGTTAAGATGCGCTACCACCCCGCATCGGTGCACCGATAACTTCGTTTTCACGAAAACCAGTTCGCTTCATTATGCTAAGCTCTTTTAATTAAGCCCTTATCGCGGAGTTTTTCGTCTGTAAGTCCCACTCGACAGGTACCTGCCATACGAGAGCAAACTACCAGAAAAGTTATATCTAATTTATAAGCTCTTTCTGCTAGAAGATATCTGTAATCCGCCGATAGTTAAGAGGGAAAACGGGAATTAGAAGGAGAATTCAAGACGACAGATGATTTGGTTACAGTAAAGGAAAGACTTCTACAGCAATACTAAGGTATGGTCCATGCATTTATGATTGTTTAGATGTGATTGAAAATAAGAACGTATTTCGTGCTCTCTTGATCTTGCTTTGACTACTCGCAGAGGAAGGATGTAACACTAATTGGAAACCGATTAGAAATAAAGAAAATTCCTTTATTCGTTACGAACAGCGGGTCAAAGCAATATCTGTACTTGCATGCTCTTACGAAACACTGGTAACCTTGAGCTTTCGACTGTATCAAAAGATATTATTTGTGAAGAACATTAATATGTGGAAAATAATAATAACCGTCTTTGAATTGCTATGTTTACTCCAACATGCTAAATCTACATCACCTAAGTGAGCGTCACCAAGTCAATTTCATCGCTTTTGACTACTCTCCTTTGATTTGAAGAATCCACTATGTATTGGAAGTGTGCATGTATTGCTGCAAATGTTTTCTGCATGGCTGTTGTGGTATTGGCCGATCCGAAGACGGCTTCGAAAACGTCTAAACGAGGTTTGTCAAAATTACCTACCATAGTGAGTAACGATATGCTGCGAAAATCCATATGTTTTGCACAGGCCACCCGGCTTAACAAATTTTCACGAATGTACTGTATTCTAAATAGCCTTGACCGGAGCAATGAGCTATTTAGAAAACTGTACTGAAGGGGAATAAAGTCAATTAACCTCAGTTCTATTTGATAACTTTTTCTTGGTTTTAAGCGTTTCACTGTTTGGGTATGAAATAGGGTAGGGAAAATCTCATATTTTGGTCCGGACTAAGGCAAGAGTTTCAGAAAATATGCTTACCCCTCAGCTGAATTTTCACAAAGTACCGTCCAGGACTCGTACTCGTAGTCATATCTAAAGGTCCTGACTCCTCAGGAGTTAAACGTTTTTAGTAGTGTTTGCTACGTGATTCAATTATTTCGGACAAAGAGCTATACCACGACATGGGAATTAATCCACAGGAGTAGTTCCATGGCATTACTTTTCTAACTACCTATGTTTCTGTGCCTTGGTTTCAACTATTAAATCTTAAATATCTTTTCCGTTTTTAGATGATATAATGGGACTTCATCTAGGGCTTGGGGACGACCTGTTGGGCTCAAACGTTGAAACTAACCTGTTGAAAGATGAAGAAAAACAAGAGGACACTGATCAAAGAGCTGCATTTCCTGTAATGGACGCATTCAAGGAACATACCCTGCTAACTGCTGATGATCTCAAAGATAAGGTAGAGAACAGTTATTCCGACCAAGGGGGAATTCGTGAGGCGGTGGACAACGCGCTGAAGAAACTTCACAAGAAGAAACAACAGGCAGCTGCTGCTGCACATCCTGCTGCTGGTGGTGGTCAGTATCGTGCTGTTACTGCTAAGGAACTGATCGATGAAGTCGTTCAGAAGGAAATCGCAAGCCATTTGGGCAGCGATGCCACTCAGCAAGTGCATGACACTGTTGCTGCAGGTAGCGATGAAACGAAAGGAAAAGTGCATGAGAAACTCGAAGAGATCTCTAACTTAGAAAGACGGCTTTTTTCTCTCATTGACGAAGTGAAAGGATATTTGTCGAAAAAGAAAGGCGATCAAGGGGACAACGAGCAAGACTCAAACGAAGACAGCGACAGTGACTTAGATAAGATCACTATAGACAAACGAAGCGAGATTCCGTTCAATATCGATCGATTTCGAAGGAATGTCTCGCTAGTTGAGGACTTCATCCGCGACGCCCTTAAAGACGACTTCACCATCAATACCAGTTCATACGATGGCAGCGTAGAGAACAATGAAGACGCAAAACAGGGGGACACAAGAGATCTTCTTGGGAAAAAGGAAATGCAGGAAGCGCTTCTAAAGCAAGCAGTTCCCGGAGAGATTGAAGACATCCCGGTGTCAAGCTTAGAGCGGGATATTGATGAAAATGATACGCTTGCTAGTGATCATGGCATTGGCCGTGATGCCTTGGTTGACTCTCCTTTCTCCTCATTAGACTACAAGAAAGTTACTGGCAAACGGTCCAGGCATTATATATCCTGAAGATACAACCTATTGGACATCTACTAGATGTTTAATAACTAAAACGAATTTGTGTAAATTCAGTAAGGAGCTAATTTTGTTCATCGACTCTCCTTCCTCCTCACTGGACAAGAAGAAAATTACTGGCAAACGGTCTAGGCATTATATATCTTAAAAGTACAAACTATTGGACATCTAATGGACTTTTTATGATGAACCCGAAATGTGAAAAAGAAGTAAGGACCTATTTTCGTTCATTTACTGAAAGCTTTAAATCCAGAACGTTGTTAAACTTTAAAAGTAAACAAATGGAAAAGTGAATTTTTTAAGTTAAGGAAAGGAAAAGAGAATTTTAAAAGTAAAAAATGGAAAGAATATAATACGTAGGTAACTCAGATCCATCCGATCTCTCACCAGTGCCTAAAAAAATTGCAGGTGAAATTGATTTGCGCAAGGCTCTTAAAATCTGTAATATGCTGCTGAGATATTACATTTCGCTGCTCGGACAAGTTGGCTTTATCAGGCAGGATTAAAACTAGCCTAAACAAAGGGGAAAATGACCTAAAGATATACGGTAAAGAAATCGCTTTATTTTATACATTTACACGTCGTTATAGTTATACCCCTCTTGCTGCAAACTGTGATTTTAGCGCACTGTTCACGCGAGCCGAACAGGCCCCCAAATGCACAGGGCCAGATCAGAGAAGTTGAAAACCTGTTGTTGAAAACCAATTATTTATTTCGATCACGTTATCCACGCGTTACAGTTTCGTCACGCATCATATATGCCGCAGGCCTCAGGACTGAGGGCTCTTAAGAAACAGAATACATAGTAAGGAACGTTATGCATCCACGAAGTTGCGAAGTAATCACGAAGTAATGGCCAAGCAGTTCTTTATTTTCAAAATGCCGGAGTCGGAAATCTGTTTCAAATGGCCATAAAGATCCGGAATTGGGCTTATTCAATTGTGCGAAGCGATGAGGGTATATATATACTTACAAGGTAAGACGTTAAAAAAATTAATCCATGTGTTCAAACTGGGCTCCTGTGGACCCTGTGCTTTAAATTCAAAGAATGTCCTGAAACTTCAGTTTCCCGTGAATGAGCTTTGCAGTTAAGTATTATTTTGACAAAAAAGAACGAAAATTAATTTTGGTTGACCATTTCCGAAAACTCCCCTGGTAAAACAATAACAAAAAAATCAATAGAACGAACTTGTTTACACTCTAAATACTCCTGTGTCAAGGCTCTTTGTGAATCACTGTCAACACCTTGACACTCCGTCTGTTTATCGTCTTATTCTCCTCTTGTTAATCCTCTAAACCCTAATATCAAAATTCAAATTCTCATTTGTCGTCCCTATTTGTTTTCAGCAGAAATAGTGGGGGGAATTTGTCGAAGTAGGTATCTGTAACTAATCATCCAACCAACCATCCTCAAGTGAATTAATTTTTGGTGTTAATAATGACAGAAAGAATCAAAGCTCCTCGGCAATTGTCAAAAAGCTCGATTTTACTCTTTTGTTTGCTAAATATTACTTGTACATAAATAAGTTATCTCCTAAAGATTTATCTTTGGATGAATTTAAGGCTAAAATCAGTTGGAGATACGATTTCGAAAAACCCCCTCCTTCAACAAGTTAGTGAGTATCCATCTTACCGGAATAATCTGTTAATTAGCAGGTCTAACGTTATTGTGCGTACTATTACAACTGCTGTATTATTCTTTCTCGTCTTTATGTAATTTTGATCCAATCTGTAATATCGTTATATACTTTCTTTTAGTTTTAAATTTTGCAACTGTAATATGTGTTTTGTCAATAAACGTAAAATTATATTAAAAAAAAAAATCGGTAACTAACAAGTATAAGATTAATCTTCCCTGACCATAACCTCAATTGCTATGACCACGCGGTTTTATAAAACGTTGATATTGTCAGGGAAAATTTCATGCAGATCACTCTTTAGGCTTTAAAGGGTTAACTAGTTTATCTGGTTCATCCTACTTATAAGAGGATCTCTGAGTTCGTCCTTACGAATACATCTCCAAATTTTTTTATATGTCACCAAACTCTGGAATACGATACAAATTTATTATCTTAGCATGTTTAAAGAGAAAGCAAAAAGCACATCTTTACTTCATGTTTACGATTTTAATATATTTTAAAATTTAATGTTTTAAAAATTTTATCAACATTGAATTCTTGTATTTCCAAACCCTATTTATTTATTGTAAAGCGCTAATGGTCTATAAGAAATAATTTACTATTACTATTATTGTTATTGTTATTATCATTCTCATTATCATCATCATCATCATCACTTCGCTGTCTACTTGTGCCTATGTGCTACAAAATTCAAATTTTCTCAAGAAAGAACACTAAATGCCTGTTGGGAGATTCCAATAGATAGTGGCAGTGTCTTTCTAAATCAGAAGCCTTACGAGGGTGTTAAGGTTGGCGGTGCGCGGTCTGCATGCTTGTGGTGCTAACTTTCAATTTTGTGATGTCAGAATTAAAAGAAATACTTAGTTCAGCACGCGAAATGGAATGCGCGAAAGAGGTCTCTTATGTTAAATAGGGTAACGAAATGAACGAATTTTGACTTAAACTGGGTCGCGGTTTTGTGGCCTCGGCGACACACTTCTACGCAAACTTCCTTAAGTGGCCGCCTCCTCCGGGTAAGTGCCAGAAATTCCGTCGTTGTCTTACTGACCTTACTTTTTTCTGGCAAAAAAACAAACAAACCAGTGATGAAACTGGCTACAGGTGACAGTGGTAACAGTAAGTAAAAGATGCAGAGACATATTGTATCATTGTAAGAAGTCTTCTTCATCTTCAAGGAAAAACAGGACAAAAAACAGGTGATAGGCGGACTTTGAGTTTATTCTCCTAGTCACGGTCTAAAGCGTTACTTAAAAAAAATCGCGCTGAAATGGTAACAAAAAAGCTTATTCTTTCACTCGAAAAATACAGTAGCATCAAGAAGATTTGTGTACAAGCTTTTTCTGGATCGTTTGGTTTACTAGCAAGAATCGTGGTAATGACGAAGTGCAAAACTTGTGTGGTGACTAGTTCGACAGCGACGCTACGTTTCTCCTAAATCATTTCCCGAACTCATAGTTATTAAAAGCTCTAAAAAGCGGCGAATACTTCGAAGCCGCTCTTCCAATGACTTCATCGATAATATGATCAATTTTGCTTTATCCTGAAGAGGGATAGCAGCTAACGCCCACCATTCCCAAGAAGAACCATTAGAACTAGACACTGGGCTCTCCGAGTTAATGCGAGGCATAGGTCCAATTGCATTTGTTATACAATTCTGCTGCATTTGAGTTAAACTGTTAAACCAAAGTTCCAGCAGTTTTCCGCAATCGTTGTTTAGCGCTTCGAGTTCCTTTTCTTCAGCGCATGAGGTTGGTATTTCATCGTCGAGCCATTCAACCTTCGCAGTGTTATACCCGTCTCTATAATCACGTGAAATGACGCGGAATCTTCTCCTGGCCGTAGTCTGAATTATACAACGTCCGTCAGGAAGAGCCTCCATGTTCTCAATGTAAAGCATGGTACCATATTCCGAGAATCCACAGTCCGGGTCGCTCATGCACATGCCAAACATACGGGATCCTAGCTCAACACATCGTCTTATCATCAGGCGGTAACGAGGCTCGTAAATGTGGAGAGGGTACTTCAGAGAAGGGAATGCCAGCATGCAAACAAAGATGGGAACATCAACGCTATCATCGACCCCGCACCTGAAACAAGATTTAAAGGTTTATCAGCATCATTCAAAACAACACAAAACAGTTCGAAACATTCTACGTAGGCTACCTTCGAACAGGAAAAGTCAGAAGAACTGAGATGAGATGTATACAAAAGCTAGAAATATGGTCAAGTGCCAAGTGGCCAATCTGGTTAAGACTCAATCGTGATGAGGTTCATGTTAGAAAAGCAAAAGCACATGACTGATTAATTCAACAAGAACAGAGAATGTGTAAACGATTGTGATTGATGGCCAGTGTAACTTTTGGGATCATGAAAAGAGACAAAATGGCATCTAAGATTGTGTTAGCAAGAGCCGGCCGCGGCGTGCTCGTTGGCACGTTGACTTTCTCCTGCAACGGCTTCATTGCGCTAATTTTACGAGTTTTAGCTGAATTTCTGGTGTAATTTGTGTTCGTGGACACCTCTCTAGTGTCTAATTTCTAATTGCGTTTTAATTGATACTCATTCCCCTCCAGCGATGGACTTGTAAGTTACTGGTTTCGCACGAACTCCCTTTTCATGGAAATGACACACTGCATTAGCGATAAGCTTAAGATTATAGCATTTTGTTATGTAATTTTTCAACGTAGCTATTTGTTAGAAAACACGACGTATGGTCGCTGTTACTTAGCATCCACTGACATGTGACGAAATCGCTCTCAAAACTTTTCCACAAATTATCGAGATATATTAAATTGTTTTTGGTGGAAGGACTATTAGTACGGTACGATAGTGAACACTCCTCATTTTTCTACACACTAGAAACTCGAAATGGAAGACATCCTAATTCAGATTACATTTTAAGAAAATGCATGTAAAAGATGGTGCGATAGTCGCGTAACGTTCTGTTCGAGGGTTTTTCACGCTGACGTGTTTCGAAAAAGTAAGTTGCATAATAGAATTATTTTTACGTGTCAGGCTATGTGAAGTTTAGTTTTGAGTTCATGCCTAAATGTAACAAAAACGCAAGCCGAAATTAGAGTCAAAGGCGCATAAAATTTGCCTTGAGTTTACTGACATTAAGATCCTATATCATCGGCCACCAGGTTAATGGGTTGTATTGATACGTTCGTCTCGCTCAGTGATATTTTGAGGAACACGTGCAATCAAAATTAAAGCTGGCGTCGTTTAAATTAAAAGCAAGCAGGAATGATTACAATGCTGAAGAGTCTACATTTGCATTAAAGATGGTAGTTTCAAGGGGCACGACTCGGTTTCTGCATCTTGAGAAAGTTAGATCGATTTTTCTAGTTTGATGGAAATCCTTAAAATATTTCTTTTAAAAAATACAAACAAACAAACGAGGAATACTAATCTCTAGGGAAACTTTTCGACATGGATTACGCACGACAAATTTCTAGATAAGTATATACGTTTCAAAACTATGACTCAAAACGTCTCCTTTAAGAATTTGTCCACAGATTTTGTGCTGTATCCTCGGGACTTTTGTCACCGGCAGCTACTCTTTGTCAGCCTTGTTGCCCTAGGCTACACGACTAATCCTTACCGATCTTACCCAATACAGGATTTTCAATTCCTGTATTAAAGGGCGCTTTACTAAAATGTTTATACACATACCACCAGGCAGTTTCGCAGTAAAATCCCCCGGGGTACTTTCATGTACCAGGGGAAAGAGTATGTTTTTTACGTACTGCCGCCCTTAGCAAGAGTATTACTTTGGCTTTGTGATCCTTTTGATAAGGTCATGCATCAAATTGTAATTTTAAAATCCAGCGATGTAAAGTAAAAACCGAGCCAATCGTTTAAGAATTAGAAAAATATGCATTTACAGAAGTGAAAGGAAAAATGCCTTTTTATACGAATCTGCGTCATCGGTTTTCCTTGAAGTGTTTGTTATCCAGATTTTACCATCTTTTTTTACTTTGGGGAATGAAAGGGTGTAAAGTTTCAATTCAACTGTCGCGTTATTTTTGCGTGCGTAGAAAAGAGGCGATGTATGAAAGGCCGCACGTAAACGTAAACGGGGAGCAAGGTTCAACCATTACGTTTACACGCTACCTTCCATACATTGCTCTACTTATTTACGCGTGTAAACTTTAAATGCGTTCGCACGTAAAAATTGTACGACGGTGCCAATCTACCTTAACGCTAAGTACAGACCCTTGGTCAATAGCTTGTTTTTCCAAAGCACCTTCAACCTGCAAGACTAAACACTTAATGTAATCCCGTGTCCTTAAACGACAGCAAATACCCATATAGTTTTTTTGGCAGTACCGCCACAGGTATGGGACTTCAAAGGACATTAAGAAACACTTGATGACCACAGAGCCGAACCTCGAAGTGCGTTAACCGCAAAGGTTTGTTTACGTGTGCCAGTCAACGTGAGTGGCTTTTTCATCGAATTATATTCTTACAAATGAAGGATCGTAGCATATTCTTAGTCACGTTCCTGTACGCATGTTTTTACGGTCACCTGCACGTTTTTCCCGCGAGCCGGAAACTTATGCGAGACGACTGTTTCATTTTTCTACCGGCAATGTTCGCGACAATAATCAGGTATTGAGATAAATTAATGGAGGTTATAGAAGTTGTTTCTATCTGTCACTTTACTCTAATATTGATGAAATGAATCGATACGACCGGGTAATTGAGCTAGCTCGGTAATGTTTTGGGCCACATTGTCCAGTAATCATTAGCTATTTCCATTAGTTACAATAGAACAAGTCCATCTGCTCAGTTTGTCTTTCTTCGCTTAATCATTGCACAGAAGACGGACTTCGGCGTCGACTTTAAATGATGAATTAGCTTTTAAGTTGTTTTTCGCTTCAGTAATGATGTGAAAACTCGTTGCAATATATCGAAAACCCTGCCAAAAGATTCCTGAGAGACTAATAAACAGTAAACCATCGTCCATTAAACTATATTTTTGCTTTAACTACTTTTTTTTGAGGAAAGCCCGCTCAAATATTATGCAATCACTTTCGGAACTTACCCTTTCCAACTCGCTTTCTCTTTGGCGAACCAACTTTCCCTCGCCGCGTATTCGTCAGGGAATAGTTTCTCGGCGATCTCTTTTATGACTTTGGTAACTTGATAGTTCCTGGCAACTACACAGTCGAGAGGCTGACGGCAGTAAGGGCAGTCAGGCTTGAAGTCCAAGCTTCTTTGCAAGCAATCTCGGCAAAACGTGTGGCCACAAGTTGTGGTGACTGGTTGAAAGAGAACACTGTAGCATATCTCGCACGTCAAATCGTCCTTTTCTCGCCTAATGGACTCTTGAATCGAGTCTTCACACGTTGTCGTAATGGCTTCTTGCTTTAAGTCTCCCTCCTTTCTCATAATAAATGTTCCACCCGCGTTTTGATTGGAAAGTTTTACGCGTTTTGATGGGAAGGTATTTTCTGGTGTGGACGATAGAGTACATTTTTCTGATGGACGTTTTAGATCAGCCTGTTTTCCCTGGTAAGAATCAGGCCGAACAGAAGAAGGATTGCTGCTGATGATTGAGTTCGTGCTTTTTAAAACACGTGAATTCTTTTCAATATTGTCACTTTCCGATTCGTTACATACTTTATTTTCCGTGTTTTTGGAACGTTCGCTTGTCAACTCAGTCGCATAGTGTTCCGCGATTCCCTCTTTACCAAGAACACACCTTTCCGATCGTAAAACCTCAGTCAGACTCGACAAAAGCTGTACGTAATATTCCGAAGTGGTCGAGTCAAGAGCAACACAGCGCCCGAAATTTAATGCAGCTTCCTCGTGGTTGTCCATAGCGACCGAAATCAGCCCTCTCTGATAGAAGGCCTGAGGAAGAAAAGGCCTTAGCATGCAAGCCAATTCAGCGTCTTTCAGGGCCTGGCCGAACATTCCCATCTGATATAGCGCTTGACTTCGCCACTTTAATGCCTTAAAATTCAAAGGTGAATTTTTTAGAACACCCGACAGAGTTTCAACTACTTTTCTTTGTTCTCCATTTTGTAGTCTGCCCCGCTGGATATCTTCCAGTTTCTTCACTTCACTTTCATATTCGTGCGGAAACCATTTTTGAATCAGATAAGTAACAAGTACGTTTACAGAACGCTGCTGTATATTGCTTTTAGATCCACATTGTGTACAATCGATGTTAGCCAGAATCTGATCAACATTGTCCGACAACATGCAGTCCTTACATAACGTGTGTCCACAGGTTAACGTGATAGGTGCAACGTAAAAACAGCTACAAAGCGGACAGTGCAATGATGCTTTTTCCTTGCATCTCATCATTTTATTTGCTTTCTCTTTCAGAAGAGCTCGCCTTTGAAAATCCACTATCGAGCAAGCTATTGTTGGTTTTACCATTTCTATACAACTGCCACTAGCCATATCAAAAGAATGTCCTTGAAAAATTTCGTGTATTTCAGAGTCACACTGTGGCTGCTGGCTTTCCCTTGACTGCCTACCATGACTGATTTTCTCTGCGCCTTCGTTTAGGTTCTCCTCCGTGAGCGAAAACTGTGGCTCTTCTTTGGGACGCTGCTCCCCTGATCCTGAACTGAGCTCGCTGTAAGCTTCCAACGGCTCCGTCATTAGCGATAAGTTATAAATACTCGGCCGTAATAAAATTCAAATTCAACCGAACAGGTAGAAAAATATTCATTTCAACTCTTCTTCCACCGTTACAGCTGTTTTGTAACTGATAAATACAGTACTGTGGCCGAAAACGACAAATGGTGTTTCAAAGCACTTCTTGCTCAAAAGAAGGAAGTAACTTGACATTCATTCGGCGCAGAATGAGTGAAAATCATTGTGTTTCAGTTTTGATTACCGGCTGTGGTGCTTTACTTGTACTTATGTAATCGTTCTTATATAATCACGCGTGCATGACCGTACTCACGTGTTTGATAAACAGAATTTAAATTAGGCAGTGTAGACACCAGTAAACTACGGCCATCTCAACTGTCCGTCAGTCCTTTTTTTGCGCACTCTTTTGATGATGTAAAAGATAAATCTTGGCAAAAATCATATTTACTTCTTCGCTAAGAGATTCACTTAAGGTTCTAAAAACAAACAATATTATGAAACTGGCGTAAATTACGTAACCATCCACACGTGGTTTTGTCTCTGTACAGGAAATTTAAAAAAAGTGCGAGAATATTCAAAGGGATGAACAAAAGAAACAATGGACTTGAGCATGCCAATAAAGTTTTAAAATGTCATGATCTAAACGCGAGTAACTTTGACAGCTTCTATCAAACACTATTATTTCAATGACATGTTTTGAAATATGGTAAGCTGAGAACAAACCTACTTGTCTGTATTATTTTTAACGAAACCAAACGTTATCAGAAATGACCAAAAATGCTTAAGATACATTAAAAGTATGGTGTTCGTTTTGTATGTTGTTTTGTAGAACACCTCTAGAGTAGACAGAGTATAACGGTGCTTTTCCGGGCTTGGTTTTCCTTACTCGACTATGTCCGATATCGCAGATTTATTACTTCAGTTTTTGCAACTCGCATACTTATGACTAATGATTAATCAGCTTAAGAATGTTACCTACCAAAGCATTTTCATATCGTGCGGACACGCACAACTACTGTCAGTCTTACAGACATGCGAAAATTTAACGAACGACAAGGAAAGAAGGCACAAAAAAACCGATTGCCATGTTTTGTTTTTCTGTTTTTTGCTCTTGCCTCATCATAGGCTTTCTTACATGTAGCTGGTAGTGGGATTTTATTTACAGTGACGTAACAACACCGCCAAATATGTCTAAAATACTTAGTGAATGTGTATCCTCCTTTCACATTTCTCAAAATAGTAAAAGAGCCTCTTGTCGTTAAAAAATGCTCCCGCCCAAGAAAAAGGTGTTGGCAAATGGCGACGGAAAGTTTGCAGTTTCACTGAGAACTTTTTTTTGTATACTTTTAAAATGTTTAGTAAGTCAGGTGCGTATTAATAATGTTTCAAACTTAAACAAAATTACGACCTCAGCTTTGAAGTACTGTGCCTAACATTAATTTGTAAACTCGTTTGATGGCGTATAATTATTAATGCACAGTGGACGCACAATAAGGGCACGAGAGCGACACGCGCGAGGGAAGAGGACATGCGCGGGAGAATTTTTCTCCTTGCAGCCTTCGTCGCCATTTCTTAAGCCCCTGCTATAAAGACTTTGTTTCGCAGATTTTATTAACCCTTTAAGCCCCAATACCCACATACAAATTCTCCAGAATGGTCTTCTTACATTTGCTTAAAGCTGTAAAGAATTAGCTGATAAAGATGGAAGCATTTTCCCGAAGGTGATCATTTCATTAACTCACGCAATCTTTTCTCTTGCAACCTCTTTACGTAAATATTGGGATTGGCGAGAAAATCCCCAGGAACAAGGATGATGCTCGCATTCATGATACAGTCGAACCTCCACTAATTACCATCTCACAACGGCCAGTTTTTTTGGTGGACAGTCCATACATTGACTCTTGCTTAAACCTCTCAACAACGGCCATCTCTCTACAAACGGCCACTTTCTTCTGTCCGCAGAAGAGGGACAAGTGCATTTACTTTTTAATCAGAATCATCATCATCATCAATGTCTTCATGGACAAATCCGTCATCATTATCGTCATCATCCTGGGTGTCATCTTCGTCGTCTTTGCCATCATCAACATCATCATCATCATCATAATCATCATCATCGTAATTTCTGATTTCTGGTTTTTCAATCGCAACCGTCAAGACCCTCGGTTTAGATGGTTGCGCTTCAAATTTGCATAAGAGAAAAACATGGAAACAAAACCACCACATAAAAAAGTTGCTTCAAGCTGAACTTTTTTGCTTTGTATTGAACTTATGCGGGCAATCCTTTTTAAACTTTACTTACCTGTAAACATTCTGTTCCTGTGTGTAAAGTAGGAATAAGTCCTTGGCTTAAACGCTAATGGGGTCTTAGACAACCTTGATCGAAAACAATACAAACAATCAGCTGCAAACACTAGCACAGAACTGGTATATTTTATGTATCGCAGTATTTTGATCAGTACACTGGCCTCTCCGACCAAACCAAATATAGCGACTTTGGCCTGTAAAGTAAGTAAAGGGTAGTGCAGAAAGCAAAACGAGAAGGGCGTGTTCATTTCATGAAATCCTTTCCAAAGTGGTCTAAACATGTACAGTCGAACCTCAACTAACGGCCATATCTCTACGTTGTGACAACGATCAGTTTTTTTGGCGGACAGCCTATACATTTATTCTTGTTTAAACCTCTCTACAACGGCCAGTTTCTTCTGTCCCCAAGGTGGCCGTTGTGGAGAGGTTCAACTGTACTTTGTATTTTACAACGTTTCCAAGAAAGAAGAGCAGCAAGGGTGAGGGTGACTTAGTTGTGAGAGCAGTCGCCTCCCACCAGTGTGACCGGCTCATATCCATTTGTAGGCTGAGTTTATGGTTGGTTCATGCCCTTGCTCTGAGAGCACGGGTACTCCTGTCACGCCCTTTCTTAAAACAATAAAACAATATCTTGAATTATAGCACATAAACATCACTGAAATACCAGCTGAGCCTTCGCGGTAGGCGAAAACGTGACATCTTCACCGTTGCTGTGGTTACATAATAAATAACCCCTTTCACAGCAATCACTAAATTAAAATGTGATGGTTTGGTATTTCTTTGGCATTTTTCTAATAAATAGAACAATAGACGGCCGCTGGAGATACCAAATTTCGCGAGCAAGAGAAATATTCTTTAACCCTCGAAGAGAAATTTCGTATCTCCCCAGGGGATGCTCCTCTTCCAATTTTTGGTTTTCAACACGTGACAAGGCGACCATGTTGGTGGCAATGCAATAAAATTCTTTAGCTCCCAGAGGAGAGAAATGCTTTTGTCCTTGACCATCAACACGACCGCCGTGACGTCACCTGCAAACCACCAATAATACATATCTCCTACGGGTGTACCTTAATGCCGGCTGCCTTACAGAAGGAGAAAGCACTTGGTACCAGAGGCGCGTAAATGATGGCATCACCTCACTTGCCAGGGTTACCGGGAGTTGTTTGTTATAACTTAGTTGATTCCAGCTCTGGTAGCTTTTGATCTGATCGACTCGTACAGCGCTACCAACTGATAAGACACATAAGAGACAGACTTGGCAGTTATTTTATTAAGAATATATTTTATACGAGAAATTGGTCCAAAAGTAAAGAACAAGAAAAAGAGTGTCCCAACCATGGTATGGGAGTGCGGTTGTCCTTACATCCGAGGCGTGTTTGTACGTCTCAAGCGCATCATTATTCACTACTTATTGTGTATAGTTGGTCCTTAAATGTAAGGGTGCAGTCGGATATGATGTCAGGGTTGATCAGGAACGTTACCCTTAGCAGAACTTAATTGAGAGCCGCTCTCCAACCGTGGAGGCTTTAAAGGACTGTTCATTTGATATTGTTGCCAAACCCATGACACGATGTGTTAAACACTAGATCTTCCTATAGCAAGTGTTTGTGTAGTGCATGTCTGTGAGTGTAAATATAATTTTGTAACCTGACAATTTTGCAAAGTAAATGGCCAATGCGGGTACCTCGACATCGCAATGGTATTGATCGTGTGTCAATTCCAATGAACACAGGTCTGCAATTGAAGTCAACGACACACTGGTCTCTGATTTCCCAGCACCGCTCGGAGAGGCAGGGATTGAAGTTACAAATTACATCAGGAATGCGAGAATACAGCCCGTTCTTTCCTATAAAAGTTTAAATAAAATTGGCTTAGAAATTTATAGTTCGAATTATGGCATGTTTGGGTGCACCATCCACTAGGTTGCTGTGACTGAGAAGAGGAAATCCCTGGAATCCCTTGTTTAAGAAAAGTATTGCTTGATCTAAAGATGACTACGTTACATAAATGTTAGAGTTCGCACATCTACTTCACCGGAATAAAAATGTATTGAGCATTTAACGATTAAGACTTCGTAGATTACTCTCTTCGAAATTAAGAAAGTACTAAATATGTAGTACGAGAAAGGTAAAGGAGACGATATATTAACTAAGATCTTACTATTACTTGCCTTGCATGACCATGAGACACATAAATCCGGCACCCTCTCTAGACCTTCCTGGCCTGAGTGGACTCCCTTGACGGTGCTTACAAGATGCGCTTATTTTGACGTAACCAGTTACCTACCTTTGCACTTTGGGAGCATATTGCCTTCGGCGTCGAAGAAGACCGGGTTGCAATCAAAATTGACAATACATTTTGCTGCTGGTTCATACAAACAGCCAACTTCTTCGCAAGGATTAAACTCGCAGAGTGATTTAGGGTCTACTTTAGCAACGTGAATACCTATAGTAAATTTAGAGAAATCAACTTAGATGAAAAACTTCTAAGGTAGTAATGAAGATTGTTCACTCTGTCCAGTCTTTTTATTGCAGCCGAAAAACTCTGTTATCGAATGTTCCAGCACGACGTTAATAATAATAATAATACTTTAATTATCCTCTCCCCTTGTAGGGCTTTTCAGGGATATTGAAACTAATTTAAATGAGACATAACATGGTTAAGAATCCCAACTGGTCGGATGCTAACCAGTTAGCTAAGTGAGGCCGAGAATTGGACTCGGGACTACCGAAAACAAATCCAGCTAACGGTCAGACCGGGAATTGAACTCGGGGCCTCCGAATTTCAAGTCCAGCGCCCTTACCGCTCGGCAACGCCGCCTCCTATAAGACTACGAACTACTCCTATAAGACCACGACGTTCCCGTGCTCTCTAAAACAAAACAAACAAGCAAAAACGGTCCCGCACTAAGCTGGCAAGCTTGCAGTTGCACGCTTTTTGATATTTCGTGGACACCTCACGCAAAGGTCTTATGTGTAATGCCCACCTCTGATGGAGTGAATATTGAATAAGGGTATTTTTCAATGTACACTTACCCTTGAGAATATTTATGCACTTAATGTTGCCGCACGATCTTGTTTCTTGCATGTCACTCTGATCGCACTTCCTTCCTCCATGTAGAGGTTCTGGATTGTTGCATTGACGATGGCGCTTGCTCACCCCTCCTCCGCAAGTCCTTGAACATTGGCTAAACTCTGACCACTTACTCAGACCACCGTTGACTAGAAATAGACGCAGTACATTTAATTTATACATCGGAAGTATAGACACACGTGGAGAAGTAACTCCTGACGAATCCCTAAGAACGTCTGCGTAGGAGCTTATCTATAGGTTTCTTCGTAGAGATTATAGAATGAAAGTCTGGCAGATACTTTACATGAGGTCTACTTCATACAAGGTTTTAGCTGTACATTGTCCCGAAGACATGTAATGTTTCGTCATGTGTAAAATGCGAAATGTGGTGGCATAGTTATTGATACATACATACCTGGACAAGGCTTATTCGCACATGTTTCTTGCTGCTCACCGCCGACGTCGCATTCTCTAATCTCGCGCGAACCATTTATGCATCTGTACTGAGTTCTTCTCCTAGTGGCTTTATTGCCACAGGACGCTGAACAGGGTGACCACTCGGACCACACAACTGTGAGATTCCCTTTATCAGGCGCTGTCAGTAAAGTTATTAGTATTGTTAAACGTCGTACGTGTCATTAAACCTTTTACCTCGAACAGTACCATCGACAAAGCGGAAAATTCAAATTTCTTTTTGTGAAATGCTGAAAAGCGAACGATAAGATATGAAATTCATGCCATAAAAGACTACGTAGGTGACATTTAAATATTCCACCGTGGGATTTATTATCAACAGAATAAAAAGGTTTAAATTCCCTTGCATAAAAAGCCCTGGGCCTTTAAACTATAAAAAGGCTTTTTTTTTTCTGTCTTTTTTAATCGAAGAACTCTACTCCTACTTGTTCTCTTCATGCAAACATTTAATCTTTCGTGAACCAACCATCTCTTAAAATTATATTGCTTTTGCACAAGAGTAATTTGTCACTAGTAGGCGCAGTGCAATGTACTCTATAGCCTGATCTCGAAACTCAGACATTGGACATAAAGGGGAACTTTGCATCGTGGAATCATGGCTTACCTTGTTCGACGTACTCAGTCAATTCAACTTCATCTGGTCCTAGTTTTTGCACCAGAGTTTGCGTTTGAGAATATTCTCCTATAAGATCCGCTCCTTCCTGGGTGGGTATATTCGGGTTAACGTCATTTACATCATGATGCATTGTTAGTTTTGAAACTGTTGGGGGTTTTGTTATAATCACGCTATTCCCACCTTTATTTTGAAGCTTTTTCGTCAGTCTGAATAGTGGACGACTCCCAAACGCGGAATCATTATGCGAAGCATTCAGATGAAGATTACTAGAAGTCTCTGGCTTGATTCCTTCGAACTTGGGATGTACAACAGAAGCTGCAAGAACAGCTAATGGGTTAAAAGTGACTTTTTGATGACATCCAAGTTCGTTTTGGTGCTTCAAATGGTGATTACTACAGTTTTGAATTTTTGTAGAAGTCGCTACATAAGACATGCTCGATGCTGCACGATGTTTTGAAGAGTGGTTAGCTGGAATTTGCGTTTGTCCGACCTCTGGTGATTGCTCATGCAGACGAAAGTTCGTTATTTTGTTGACTCTTGTTTCCTTTGTGACACCCTGTTTTTCATTCAAAGGTTTTTCCCCTTTTTCTTTTGAAGTGGAGGAACTTTCCTCCTGCTGTTTTCGTCGTCCCTCCTTCAGGTGTTTTTGATTGTCATTACCGGAATCTAACTTTGTAGTTGCAAGGTAGTCTTTGAAGAAGTGTTTGATTTGATCGGTAAGGAAGACCGAATTATTAGAAGTCAATTTTTGCTGACACCCATTCTCAATAAGTCTCGCGGCCCCATTTAAGTTGACCGAGCTGCAGTTTGGATGTGTTTTAGAATTCTTTGAATAAGCCATCTTTAGCTTTAGAAGTCGCGGCCTCTTAACTTGAAAATTTTTAAGAAGCAACATCGCTTTCCCAGCTTCTTTGTTCTCCTGATTGTGGTAATGGTCTTTATTTTTCCCTGTTTGATTTGGCTGAGCAATCTTTATGTCGACTTTTCCATGTGGAAACAGGTACACGTTCTCTGTGTGATCGTGCACCTTTTGCTTCTGTTCAAGTTGCCCTTTTCCAAGGTTTGTTCCGTTGCTATTATTCCCATTCAGTATTTGTTTATATACTTTGCTTTGTTTTTCAAGAGGCATGTGATGTTGTGGTCGCAAATGAGGATGCTTCTGTTCTCTTAAGAAACTCCTCAGTCGTTCGAAACTCAATGTTTTTATGATGTCATTTCGCAATTTCTCAAGCTCTTTTTGGCTCACATTTTTCATCAATTCAGTCAGGCCGAGTTCAAAAGCATTATCAATGTTTTGATGTGCGCTTTTCTGTTGCATTTGGTGAGGTACTGCTTTTAGTGCATGTTGCTTTTGGTTTTTTATGGTTCCCTGTTTTCCTAGATCGTTATGATGTTGCCGTTGAGTTGTCTGGTTATGTTCTCCCGAGAAATCAGTCTTCAGTCGTTTTGAGTGTAGTGCTTTCAAGATGTCGTTCTTTAGGTTATCAAGTTCTTTTCTACTAACATTTTTCATTAACTCAAAAAGACGAATCTCAAGAGCTCCCCCTTCATTTTTAGTCAAGTTTTCCTCTGTCTTAGAGGAAAACTTGATTCTTTGAGTCTGTCTGAGAATCTTTGAGTCACTTTCCTTTAACTGAAGTTCTTTGTGTTTACTTGCCGTTTTCCACCCGCTGTAAATCGATAGCTGGAGCCGTTTTCCCTTGTCATATGAAGGCGAGCGAGAAGTGTTTGTCAGTCCTATTACGTTTCTCATGTCATTTTCATCGGATCTGTTAGCCTGGAAAAAATTTAAAACTCTCTGCATATTTTCCAAAATGTGCTTGTCGCTTTTGTTTGTTGCATTATTTCTCCCCATGGTTTTATTTGTATGAGTCACATTGTTTGATCCGAGGTCATTATTTGTATCATTAACTGGAAAATTGAAGGTTTTAAAGAACCTTATTAAATCGTACAAATGTTTCGTAATTGTAGGATTAAGTCTCATCATCGGGGTGGCCGACGGATTAGTCAGGTTAAAAGCAGACGTATCTTTAGTATCATGGACTACCTTCAGAGCGGGTAGCTGATTTGGCTTGTTATTAGAATTGCGAGGATTTTCTTTAGAGGAATTGCTGTTACTAGAATTCTGCGGTATTTTTGCAGGGTCTATTATGTTCGTTTTTTCATTCAGTTCTACGCTATCACTTCCTTGGGTTTTTCCGCAATTGTCTTGCAACCTCAGTGTTTTGGTACAGTTCTTGTCAATTTTCTGCTCAGCAGCTATAGAACCAACTTGAGTTCTGTTGTAAAGGGTTGTAATCTGCACTTCAGTTGGCTGCTGTGATCCCGTCGTGTTCGCCGAAGAAAGAACTTTCCCGCTGACACTATAATTGCTTTTTGTTTGATATTGTTCTTTTGATTTTGATTGACTTTTCCCTTCTGATTGAGGTTTCAGGGGCAAAATGCTCCCGTTCTCCTTTAAAGGTAAATCCTTAGACACGTTGACTGACTGTGGTGCATCGGATAGACTCTTGGACGTTCCTTTGATAGTTTTCGTTGACCAGTGTGCTTTCTTGGTTTTCCGGGTTGGGCTAAAAGTAATATCCTTCTCAGGAATCACGCGAATCAGATTAGACGATTTATCTAGCCCTATCGTAGAAATGAACTTGTCGAAATCGTCATGGGCGCTTGACCCATTGCGCTCCTTATTTCTGATTAATATCCCTTGTTTACCAGGAATGGAAACCCTTGGAACTATAATTGACTTGAATGTATGTTGTCTTTTTACACTTTCTTTTGTATTTATGTGACCGTTTTGCCGGTTAGGCATCAGTGAGGCATACCGGTTGTTTCGTTGAGCCTTATAAACAGTCTCCGGAACGAAAGAATTGTTGCTTTCCAGAGAGGATTTTGAGGCTTTTCTGTTTTTCAATTCATTGCTACCACCCTGAGACTCATTGTGGTCGGTTTCGTCCACAAATTCAACGAGTGATTCAGGCGCTGGCTCAGCAGGTAATAAATCAAAAGGTTGAGCTTTGTTGTCATCCACCACCTCTATTACTTCTTCGTTCGAGACAGATGGTTGATGGTTTTCATTTCTTCGAAACATCAAGTCTTTTGAGTCCATACTTTTTTCAACTTGGGCAAAGTCTTTTTGGCCTATTGCAATAGAAAGAAGAACAGCATGGAAGACCCTCATAGTTAGATAAAACAAGTACGTCTACTATCTACTATCAGCAAGTGTTCATGTGACTCAAGCAAGGTCAAAAATGGTCAAACGTTTTGTACTTGATCCAAAACTTTCTATAGTGTTGTTAATGAAAAGGCGTTTTCCTCCTCTTTGGTTCCGCTCTCGCTTTGTTCTTGGTAACTAAAATAACGTGACGAGACACGCGCAGTGCGCTCACCCACGCGATTCAACCACCTTCTCGTTCTTCTGTTTTGAATGCGCGATAGAATGGGACGCAAGATCCCATTGCAAGTGATCTTGGTTACATTTTAGGTTGTAGTAAAGGATTCGCAGCCAAATATTGTACAAAAATACCTTGCATTTTGGTGGTTAAAAATGTACATCTCTACGCTTACTGGAAAGCATACATTTCTGGTCATTATCAGCTGCTGAAATATTTCTATGTGGGTCGATTATTGTTGAGCTTTGAACTTAAACTAAATTGAAACGTGCGACGTCCTGTTCAATAACCTATCGAAAAAATTTTGATCAGTAAAACTCTCTCGAGTTTATATTTAATTTTGTCGAGGCAAAAATTATCTATCACATCTGTTTTAGGCGGTCACTTAGGCAAACCAACTTTCGTAACTTCGATAATGAATATTGAGAGTAGCACTTGAAAACTTAAAGGGGAATTACACCTTAGATTACAAACGTTGGTCTTATCCTACTAAGTGCTGTGTCTGTATTTTAATATAAACGTTTTGCTCAGTATGTCTTATTTCAATCTTGTACGATTAAATTTCGCAAGGCGAATTAGCAAAACAGGTGTAACATAATTAACACTTGAATTCACTTCAATATGTACCTTCACCTTGCCGGCCACCTCCCTTGCAGTTTGTATTGACACATAGCGTTAGAACAATACAAATCCAAATGCTTTTAGAGTTGTGATTTCCTCCCATTCTCTTCTTTCAACCCATTTCTGTTGCTGTATCCTTTACGAGAACAGTGTTGAATCACAATATAAGCGAGTGAGTAATCTTTCAGCGCGCATGAGTGGATTTTAATTGACGTAGCACCGCCTGGCTGAGCGTAGTAAAAGCGATGAAGCGTAACAAGGTGTGTATTAGGGTACCACATTAGAGAATAAATGATCAACCTGCAGTATAGTCGTACCTCCACTAACGGCCACCTTTTCTTTCCGTTACCACACCACACACACCTTACTGTTGGTTTCTGTGTTATTCATGGTTGAGTTATCTATTAAAATTTCATACGTTTATAATATCGTATGACATGTATACAACAATGATGTTGGTTGAGCTTACTGTAGCATGTGATTCGGGGAGTGCTCCAGGGATCATGAATAGATCGTTGAAGACCTTGGTCTTACTCCACGGGTTGTAATGCTGGACACCGTCGGGTTTTAAAACTCCCGTACCAAGGTGTTGTCTAAAGCTTTTAAAATGCTGTTCACACAGCTAATTTGCAATTTCAAGCTCAAAAATCTTGACATAATCAAGAACAGTTCATGAAGCTGTAACTAAAAACGCACAGAGGACCTAAACTAGCGGTACTGCATCCCTCACGAACCCGCTTGTTTTACAATTTTTAACGCCTACGATATATGATGGTTTTTTGTCTTTAAATAGTCGGGAATCCCTCATTAGTCTTGCTGAACTGCATTATTCATAATATCCAATGTCATAAAGAATTCAACCAGTCATCGGTAAGCGCGCAAACTTGAAAGGTGCGGGTTAACTTGAAAAACGGCTTTTTCCGTTATAACCTATGATGAAAAGGTTTAGTATTCATTTTACGTGGTGGTTATGATGATTAACATAGGATGAGTTGGTTATCCTGTAGTTGATTCGTGTGTTATCCAAGACTAAAAGGTTCGTCGTTGCACAAGACGAACTCGTTGTATATTTCATGGTATTCTACTCGAAACAATGTACAACAATTAGGCTAGGTTCACACTAGAGGAGATTGCTTTTTAGTATAAACGAATCCGAACATCCCAAGTGTAATTAATCCCAAAAAATCAATGAATCGGTCTGAATCCGGAAGAATCTCCTTTAGTATAAACCGAAGTCTTTATACTATTTCCTTGTCGTGTAGTTTTCAAGGCGGAAACGAGGTTCCCACATTAAAAAAACTGAATAACAGACTAAAGATAGCGCAATAAATTGCCATTTTATTTACAAAAATAGATTAATTATCGCTTAATGTCAATATGAAAATCGAAGTGTAGTTATAATCTGCCTTTAGAGTAAAACGAATCACAATCAAAATGTCGGCTAAGTATAGTGCAACAGCCCGGCTAGCTCAGTCGGTAGAGCATGAGACTCTTATTCTCAGGGTCGTGGGTTCGAGCCCCACGTTGGGCGTCTTCTCTTTTTATGTGCGCTTCAAGAAAAACAATTGCTTTATGTGCGCTTCAAGAAAAACGTGATCAAAAGCCGTTGAGACGACTCACAGTGTTCTTTTTTTTTTTTTTTTTGCCAAGAAATGCAAAAAAAAAGAGTAAAAATCAGCTAGAAAGTCTGTCTACTCCGGAGCTGAGGTCTTGGTTACTACGACCATGTTGATGTTGAGTTGTTGAGACCTAAAATTGCGAAATGAAAGGCGTATCTGTTGGGAAAATATTATTGAGAATAAAAATATTTGGTTGTCAAGGAGAGTATTTACGAACAGGTCAAGAGAAGCTCATAAAAGGACGCCAAGTTATCATAGGAGCATGTTCAAGTTGAGGACAGCTAATTTTACCCATGCAGTGACTGCTTAACGAACATATTGTTCAAGTACCAAATGACTGTGACCTAAAAAAATAGGTAACGCCGTTAATTCTTTAAAGATAAAAGTTTCACCCCTGACTTCAAAAAGCAAACATAAATCCAACAAAACTGCATGCCCACTAGAAGCAATCATCGTTCTGCGTTACCGCATTCTTACTGAATAGTGGGCTTTGGATGACTTTTCTCAGAAAGATGATTGAACCTCTAAAGAGTGCTTTTTACGGTAATGACTTGACTGTAACATCTGTAACACCGTGCAAAATACAATATTCAGATGTATGAGAGTACAAAAAGCTCAGCCTGGCTCCAAAGTGAATACATTGTTATTCCGGGAAACGATCTATTAAACACTCAACCCAAAGTTAGACTCTCCCCCTACTGGAATTGTAAGGACAAGCATTGGGAAGGCAACTACTTTGGAACAGTCAAGACGATATAAAAGGTTGACCGAAACCAATAATAATAGTGTTCGTATTAGTTCCATAACGTCCAATATTAAATTTGTCCATTTTGCAACCTTTCTGATCATGAACCAACCATAACGTGATTCAGCTTGCAGTCTCTAACCATCGCTTATGCTTCGATTTCAAATGCTTTGGTTTTTTCTTAGGATGTCTGAATCTGCTCTTCTTAACTTTTTTGTGGGTATCCTTCAATTTTGGAGGTTTAAATCTCAACGGAAATTTACTTCGCTTTTTGTTGTCGTCGGTTTCGTTAGAATTGTTGGCATCAATGTTGTCATCATCACCATCGCTATTTTCATCACTGGCGTCTTCTTTTGAACTGGCAAGTTTATCTTCGGTTTGTAAACTATCATCATCATCATCGTCATCATCATCATCTTTGTTATAGTTAATTTTTTCTTTGCCTCTTAGCTTTGACTTCAACAACTTGGCTACAATTTCATTGTCGCTATTATCTTCGATACTCTCAACCCCTTCCTCACTATCCTTTGACTTTTGGTTATCATCATCATCATCATCATCATCATCATCGTTATTGTTGGATTTTTCACGGGTGCTAAGCTTTGCACTACGCATCAATTTTCTTAAACGTGCGCCATCGTCGTCAGCATCGTCTTCATCTTCACTATCAGTATCTTTGTCATCACCGTTTAATTTTGAATCCACCAATTTGTTTAACTGATCTTCATCATCGCTAGCATTTTCATCCTCGCTGACTTGCTCCCCGTCTTCATCGTCTTTGATAATGTGGTGACGAGCTAAATAAGAGGTGATAAATAAGAACGACTTTCTGACTAAAAGCTCATAAGATGATATTGTAACAAATTAAGAAAAAAGTGTAATAAATGTCTTTGAAGAAACAAACTTTTCGGGCATATAACCCTTCTTAGTGTTCAGGCTAACCACAAAGTCCTATAAAACAAATCCAAAGCAAATCTAATTACTTTTCATACAACAAGAGGCAGTCATAAACAGTGTTACCTCGCTCCCTTTTATCCAACGAAATAATGGAACTCATTAGCTGATTAAACATGAGACCCCTCTTTCTCCGCTGCTACTTTTTGTTATTGTTTTTTTAGCCTGAGAAAACAGCCGACAATTCTCGACTCCCCCACTGGTTTCCCGGCAAGAGACGTCTGAGACAAGAGCGCAGAAATTCCATAATGATGACGTGTTAGTACCCAGTTCTGGGTATTGCTTCCAGTTGGTCCTGCCGTGAAAGAAATTTGCTTCAACCCTATCAGAAGCACTACCCAAATCTGGTTAGCGATACGTCATCAGGGTGGAATTTTGCCCTCGTGTCTCAGACGTCATTTCGCGGGGAAACCTGTGGTGGCGTCGTTAAATGTCAGTTGTTTTTCAGGCTATGTTTGTTTGTTTTATAAAAATCAGAACTCATTCCTTAACTCGCCCAACCTAGGCGAAATATTCCACCGTTAGTGCGAAATTTCAAACATATAGATTTACTTGGTTTAATTCTTTTTGTCTACAATTTGATGACTGGATGCGCTAAAAAGAGCAGAGAAAATTTCCCAGACTTTCAATCCGCATTTTAATTTAACGCTGAGTTAGCGCTAATCGGCCATCGAACAACTGGATCCTGCTGTGCGTGTTATAAGACCACTGTCATCCTAACTCAGACAACCAAATACCTTTACTAACCTCTGCAGCCTTTTGTCTTCTGGTTATAGGCATTGACGAACATTGATTTACAAGTATGGTCCACGAGACAACGTGCTGTGGGATCCGAAGTGCAAGTGGCCCCACTACAAGGGTCATAACCACAGATGTACCTGGCTGGGACCTTGAATACACCTGTGCAGAAAAACAGAATAGCCTACCTGTGAGTTTACTCCATTTTGTGTGGCGAATAGTGGGATCAGGATAAGATTCTGAGAAACTGCCTATGCACCTCTCCCCTTACCCAACATTTTGTCATAAATTAGAAGTTAGTGTTAACGTTGTATTAGGGGAGGGGAAGGTTAGGTAGGTTATTTATATATACCTTTGATTTCTTTTAGTTAAAACATTCAAAATTATGCAGTTTTGTGCTGGTTGGTACAAAGTAAAGTGATGCACCTTCCTCAAATACGTCCGGCTAGCTTATTCAATAGAGCATGGGACTCTTAAGCCTAACGGTAAGCGTCTAACCTTTTCTTTTTTTGCTAGTAAGTTATCGAATGGGCTGAAAAGAGCTTTTGCAAATGATTTTCATCTTAAGGGCCTATTTACATGGAGGTGGGGACCCCAAGCCCGCTTAGGGTGGGGTCCCGCCTGTCCAACCTTTTCATTTTTGATCACGTTTACATGATAGGTGGGGTGACCCGTCAAGGCGGGTAGCCCGGTCTAAGTTATCGAATGGGCTGAAAAGAGCTTTCAAATTCTCGCAAAATTCACTTTTGCGGTGTCTTTGCATTATGATTAAAATGATTTTCATCTTAAAGAGCAACAAGTATGTTTGTTGTTTCTGTATGGGTCATTTTTTACCTCACCTAAGCGCGCCCCCAAAAACAGAAGATATAAAGATATAACAGAGATCTAGTGGATCATTTTCTCCTGAAGTGATCGCCTTCCGCCCGGCTAGCTCAGTCGGTAGAGCATGAGACTCTTAATCTCAGGGTCGTGGGTTCGAGCCCCACGTTAGGCGTCCATCTTTTTCCTTAGGCCACTACTTTATTTTTTGCAAGTACATAAAGGAATGTGCTGAATAACTTACGGAAATGATATTTTGATCCTTCTTTTATGGTTGCCTTTTTGTGCATGCTTTCTTTCGAAGAAACTGTAGTCCAGTTAATTATTTGAGATTGAAAATATCTTATAATTCTGCCGCAACTTGCCAGCACAACAGCGCCCGGCTAGCTCAGTCGGTAGAGCATGAGACTCTTAATCTCAGGGTCGTGGGTTCGAGCCCCACGTTGGGCGTCATTTTAATACCGTTCTACCGGTTTTTCTTTATTTGCGCCCCTTTTGTCGCCGGTCATATCATTTTAGAACGCGTTTATATCATGAATTTCCAGTGTTAAAAGCGAAATGTTTTTCTCCCAAGATTCAGATGAATTTTTGCGTGAGTGCGAGCCTTTTTGCCTGAGGTGATCAGGCCTTCCCATTCCCCGCGACTACTGCCCTCTACCCAGCTACTCCGCGACAAACGTTTTGTTCTCCGTTCACCGCTTCACCGTGAAAGCCTTATTTCCAAGGTATCAGCTTTAGCTAAACAACCACGTCTTCACCAAATTGCGTTCCAAAAAAAATGTTCACCTAAGACGCCTTCAACCCTATCTCTGATTCTGCATTATTATTTCTGCTACAAATAATCATACCTTTGCATTTCATAATCTTTCCAAAAGCATCAAGAAACACGGGATGGCACCTAGTGTTGACAACACATTTGGCGGCAGTACCTTGAAGACAGGTGGTATACTTGCAGGGATCAAAACGACAAACCGTTTGAGCATTTACGTTCAGGTAAAGATTATCGCCTGTTAGAAATAATGGGAAATGCTTTCAGGGCTTGATAAACGGCGGTAAGAGTTGTTAGACAACAGTTCTTCTTGGGACAACCTTTTCCGTTATCCCATCTGGCGCACTAGGGCGCGAGAGCGCGGGTTTCCCCACTCCTCGCCTTACGCCTACCACGGATATGGCCCTCTGATTTACCTAACGAAATAGTGAACTTACGCAACAGGACGGAAGAGGAAAGAAGACGCCAAACTTTGTGTGACAAACGATACAATAATTTTGTTTGAGAGAACTTTTCGCCAAACTTCACTTTACTTTAAACAGATCTTTTTGTAAAAGACCAGAAAACATTGATGTTAGTGAAGATCACGACAAAACACGCAAGTAATAGCCTTGTCACGTTCGTCACGCGCATGCGATTTGCCGTCCTCTTCTTCCTGCCGTCCTGTTGCGTAAACTCACTAATATGATTACCGAGGCGATGTCGTAGACCCCGTACCTATTCTTCCGTCTAAACATCTCTTGTTCCTTAAAATTTAACCATAAACCGTCAAAAAAGGTTATTTTTTACCGTCAACCGTCAAAAAGGTTTTAAAAGGTATTTCAAATCTCATTACTTCAGCTGGTCTTTAAGGGATTCTGGCTCCTGAAGAGTCCCTAAACTGGAAAACCCAGCTCCCGTATTCTCGAAAACACTCTTTTTTAGACATTACAAGACCACACAACTTTCCCTTATCCGAAAATATTTCTTATCCGAAAATATTTCGAAATTTTGTGAGTGAAAGGCCAAGACTCAACCTTCAAAACACAACAGTTAGTATTAATTTATACAGAGGTTAACATTTACTTAAACTCTTGGTCAAACTTTCCACTTAATTCAGTAACGTCAACCGTCAAAAGCTCTAAAGTTTAACCGTCAACCGCCAAAGCCATTGAGACCCTCAAAATTGATTTATCTTTAAACAAATTCTGTTAACTTATTGTTTAAGGAAATTAATACGGAGATCAGTCTGGGGAATTTGTATTTCGATATTGGAGGGTTATAAGCGGACATCTCTCCTAACTGGACACTGTATTCACTGGGTAAGAAGGTCCAGTCGGTCGAACGATGTTCTTCTGCATTGCACTGCTGCAAAGTCCTGTTGGTTCTTATTAAAAGAAATTGCCTTCTCTTGCTAGACATTGCAATGAGCCGAAAACCAACTTGAACATGCTACATGTTGCACTTCTTAGGCCCAACCGAATCGAATGTTTTCCAGCCAAATTAATTGTTGAAGCACGGATAAATATAAAGCTCATTTACTATACCAACACGCACACTGTTTAACAAATTGTTCTACATTAACAAATCCAAAGTAATATTTCCTCCTGTCAAGGTTGGCTTCTTTGAAATTCAAGACAATAGTCAATGAGCCGGCAGTGGGTAATTTTGCCGCTTTCAGTGGAATATTTGCCGCTTTATCAACAGTTAGGTTTAGTAATATTAAATGAAAGCTACACAAATTTGGGCCTGCTACTATGGTTATCCTGCCTTCTATTGAAAAAAATTTTGATTGGCATGGTAGTTTTTGTTTTACGCTTTTAAGCCAAAATAAACCTATCCCATTCAAATACGCATGTATATGTAGTGTTGTCGTGAAAAACATGTTTCACGGCCAGCAGCCCTTTTTCACCTTTCTCCTCCGTTTTGACCACCTTCTAAGCACGCTACTTTAAAAACTGAAATTGTTACTTAAAACTCCATTAACTGTATCCTCCTTAACTGAGAGTGCTTGGCGAGATCATTATGAATATTTATAAAATCAGCGCCTTTCGTCACCTGAATCTTTTACCAATTGTTTACTTTAAAGTTGAAAAGCCGTTTATGAATGTGCCCGGCTAGCTCAGTCGGTAGAGCATGAGACTCTTAATCTCAGGGTCGTGGGTTCGAGCCCCACGTTGGGCGCTTTACTTTTGCCAAAAAAGTTTACTTTTGTCGTGTACTATATTGCTTTTGACCCACTTAAGCACCCGATCTTGACATAAAGTGGCAAATGCAAAATTATTTTGAAATTTGGAAACTGCTTTCATTTCTGGTTCAAAGGGAGATCAGTTCATTTGTGATTTCAAGCGGCGCGCATGAAGCATAGTTATTATCTCTTTCCTCTCCGCTCTCTTCCCTTCATTTTTACTTTTTCTTATCAGTTTTCAAACCTCATTGCCGTAGGATAAGTTTTCTGGAAGACATTGCCAAACCATAAGTGAGCACAAGGAAGGGACTAGATTTTCTGCGTTAGAATATGTCATTTGAATCACATTTTTATAGCCCCGCATTAGTTGTGTATCAAAGTCTTCTTTCAGCTTGAAAAGGTATTTATATTATGAAGTCCCTCACAAGCGGTTTAGGGATCTTGCTTCAACATATGGCCGGTTTAGAGTATCTGTGAAGTTAGTCCCTAATAGGTTTTTCGTTGTTTGAATCCCGGGATTCGGGATTTCAAAAATGGAGTGAATTTCGGGATCGAAGGTATACACGGGATGCCGCATCGAGATTACTGGATTGAGGGAAAAGTTGGGTAGGGATGACTGGGCTAAAGAACCTTAATGGGAACCCACGATGATTTCTGAGCAACTTCGCCGTTAAAATTTAACCAAACATAGCTCACTCACCTGAACACTGTGGAACCTTTCTTTCTTCAGAATCAAAGAAAACCGGCCTACATTTAAAATCACTGACACACGTTGCGTACGGTAATAATATGCACTTTGCCACTGCACAGGGATTATATCCACATACTGTCTGAGGGTCTATATCAACTATAGAGTCTTGATCTGTAAAAAAATGGAAAAAGGTAAACCTTAAAAGCAAAACTACTGTGAGAGAGTATTGCGCAGGAGACGCCATGGGTGATATGTTCTCGTCTAGGTTATTTTTAGCATACACCTATCTTACAATGTACGTCACCCCAATGTGACCACCTCAACATGTCAGTCACAAACTAAATCATTTATCGTGACATTCGAACTTACAAAAGGTTGTTTATTGAGTTAAGAACTTGCATATATAAGAAAAAAATCCAAGAGTAAAACCTGTCTCACTACGCAAAACATTCATCACTTTCAATTTTTTTTACCTGAGATCACTGAATGTGGCATGACTTTGAAATCAGACTCCTGTGCAATTACCCAAGGTCATTCCCCCACGTTTGAAAGAGAGAGTATCGAGTATTTGAGCTCCTGTTTTTGTATGTTGTAGTTAATTTTTTTATCTCAGGTAATTTTTGTTTTTCTTTTGTTTTTGGGTATAGTAATGTATGCTAATGAAATGGAAACAAAGCAGAAATAAAAATTACCTGAGAGAAGAAAAAACACATTAGTTAATAAAAGAGTACAACGGGGACGGAAAGTATTAAGTTTTAGTCTAAGAGATATGGTTGTGAGGCATAGTTTTGGTGTGAGGTAACTTAAGGAAGCAGAAATCAGAGAAATGAATGAATTTAGTGTACAAAAGAAATCGATTCTCGAAAAAGCTAGGGCCGTACATAAGTTCTGTAAAGAGATCAGACCTTGATTAGACGATAATAGTTTTCATTTGAAAATACCGAAAGGTTAAAACGGATAGCCGCGGAAGGAGTCTTGCGTACCAAGAATTGGTGCATGATTTGACACGACAACACCAATTGCTGGTTTGTACGTGTGACGGCTGCCATGTTGGTGGTGAAGAAAAAACGCATTTCTCTCCTCTGGTAATCTCATGTAAATTCTTCGAGAAAAAATTCTATTGTGTTGACCATCAACATGGCCGCCTTCTCACATGGTTGCCAACCAAGGATACATGTGCAGAGTACAGTCTCACTGATCAGTACCTTGGCAGCGTCGGCCATAGCATGGTTTGGCCTGTTTGTGAGATCCCTTACAGGTCTGTCCACCGTTCGCCGGTTTCGGGTTGTTGCAATAGCGGCGTCGATGCTTCATTCCTTGTCCGCATTTCTGAGAACAATGGCTCCAGTGGGACCAAGATGAGAAACCTCCATTTACTGCAAGCGTCAAGAAACGTAACTCACAAACTCTTTTACTAAATCCCGTTAAGGCATTTCTATATTTTTGTCTCACTTGGAATTGAAGTTGAATACAGGGAACGTGACTAAACTAGCCATTTATTTCACCACATACATTTACTCGACTTAGGATATGACTGATCTAAACAGTCTGAGGAACGTATTTCAAAGAAAGGTTTCCTTCAGTTTTTACGTTTTCTTTTCGTTCCTACGTGAGAGGTAGCGGCTCTGACCGCGTCTCTTACCCTTGCAACTACCTGTTGGGCGAATCTGCATGCACATTGGTTTCTTGGTTATATAATTACTACAATTCAATCTCCTTTTCAGAGCATGTGCCTCCCTTGTTCCAGCGAGAACGGGTACAACCTCATCGTTTCAGCCCCAAGTCTAACACGTGCAAAATGGTAGACAAACAATGCATTGCTCTATAGCACTTGAGTCCGCGTCATTTCAACAGTACAGTCGACTCCCGATAACTCGAACCTTCAAGGGAAATCGAAAAGGTTCGAGTTATCGGGAGCTCGAAGAAAATAGCCGGGAGTAAGGAAAAAAACAGTTTTTACTGCACATTTAATTGTAAAAATGTTGAGTGAAAATTGAGAGATACTGTTAGATTATAAATCAGAACGTAAAGTAACAAAACGTTGCCTAAATAGAGCATGCATTTTACTTTTTGAGAAGTAAAGCTATTTCACGTTAGATTTGTGGCAAACAACATCAGCCTCCACTATCGATCCACTAGTAGACTATATGCCTACAACACGTCAATGGGAAATTCAAAATTCAATGTTTTGGAGGCAGCGCACTCTTTTTTCCCGACTTTTTAAGGGCTCATAACATGGTTCGAGTTATCGAGGGTAAAATTATATAGAAATGATCTGAGGGGAAACAAAAATTACTTCGAGTTAGCGGGAGTTTCGAGTTATCGAGGGTTCGAGTTACCGAGGGTAAAATTACCGTAAATGTATGACGGAAATCCAGGGGAAATCGATTTTGGTTCGAGTTAGCGCGAGGTTCGAGTTAGCGAGGGTTCGAGTTATCGGGAGTCAACTGTATTTCAAGAAATGGTTGGAATGGGTTCTATCAGTCAATACTTTTTTGAGGAGTTAGCTCTGTTTTCTTGCCAAATCCGGGTATACGTTATATTTCAGTACCCTTTTAATTATTGATACAAACTAAATCATCTCACTTTAGCTTGGACAGGAGAAAAACTAACAAACATTGCCTTTGATTCTTGTGTTATCTGTGCCTGGCCATCCCATTGTAGTACCGGTAGGCATTTTAACTCAATCTTTTGTTTGATGAGATGTACACATTACTTTGACAGCAACAACAGAAAAAGTACGCAAACCTGCACATTGCTTTATTTTACACAATTTTAGTTGAAATCTAGGTCCTTCGCAGTTTTTTCCACCATTCGCGGGCGCTGGGTTAGTACAATAGCGCTCACGTGATCTCAGGGCCGTTCGCCCACACGCATCAGGACAGGTAGACCATGGCGTCCACAGAGTGAAATCTCCATTCACTAAAAAGTAGAAAGACATTTTGAGAAAATCGACCAAAAACTGTTCCTGTTGAACAATTAGTTAGCAGATCTGCCCGTCTCACTCTCCGCTTTCAAATTGTTGAAGACCTTCCGTTTGAAAATCGCGTTTAATTGTAAAACCAACTTCAATATGCTTCGCAGTGTAACATTTTACTGCGAAAGAAAGCCGTTTCCTCTTGTTTGCGCGGCCGGTATAACCCCATTTTCGGAGCCCGCGCGCTTCGATGGGCGCTGTTCGTTGTTTTAATAAGAGAAAAGAGTTTTTTTGCGTTGCGCACAAACAAGTGAAATTAAACCTCGGTCAGTCAACCGGGGATGTCCATCTTAGACTGAAAGGTGTCTGCCTCACGGCGAGTTTACTGAGTTAAGGCAAGTAAGTGAAAATAAGCTTAGACCAGTTAACCACCTTTCTTGTGGAAATATCAGTCCCAGAAAGTTTAACGAGTGACACTGAGCTAACACCAGCCAGCCACCAGTTCCTACTTTAAAGAGGTGTGTGCTTTAAAAGATAGATAGGTAAGTTACGGTCATGTAAGTGAAATTTAATGCGACCACAGCATTCCTCGCAAAAAGGTGTTCGGTCTAAACCAGGATGTCTGCATTCGGTAAGTTAAATACGTCTGGTTGTATTAAAAGTACATTTATCTTTTGCTTCTGATATCAGTTTCTACCTGGAATGGTTGCGTCGCCTTCTTTGTTTCTCAAAAATTCCGAAATGTTGGCCAAAGCGTTCGATCCTGTCTCTTTTTGGTCACTGGGGACCTGGGCATGTCCACCAGGAGAGTTCAAGTTTTCCTTGTTAGAGTCCCCATCGCTTATGGCTCCACCCACCTGGGGCGGGTCCTGAGTGACAGCTGGGTCCTGAAGCCGGCTTAGTTCATTGATCTCCTCGTTGTCTCTTTCATCTAGAATAAACAGTTTAAAAGTACCTTAAGGAAAAAAAAAATAACCATTCTACCCTTGCGAATTGGGTCTTTCAACCGAAGGTTCAGTTAGGATTTTTTTTCTAAAAGCTTTACTGGGTAAACGTACGCGTACTGTCGAACCTCCCATAAGCGACAAGCCAAAATGTGAAGATTTCGTGGTCGCTTACGAGAATCGACAAACAAGGGTTCTCTTCCGAGAAGAAGTCCTGACACATCTAAATTTTGTAAGATAATTTATTACATGCAATTTCTAAGTTTCGTGTAAGTATAGTTCCATGTTGTTACTGAAAGTTCTCGTTATACTCTGAGCGGCGTAGTACATACCGTGAACAGAGACATCGTACGTCAAGTGATCGCTAACAAGAGGTTAAAAACATTGAAAAATAATAAAACCGTTAGGCCATAAACTGGTCGCGGTGGCTTACGAGAGGTAGTCGTTTACTAGAGGTTTTGCTTATTTTGACTGGGAAATTTTGAGGTTTTTGGATAATTGGTCGCTTATGGGAGGTGGTCTCTTACGAGGGATGGTCGCACATGGAAGCTCGACTCTGATGTACAAAACCAGACCCATCCGTCCTGTGCGATATTAGTATAGTCCGTATCGTAAGAGTCAAACATTGTGATCGTTCTCACTTCCAGCCTCCATAGCTGGTTGTTGGAGCGCGTCCGATAACAGTAAGATATGTACGGAGGGATTATCCAGTGAGCATATTAGTTTAGATCAAGGAAGGATAAAAAGCCTTTTTCCCCCTATTGTTCGGATGCCTTACGTTTCTTACTGTTAATAATTCGTCATCGCTAGTACTTTAACATCTTTTGAAGTCACCAAGAGTCCAAGCATCAGTTAAACTTCCCTAAAACTGATTTTTTTTCTTCATTTTAATTTAGAAAGATTCCACCAACCAACTCCAATAATCCTTTTAATCTATAATGTTATCACAAGACTGATTTTGCACTAATCATTGACCCAATTATTGTACTGTATTTACGTAGCTCACATTGCACTTACAAATTGACGCAAAGGAAGGTTAGATTAACTAAGCTCGAGAAACAGAATCAAATCATCTTGGTCGACATCGCTACAGAGTCAAAGCGAAACTTTAAACAAGTTCATTGAATAAGTGAATTATTTTGTCTTTGTTGTTATAATTTACTTTATTTTAATTTCATGGAACAAGCTTCTTTTAAACCAAACAAAAAAGAAAAAAAAAACCTGCGCCCAACGTGGGGCTCGAACCCACGACCCTGAGATTAAGAGTCTCATGCTCTACCGACTGAGCTAGCCGGGCGCTTAATGACCTTCGCGTTAGCGTTTTGGCGAGTAGTTCTGGTAATGACCTTTCCTGAGAGCAGAAAAATTATTTGCGCGGGGATTAGATAGCGTTCAGCCGTTCAACTACAGTCGTGGGAATGCAATCAGCAAAAAACTTTTTTTAACCGTAATCCTTGTCGAACCTTGTAGTCTTTCATGTGCCTTTATTAACCAAGCTACAATTTGCATAGAGAAGATGCGCGTAATTTAGAATTTAGGAAATTTTGAATATCATTATCTTTGGATCAAAGAAAACTGTCCGCAGTATAAAGCTGTGCGGGCACCTAAGAATAGGTTAGTCTGAAAGTGTTTTGGCGTACATTCCTCGTAGAACTTTTTATTCTACCGACTCAAGGACCTATGAGTAAAACATATTTGCCTCTGATCTCTCAAGCGGTACAATTGGGCGCATTTGAGGACTGTTAGGGTTGAAATCGGAGGACTGAGAAATTTTGCCATGGTGGTAAAACATTTTGATGGGGTTAGAGTGGAACTCCGGCGTGTCTCGAGTGCTTTCTGTAAGGTTATTTTTCAGTTAAAAAAAGGTCCTAAGCTAAGCCCTTTTCTTTATTGAAGTCAGTTACTATGAGAAAAACCTTGAGTTCCATAAAGAAGAAGGAAAATGGTACAAAAACAAAATAGGGGAGTTGTGTTGGAGGTGGAGAGAAAGGAACAAAGTCTCAGTTGCCAACTGTCCCTTAGAGTGCGAGTTCCTTTTAGTTCTGTCTTACTTACCCTTTGTTTGCTGCTGCCTCTTAACCAGCTCTTTTTCCCCATCAGGGATCAAAGACTCTATAATGGAGGAAAAATCCTGAGCAGGTTCTGAATGGACAAGGAAAAATGTTCATGCATTCGTGAGTATTTTCATCATGCAGAGTATCTATAATTTTGTATATGAAGACTACGTTCGTACGAATTTGGTTATTTTTGAAACCGCATACTATTTTCCACGAATGGGCGCTCCGTTCACACGAAACCTGTCAATCCGGTCACCGAAACCGCATTGTTTTGAAACCGCCCTTCAGAGCGGTTTAGGCCCCGTCCACACGAATCCAGATAAATAAAATGAGGTTTCAAAACTGTGCTGATTTGTGTGGACATGGCCTAAATCCACTTTTGAGCCGGCATGTGAAACAAATGAAAGTTGCAATAGGGTGAAAACGACACTCGTATGATTATAGACCCGAATTGGACTCAGTCTTCACCCAGTCTTATTACCATCATTAAATTCACTTTTGAGCTCATAACTGAATTTTGCGATCAGGTGAAAAGACGGACCAAATTTAGCTTTTTTTTTTTTGACGTGTACTAGAGAATCACAACGGAAAGGTAAATCCAGACTGATTTCTTCCTGAGATTTAACTGACCAGTTGTCAGGGATTACACTGCTCATTTCCTATTTTAAAATTTCTCAACATGAATTTGTCGTTTGCTGTTTAACTTTTGCCGTAAACTTGATTCTAAATCTCTCTAAACTCGCAGGAGCTGATAAAGTTTCTGCGCGAAAGTTTTAAGCTTTTTAACTCTTAAACTTAACAATAGTAAACACTGCAAAGGCACATTTCTTAAATTTGATTTGCGACCAACTCTTTCACCTGAACTGCAAACGTAGACACAAGGGTGCATGTTCACAGCTGTTCACGCTCTGAAACGCTGTTCAGTTCGCCTCCGACTTGACGGCTGTTTATACTGTGCTTACTGCAGACATATTTTCCCATGACTGCAAATTAACTGATAAAATAACTAACTTGTCAATTAAAGAAGTTAGGTATTTTTTTCACGTATAGAGAGTTGTGGACAGTCTTTAAAAGCTAGTTCTCACAATTTTGTTGCGACGCATTTATCGCCGTGCGTTTCGCTTACTCGGTTGCACTGTTCAAGCAAGGAGCTTATGAGAGATATCTCTCGTATCCAACTCTTGCAGCAGTTAGATCAATTTATAATTTCAACTTACAATTACATTGATTGAATAAAAATTAAATTTATTGCCACAGCTTACCTGCCACAGACGAACCGTTCAACTCCGCTGAGATGTTGTTTAGAAGGGTAACAGATGGAAAAAATACGACCACCAACACGTTACGAATAAACATAAACTTCCCCGCTTTTTTCTTGTGCATTTTCAACGCCTCTACAATCAAAAAACGGCATTCCCCATCTACTAAGAGAAAAACACAGCGAAGGAGATCGATTGCTGCAAAGGGCAGGGACGTCTAGAAAATGAAACTTATCTAAATCCAAGATAAAATAATTCGCTATATTTAACAACAAGAACAGGTAAATGTCATTTGGGTGTAATTGAGGAGTACACTGAGTTGATAGTCTGACATTTAAATTTAAAAGAAAGGCATAGATGACTGAAATCAAACTTTCTGTTCCTGCTGGGCAAGAAGCAAAGCAACACTTTTTAAGCTATCTAGTTAATTGGTTTTAATCTCGCTAATGTACAAACAATTCTTATATGGTGTACAATTTACCTTGTCGGTTTAGCGGACTACAGGTGTCAACAATATCATCTTTTCCTATCCAATGAAAAACGGGTTTGATAGAAACAAGGAGGATAAACACACAAAAATGGTGACATAAAAGGAAAGATTTCACTCGTAATTTTAGCGAAAGATTTCGTCTTCCGTTGCGATGCTAAATTTCTTTGAACTGACATCACAAATTCTCTGACCCGAATAACTTTAGAGAATTAGGCAGGTCAGTGCTATGGTTGGTGTTTATGTCGTGAAACCAATCTGCGTGAAATTGCTGTTCACGGTCGTCTTGATAACTGATAGTCACTAGTGAGCCTTAATGCTTGGACGCCCTCACTTGGTTTGCGCATCTGTGTTGTGAATTAACCTTATTATTGCCTACAGCTCTCTCGGTCCCCCCCCAAAAACAAACTTCATAAAATCCCTACCTCTACAATACCGAAACCTCTGTCATGCGGACACTTGACTTGGACCCTTCGTTGTCTGTGTGAAATAGGTTCGCAATAGCTCTGAATAACTTTTTATGTAAAAAGCAATACTGAAATAAGGGCCGTTAAGAACCAGGCAGTTTGTTATTGATTCAATTACAATCAATGCTAAAATTTGGTATCAAGCAAATACCCAATCATTTTCTCTACTCAACCCTTTTTAAGAATTGAGTGCTTTAGGGGCATGTTCTTCGTTGCACCCAATTATTCGAAACTCGCTCTAGTGACAAACCAATCTCCTTTTCCCCACAAGATCCAAAATTAAGAATCTATTTTTCGTGGAAAAATCAGCTGTATTAACAACAACAGATACAATTACCATTTTCCTCAATAAAGTACTTTATGGATGCAGTAAACTACAGTCCCTACCCATTGATATACCCCTTGCCAGAAAAAGATAAGCCTTTCGAGCAGAAAATCCTCGCATACAATAGGGACTACCCAACCCTCGCCAAAGGTGTGTTAACTGGGGGAGCTAAGATTAACTGTTGTAGATATGTCAAAATTTTCATATTTTTAGCCTGATTATAACAGCAATTTTTATTGCCATAACAGCCTTTAAACTAAATTAAAATTTCAAGGCAGCCACCATGACAACAACGGAGCAAACTTTCCAGCAGAATCTAAAATTCGATTACCCGCGAAAGATTTGTCGAATTTCTAGGCTTGATTCTCAGTCCTGCCGCGATGTTCGGGAAGTAAGTTCACCGGCGCTCCTACCTGGTGCGGACCCGAGAGAGCGACTGAAATCGAGCCTATCGATTTATCAAAAATGTCCTTTCTACTACAGCGCATCAACTAAAACTGTTCTGTTGTAAGTACAGCTGCTAGGCTGGACCTATAAGGCATTTTATGCGAATCAAAATTACATTCCCTATCCCGCGCCTTACCAAGCACGGAGAACGTTGGGCGTCAGAAAACACACACAGCTTATACACATCTGGTCCGGGATATAGACCTTAGCATTGTTCACGGGTCGTGGAAAATGGCTGATTAAACAAAAACCAAATAGTCATTTGATTTCCTTCCAAGAGTTCACTTGACATCTAGCTATTATTGTTGCAGTAGTTTTTCTTGTAAGGGAATAGGTATTTGCTCATAACTTTGACAAACTCCCGGTGATAGGGAGTCCCAGCTATAAGCACCTACGGTTCAGGGCCACCTTAAATTGAACCTCTTTCCAATTTTTGACACCTGCACCCAGAATTATTACATTAACGAAACTGTCAATATAATAGGGAACTCAAGCAAAGACGTTTTTGAGCCACGCACGTCAACCGAAAGTGGACTTTTTTTCATTCTTGAGCGGTATTTTTGCCCAAATTTTTGGACAAATCGTCTGTATAATAAGAAAGAGACAAAGAAATACAAATTTGGTAGAGTCAATTTATTTTAAAGTGAAAACGATCGCACTTCCGGTCGACGTGTCTCTCAAACGCACTTGCTTAAGCTACCAAGTATCTTATACGAAGTTTTTTGAAAAATGCATTATATATTTCGCTGTAAAAATAACAATTTATTGAGCTGCGTAACGTTTTCCAAGACGACTTTCAAGTACACGCAGTGCTGAAAATGAACAACACTTTGATGACGTGGCCTCTCCAGTCATATAATGCAGTCATAGACTATACTAAAGTTACATCTTCTCCTTCCTTCGCCACCTCTTTGCGACCGCGAGAGCCCTGCACCTGAGGCTTTTTGCAACAATAAAGGTTGTAATCCTCGTCCAAAGCCTCTGCTTGCTCCACGGTCTGTGACATCTGTGCTGTTAAAGTTTCTGGTAACCAAAACGCCAAAATACCGGCAGCCAGGCCCACAACACCAAATATAAGTAATGGGAATGTTTTCCTCAAATTTGGAAGATCGGCCTGGAAAGGAAGAAAATAACTAAGAACACTAAACAAAAACACACTGTAAAACTATGGGTATCAGCTTAAGGCAAAGCAAAATATTAAAGAAGAGAGAATACTGAAAAAAAATTGTTACCAGAAGGACGACATATGGAGAAACTATTCCTCCAATCCGAGCAATCATTGAGCACAATCCTACACCGTTGTTCCTATCAAAATGTAAATAATAATGTTTTAAACAAGGAAAAAGCATTACTAACAACAAAATCATAACACAGAATGACCTAAGAGGATATTATACAACTATTCCCCAAAGGGGAGGTGAATAGTGGTGTAAATAACGAGACGCGAAGCGTCTAGGTACATATCTAGCAATATGAACCGACCCTGAGGGGGATAGTTGATTTAGTATTTACCAAATCGGTTGGATAACAATCAAAAAGGAACTTTCTGTAAATACAAGACGTCACTTAGTTAGAGTTTGCGTACGTTTCAATTGACAGTGTTTCGGGGATCATTTTTTATCATTTTGTTGCAAATTCAATAAGAAAATGTTTTCCCATCGACCAGTAAACACCGACAAGCCAAATTTTGTCTCTTTCTTGGTATTTGTTGGTGCAACTGCTTCATTTACCGCGGTCTTTCGAAACTATCGCGAAACGAGAAGCCGTTTTGAATCCCGTCCCAAAACAGTGAATATCCAAGGATATTCCGAGTTACGGGAGCCAATCAGAACGCGCAAAAATTGCTATCCACTGATTTGGTGAATACTAATTAACAATTATTCTTTGAAATCGAGGTGAATAGTGGCTAAATATTTACCGAGCCGCGAAAGCGGCGAGGTAAATATTCCCAAAGCCACTATTCACCGAGATTGAAAAGAATAATTGTTTTAGTATATACACACGAAGTGGTCTCAACAAAATCAGAGAGGAAACCATTAAAAAGTACGGTTTGATTGACAGATCAAATCACGCGTAAGTTTTAAAATAGATCTTTGCAGAATTTTCAAACATGGCAATTCACAAGTTTATCATTTCGCAAACAACAGCGTAATGGCTTAAATGGAACCGTTCCTTACCTGAGAAGAAAAGTAGAGCTTTGTTGTTTTCTGTTGACTCGCCAAGTTTATAGCCAAAAGGGTTTGTTGTGTCGTTCTTCGCATGAAGTGCTGACAAAAATGGCGGCTCCGTTGCTCGAGGTAAGACGTCTTCTTCCTGTATCATTCTTTTTCCTGTTTACTTGAAACGTAGAATTTCTGCAAACATTTCCTTTTAAATTTGTTTGTCATAAATAAACTTCGATTTTTAAGCCAAAATTTTCTTGTTAGAAAACCCTGGGTTCGCTAAACGGCTTCTTCTACGCGGATACACGGGAGTTGTAAACAATCCATTGAGCACAAAACTCAGCTACAGTAAATTGAAAAACGCCGTATTGAATCCTTCCAAGTCTTTTCTTGCCTTAAAAAAAGTCAGCCCTAGGATTTTGCCGACTTTTAAAAGATCGTTCTCTAAAAAAAGTGGGAAAAACACCGAGCTCACACATTATCCACTCGCTAGGAGGTGAATATTGTTGAATAGTCCGAGATAGCGAACCAATCAGATCGCTTAAATCACCAAGATCACTGAGTGTGTATATACTAATAAAAAATATCTGCAAGTACTATCAGTCGCTAATACAAACTAGTTTTGAACAACGTTCATTGGGAGGAAAAAGCCATCCTCGGAGACCCAGAGGCAGATAGTGGGGGCGAGAGAAAGTCTAAACGGGTGGAAAAATATGGTACGAAGAAAAGTAAAGAACGGCGAGAAGAGCCCTTGTGGACAATGTCTTACCAGACCAGTTCCAAACGGTCGCCGCCGTTCTGCCTTCTGATTGGGCAGAAAAACACAAAAGTTTTCTGGCACTAATCAGAAGCCAGAACGACAGCGACAGTTTGGAACTGGTCTGGTAAGACATTGTCCCCAGGGGCTCTTCTCGCCGTTCTTTACTTTTCTTCGTGCCATATTTTCCCGCCCGTTTAGACTTTCTCTCGTCCCCACTATCTGCCCCTGGGTCTCCGAGGATGGGAAAAAGCGAAAAAAAAAATCTAATTGCCTGAAAAATGGGAATTCGAATATACATTTAAAGCGAGATGCTAACATAACTAGTTGAGAATTCCGGCTGCGTTAGCATTTAGTCAGTTTAGTGTTACGTAAGGGTATTCTTAAGCTCCGAAAGCTCTTATGGAGGGATCTCCAAATTCGGAGGGGCAAACGTGTTCTTAACTACGGTTTACCACGGCGTAGGCTTCCTCGTCTTCTCTTAACCAACACTTGACTCTATTCCCGCCATCTGTCCCAAAAACCAGTGGTATTAACGTAAACTTCACCCCTACTCCTCTCTTATTCTCAATATCTCAAGCCAAATGTAACGTAATAATCGAGCCTCGCCCCATAAAATGTAATCCAAGGCGGTATTAGATTCTGGATTCCACACAGTGGATTCCGGAATCCAGAGCCCAGCGTTCCAGATTACACGAGCAAAATTTCCCCGATTCCGGAATTTCCGGGCAAAGATCTGATCAATATACCTTTCTGGGAAACTACCCACCTACCCCTCCCCTAAACCACCATTAAAACTTACTTCTCACTTATGGCAAAAATTTTGGCTTAGGGGAGGGGTAGGTGGGCAGTTTTCCAGAAACATATAATGATCCCAAAGATCAATGTCGCAAGTACCCTGCGTGGCTCAAAAGGCAAAGGAAAAGTGGGAAATAGAGTGTGCGAGGAATCGAATGGGGCGCGAAAAAGGGAACATTGACTTTCAAATGATCATTAGAAAGGGAACTAGCTTGTTAGACTGTGAGACTCCATACCTTATTACAGTCGGATAAAGCTCAGCCGTGTACACATAGACAGAGTTGAAGGTAGAAATTACGAAGAACTTTGCAACCATCACGAAAATGACAACGGCGACTTGGTATTCTGAAAATATAAACTCAAGATCATTCCAATGATCATGATGATTATAATAATGATAATGTTAACAATAATAATAATGATGATGATGATAACAATAATAATAATAATAATAATAATAATAAGTAATGGTAACAGGACTGAGTGGAGTCCAATTCGGTCTGTAATCATACGAGTAATTAACAAAATCGGACGACCGCGTAGCGGGAGTCCGATTTGTCTAATCACGAGTATGATATACAGACCGAATTGGACGACACGAAGTTCTGTTACCAATTAATAGTAACTTTAACAACATTTGTGATATAAATCAAAACACAAGAAATTCGAAATTTTGTTTTAGCAGTGAAAAAAAAAAAGCCATTTAAGCGCGCGCGTGATAGCGCGTACTGTCCTATTAACTGTCCAATTAAGGCTGAAATCAGGGCAGTTGATAGCCAATCAGATTTGACAGTTTTGTTATAGTTATGATTATAATAATAATAATGATGATGATGATGATAATGAATAAAAATCCCTACGGCGGCCAAGACAATTTACAATCCCTTCTACAGTGATAAAAGAATTTTTAAAACATTTATTCTACGGGAGATCAATGAAACGTACCCAAGCTAATGCTCAAAGCTGTGAAGAAAGCAAAGGCTCAAGTGAAAGACGAATGAATTAATGTAGTGACTAACTGTAGAAGTACCTTTAAGAGAGAGTCGACTGCAATCGGGCAACAATAACTATTATCATTAACTAATCAGACTATGTATCATCTCACCATCACTGCTCGGCATTGCCAAAGCCAAAAGACAGGCCACACCACAAAATGTCATGTAGGAGGAGTAAGTCAAACGGCGACCAAATCTGCCCAATACAAATTAGAATTACAACAAAATAACACACTCCACAACTTGATTTAAGGAGATGCGATGGATAGTGTAAGGAGAGGCAGACACCCATATAGTGTGCGCCACTGTAGAGTTCAAGATGGGCCTCTCGCACGGGTTTTCTGTCCCAGGGTCGTAGACATGCCAAAAAGTCTAAAACAATGTCAGGAAAAGTAGGTTTTTATTCTGATGGCTAGCCTTCTTAGACATATATTTTTCGTGAGGCACACAAACGAAACTTCAGTGTATGCTCTAAAACAAATTCGGGCCTGTGTCGCTTTTGCACCTTTTTCTGTCCATCTTGCTACCCCCTCAAAGTATTTGTGCCGCCGTGGACCTACCTGTAAAAAACAACAAACACCCCAAATTTGAATAGAAGCGAGAGGGGAAGGGTACACTGAGATTCTTTTGTCTTCCGAAGTACCCCATTTAAGGAAAGTGTCTCAACAATTTTGTCGCCGATTGTGGCTAAACTTAGCAGTTTCAATCGACCAACATCAACGTTCGGCAATACTTTAATGAACTGTAAAACGATAGCTTCGATTTTTAAACAACGTTTTTTTATTAGCCTTTCTCACATCTCAAATCATTGCAATGCACGGCTCATCTTAACACAAACGTCGGGTGATTTTCCTTTCAACTTATGGCTACTTTATTATTCCAACAGGCAATTTGGTGATAGCTGTTTCGCACCTTTGCAAGCAATAGCAAGATACAGCAACAGCTGGGAAGTCAACCACAAGCAGTATAAAGAAATTAAGGTACATATTCCCTGCCAGATTCCTAACATTGTAGTTCAGTCCATAGAAAATCAAGGCGTTGGCTATCCTGAAAGGGAAAAATAGCTAAATTAGTACACTTTTTTGCACAATACCGTCTGTTTCTGAGCTGAGGATAGGCCGGGACAGAACTTTTTTTACGCTGGGGGCGATTTGGACCTAAACGAGCGTTGGGTGGTTCTGTTTCTATTAGCTTACAACAAATGACTTCAAGAATGACCTTTTTGAGGTTAGTGGATACATTCAGATGGAAGTAAAAGTAGTAATAACTAAAATGTCCATGGACAAGTTCAAAAAAGCGCACAAAGTGAGGGCGAAAGGGAATCTCAATGAACGATGACCAGACAGTTGGCCTTTCCGCGTCAGATAAGTCGGATAAAGGATCTTATTTCCAAGAATTCGAAAGACTGGTCTGAAGAGTGTGAATCCAACCTGGAGTTCAATTAACCCATCGGTTCAAGCTGGCGGAAAATTGAATCAAAATAGCAGAAAGGGTCTTTAAAAATTCGGGAATATATTCAGCATTTTTCAAGTCCCACATCCTTAAGCTAAAAAAGTGAAAATAAAATAGTAATTAAGAAAGCAACCCGTTGCAGATAACCATAATTTAAGACTGCATGATTCTTAAAACGAATATCATAGAAGGAACGGCAAGAAATTTCTCAAACAAATTTCGATAGGCAATTGACAATAACAGCCCACGAAAAAGAACGTTTCGACCATTCGTTTTAATATAGCTGAGTGGAGTGCTTCATGTCTACTCAGAGTAGTCCCATCACTGTTAAATCGTCATCCTCTCTCTATGTCAATAGTCAGCTCAGTGGAAGTCGCCGAACCTTCTACCGGCCGGTTTGGTTTTCGACCGAGCGGAGGCTGCATTTGTGGTCTTTCATTTCCACAGCTTTGCGAAAAAAAAGTGATCTCACTATTGATCCCAATGGAAGTCGAACAGTGGAGTTGTTTGAAAATGAAAAGAGCGCGCAAAAATCGAACGGAAGTAATCTTATTCAAGCAATTATTAGGCCAGATTGTTTAATGAGCGAGGGAGTGTTTTTAATCGCCTTTTTGTCGACTAATATTTTTCGTTTAGAGGGGACACTTGAAGAAGCTTTAACTTCGAGGGAACTTGATCGATTGACTTAGAATTTGGGGTAATGTTACTTTAATGTGTAAGCAACAAAATCATGTCGGGGAATTTTTTATCTCGTAAACGTTTTTTGTTGACATGCATTTTTGTACGATCAGCCAACTTCTTTTTAACGTTATTTTCAGTTGGTAACTTTCAAAAATGGGAAAACCGCGACGCGCTTTTTTAGGGCTTTGACTACCTACTACAAATCAAATCAGTGACAAATAAAGAGTGCTTTGAGTTTCAGCTTTCGAAAGCTGATTCGGACGCTCGCATTAAAAAATCCTAAAAAAGATTGACAGTGCAATTTTTCAAAAAACTGTTGGATTATTAAGAAAGCCAGTAAAGCTTGCGCGTGAGACACCTCTGAAGGAATCCAGTAACCTGAAGGTTCAGCCGGGGCAGAGGAGTAAGGACCGAGTAAACTTTTAATTCTTACCAGTTGGGGAACATGATCAAGCTCCGCTTCCGTAACTTGGGTGTTCTCATGGTGTCAAGAATTCCGTACTTCTCGTCAACAGACTTTCTTGCGTCGTTCTTCCTAACCTCCTGTATGGCGTGTTTGAGGTGTTTAGAGTCCACAGTCACGTGATTGTACTTAGCGTATTTAAGTAACACCTCGTGCGCTTCTTCTAAGTGGTTGTTAGCAATAAGCCAACGGGGAGAGCGAGGAATCCACCTGAAAACAAGTAATTTCCGAATGCCAAAAGAAAGTCATTTTGTTTTATCGAGTTTTATACAAATTCCAATGGGAGGAAAATGGGTCATACAATTAAAGTAAGATGTAAGTAAGTGTGTAGTCTTCAGTATTTCGATTTATGTTGTAGTGGGTATCATATATTTTAAGACAAAGAAAGGGACTGTCCATAGAAGCAACAACAAGCAAATAACCGAGACAAAAATGGAAAAGAAACCATTTACGTTATAATCATGATAATGGAACAGAAAAGTTTCGGATTTGCTTCTTACCACGAGCAAGTTTTTTTTAAGTGCTTACCAAACTGCTTCCCTAATTTTTCGGTCAATCATGATTTTTGCTCGTCAGCTTAAATGTTCCTTCCCTGAGCTACCTTTGTGACATTTACTCGATGTTGCTATCATCCGCTCGTTCCTGCGAACAGACTCACACTGAAAATCGGTCCTGGTCTCAAAGTAACTTAAGAATGGCAAATGAAAGCCATTTTATGCTGCTAAGGTGGGCACGAAGTTCTCCCTTAGTGTTTGAACATGTGGCAAGCTAATCAAGTGCTGCCTAGATAAAAGAGAAATGTGGTTCAGCTATTCTTTACTAAAGGAGATGAATCACTCACCACCAAGCGACGAGTGGCAAAAAGCTTGGTAACGAGACAGCTAACATGAGGTGTCGCCAATTTGGGATCAAGTAAGCAAGTAAGGCAAGAACACATCCTCCAACGCTTAGAAATAGCATGTTTATCATTCCAATGAACGATCGATGGACAGTAACAACCATTTCCGCGCAGTAAACAAATCTGACCAATAAACAGCCGATGGTCCCAGCACCAGCGAAAAACCGCAAGAGTGAAAAAAGCGATAGGCAGTCCGCAACACCAGAAGCCACTGCAAAGGTCGCCTGTCGAGCAAGAACAGGGGGAGCCAAGCAAATATTATTCATGTAGCTGACAGTCCCCTCAGTTAACTTACTCCGCTATGACTGAAAGAAAGATTGATCTCCATGTTTACGGAAAACGACAGAAATGACCACGTCATCAATTTTACCGACATTTTTCACGTTTGCCGTTTTCGTCGTCAAGAGTTTGGTCCTCTCGTTCAAGAAAAACATAAGTAAAAGCTGACGTTTTTGTCGTTGTCTAAAGAATAGTTAACGTTTTTGAAGAAGTCGTTTTTTATGATGACGCCAAAGTCTTACTAACAAAAACGTTAAGTTCCACCAAGAAGGTGGAGCATAGCAAAGGTACATTAATGAAAACGTGCTGGTCAGTGTGTCACAGGATAATAAAATTATATCATTCGCGCAGTGTTCCATCTGAAAACTTTGCAAGATTATTCTGACCTTGTATTGCCATCACTCGCTTTATATGATATACAAGAAAGTTTATCCTCTTCTTCAAATTCACTATATCTGCTACACACAGACAGGCTACTTAGATGATGGTTTTCATAAGCTTTAATTCATCCCAGCATGTTTATAAAGCCCCAACCAAATAAGGCGGACCCCTACCCCTCCCCCCTCCTCCCCGTACAATAATCCACAAAACACGGACACTGTTACCCTTCAATGAATAAGTGAAATGTTCCTTTTACGTTCGATCTGTATTTAAACCCCTTTTTGATAATTACAGTCTTTTATAAAATGTATGGAACTTTACACTCCTCTGTCTTTGTGGTGGTAATAGTTTCTTATGAAAATTGATCTCGTACCTTTTGCTCATTTCCTCACGAGTTCGTCGAGAAACTTAGAACGATGGCGAGAGTGCTAAGCAGGCTAAGTATTACTATAAAGGAAAAAAAATGCTTACCAGAAATCCAATGCTCATGAAGAATGAGAGTTTCCTTCCGAAGTGATCAGAAATGCTGCTAAATGCAATGGCGCCAACCAGCAAGCCTGCCATATACACAGCTTGAGTCATTGCTTTGAGATGCCGCCGGTCACAGAGAAGATGCCACTGAAAAATAAGTCTTAATTTTTAATAGTAAGTTTCCCTTTTAAAGGTCACCTTTGAGTAAAAACATCGAAGTGTGGCCGTCTTAGTGCGGTTTAGTTCACTCGAGTTTGCGTGACAAGCCAAACATTGGAGACTTTGATCGAACATTCGTCACTTTCGAAGCTTTTTAAAAGGGGTCCACTATATCGTGTAATCACTGAACGCCTTTCCACTGCCGCACTAGGGATATTTCAACAAATTGGTGGAATAAATGCACATTATTTTGGTTGAACATACTGTTTATCAATGTGTCAGACTACGTTTGCGATGAACACTTATCAAATAAACAACGAATTTACTCATTATAATTTATATACCTCGGAGACAGTGCTAGTAAATGGACCTTGAAAATCGTACTTTTGGCAACTTGGGCAGCATTTTCCAGGATCGCAAGTCTCATTTTCAGGCGCGGAAACACATGAGAAACGCGGCGAGGCAGCGTAGAAGACCTGAATCAGAAGTTGTGCTCCGGTAGGAATGGAGATCAGACAGAGGAAGGCGTATAAGGCGACCTGATAACGGCCAAATCCTCCAGTGAGCCTTAAAAGGTCATCAAACTCGTAAATTTTGTTTTCTTTGTCTTTCTTGGTAGATTCTTGAAAATCGGCTGTTTCATTCATTTCAGTCATTTTGGCTTATTCTATGTGGTAAGCAAATTCAACTAAAAACCCAGTCCAGGGCCGCAATATATATCTGGTGTCATGTCACGACCTTTTTGCTTCATTGAAAATCATTGAATAATTACTTATTAGTTACTTAGCTCATCGTCACGGAAGCAAATCAGATGATTGTTTGCGTGTTTTGGATATTGTTCTATCACACAACACTCTCACCTCGCACTCATTGAATATATTCATTTATAGAAGAGTTGATCGAGCGCCTTCAAATAGAAACTTGGTGCTTGCAAGCGAATCAATCAAAGTGGGTCCTTTACATTTCTACCACATAGCCTGCAAGCAAACTCTCTGGGAAGCTTTAGCCCCTAGAGAACTTGCTTGTAGGCAAGGTATCACACCAAAGGACGAGAGGAAAGGAAAGCCCGGGGATACTCCCTATAGTTGCCTATACGGTGAGGCTACGTCCGAAGGGGTACATGTTTCCGTCAAAAATGGTATATAAAAGGGTAAGGGATTGGACCTCGGGGTGGAGCCTCCCCGTACAAGATTTCGTCGAGTACCCCTCCTGGGAAGGAAAGTGCTCCAATACATTTCGGCCAGTATTGCGACTATTCTAACTATTTCATGATCAGGTTCTGGCATTGTGCTTCAGACAAAATGATTTGACAAAAACTGAATAGTCGTCTGAGGTTTCTTCCAAGCGTTACTTTGACAACTAGCTATCTGTGTTGCACTAATTTTTCATGTGAGAGAAGTCCCAGCTTTAAAGCTAGTAAGGTTCAGGGCCAGCTTAAATTGAACCTCTTTCCCATTTTTGACATCTGCCCCCAGAATTATTACATTAGTAAAACTGTTAATAGTATTCTTGTAAATAATACTTAGTATAGTTTTCAAAGATGCATTATAATTATAGAACATGCAGTCAAACAAGACTTTATTGAGGTATGCGACGTTTTCAAAACGTCTTTCAAGTTTACGCAATGCGGAAAATAAAAAAAAAATTATGACGTAACCTTTCTAAGTATGTAATTATGTTTTTAGACTACACTAAAGTTGCATCTTCTCCTTCCTTTGCCACTTCTTTACGACCGCGTGGACCCTGGATCTGAGGCTTTTTACAACAGAAAGGTTGTAATCCTCGTCCCATGCCTCTGCTTGCTCCACGGTCTGTGGCATCTCTGCTGTTAAGGTTTCTGGTAACCAAAACGCCAAAATACCAGCAGCCAGGTCCACAACACCAAATATAAGTAACGGGAATGTTTTCCACAAATTTGGAAGGTCGGCCTGAAAAGGTATAAAATAACTAAATATCAAAATATCAAAGCGATCGCTATCAGGTTAAGGCAAAGTAAAATATTATAGAAGAGAGAATACTGAACAAAAAAATTACCAAAAGGACGACATATGGAGAAACTATTCCTCCAACCCGAGCAACCATTGAGCACAATCCTACACCGTTGTTCCTATCAAGACGTAAATAAAATAATGTTTTAAGCAATGAAGAAGCATTACTAACGACAAAGCCATAACACAGAACCACCTAAAGGATATTTAAATAATATCTCCAAGTGTTGTCAGTCGCAAATATAAACTAGTTTTCAAAAACGTTCATAGATGGAAAAAAGCGAAAAAAATTCAAATTACCTGAAAAATGGTAGACTGCGAGGAGTCCGTCTTTTCTCTTAAGATCTGTCGAGTTCTCAGACATGGTGCGTCCCCAGCGACTTTGAAGAAAATGGGAGACTGCTCGCAGTGTAGAAAAATGGGAATTCGAATATACATTTAAAGCGAGATGCTAACATAACTAGTTGGGAATTCCCCCTGCGTTAGCGTTTAATCAGTTTGGTGTTGCGTAGGGGTATTCTTAAGCTCCGAACGCTCATTTGGAGGGATCTCCAAATCTAGAGGGGCAAACGTGTTCTTAACTACGGGATTGCCACGGCGTAGGCTTCCTCATCTTCTCTTAAGAGTTTCTCAACACTTGGCGCTTATTCCCGCCATTTGTCCCCAAAACTGGTAGCGTTAACATAAACGTCACACCTGCTTCTCTCTTATTCGTAATATTTCAAGCCAAATGTAACGTAATAATCGAGCCTCGCCCCATATAATGTAATCCAAGGCAGTCTTGGACTCTGGATTCCAAAGCCCAGGATTCCAGATTACGCCAGCAAAATTTCCCGGATTCCGGAATGTGTGTTACCTTTCATGGGGCGACCAACCGGGTAAAGATCAATGTCGCAAGTACCGTGCGTGGCGCAAAAGGGAAGGGAAAAGTGGGAAATGGAGTGTGCGAGGACTCGAATGGGGCGCGAAAAAGGGAACATTGACTTTCAATTGATCATTAGAAGGGCAACTAGCTTGTTAGACTGTGAGACTCCATACCTTATTACAGTCGGATAAAGCTCAGCCGCATACACACTGACAGAGCTGAGGTGAAGGTAGAAATTACGAAAAACTTTGCAACCATCACGAAAATGACAACGGCGACTTGGTATTCTGAAAATTTAAACTCAAGATTATTTAACACTTGTTCAAGACTGAAGCGGAAGAGAAATGCGGCAGTTGGGTTTGTTGTAATGATCATGATGATAATAACAATGATAATGTTAAATAATAATGATAATAATAATAAATAAAGATCCCTTCGGTCCCCAAGACAATTTAAAAATCCTCCTTACAGTGACATGAGAATTTGTAAACATTCATTCTATATATAACAGATCAATGAAACGTACCCGTAGTGCAAGCTAATGCTCCAAACTGTGAAGAAAGCAAAGGCTTAAGTGAAAGACGAATGAATTAACATAGAGACTTACTCTAGGAGTACGTTTAAGATAACAGAGAGTTGACTGCAATCGGGGAACCGTAACTTCTATTGTCATTAACTAGTCAGACTAGGTATCATCCCACCATCACTACTCGGGATTGCCACAGCCGAAAGACAGGCCACACCGCAAAATGTCATGAAGGAGGAGTAAGTCAAACGGCGACCAAATCTGCTCAACACAAATTAAAATTACAACAAAATTAACACACCCCACGACTTCATATAGGAAGATGAGATGGATAATGTGAGGAAGAGGCAGACACCCAGATGGACCTCTTCAGAGTTCGAGAGGGGCCTCTCGCACTGGTTTCTTCTCTCAGGGTCGTAGAAAGGCGAAAAAGTCATTCAATATCGGGAAAAGTATTTCTCTATTCTAACATTTTTCGTGAGGCACACAAAAGAAACTTCAGTGTAAACTCTAAAATGGATTCGGGCCTGTGTCTCTTTTGCACCTTTCTCTGTCCATCTTGCTGTCGTCTGTTAGTTGCTACAACGCTTTACCTCTATAATATAGAAGCTATAATCGGCGACAAAATTTAATTTTAGACGCTTTTACTTAAAGAGCCTTTGCAACAATTTACCGCTTTTAAAAAGGATAAATGAAACTTTCCCTCCCCTACCCCCTGAAGGCGATGATATGCCGCTGTCCGAGCTACCTGTGAAAAACAACAAACACCCCAACTTTGAATAGAGGGGAGAGTGGCGGGGTACACTGAGATTGTTTTGTTCCCCGAAGTACCCTATTTAAGGAAAGTGTCTCAACAAGTTTGTCGCCGATTGTTGCTAAAAATAGTAGCTTCGATTTTCAAATAACGTTTCTCACATCTCCAAATCATCGTAATGCAAGGTTCATCTTCACACAAACGTCGGATGGTTTTCCTTTCAACTTATGGCTTCTCAATTTTTCGAACCGTCAGTTTTGTGGTAGTTATTTCTCACCCGTTGCAAGCAATAGCAAGATACAGCAATAGCTGGGACGTCAATAACAAGCAGTATAAAGAAATTAAGGTACATATTCCCAGCTAGGCTCCTGATATTGTAGTTCAGTCCATAGAAGATCAAGACGTTGGCTATCCTGAACGGGAAAAAATAGCTAAATTAGTACACTTTTTATGACTGGCAAGCCTTATGCGAGCCAACGCACTATTCTCTACAATAGCGGGAAAAAGTCAAACTTTGTCGGATGTAAGATCAGAAACATGCGCATTCGATTGGTTTTCTTATTATCCGGGATATTCACTCCTTTGCGATGACATCAAGTAAAACGTAAGTGGACGAGATCAAGAGATTTCGAGTAAATTTCCAGAAAGCAAGCAGATTATGAGCGAAGTGAGCGTTTAGTAATTGCTTTTTTTTATTTTCTAGACGTCTTTATTTGCTTGTGGAAGTATTCATCAAGGTCTCGATCCAGAGCGTTTTAGTGATGAATCTCGAGGAAGACGAGAGATTTATGTGAGTGTCTTATATGCTGCTCTATTTGCCGATTCGTGAATAAATGGAGGTACAAAGATATCGATCAAATCCTCCTTCATGGAGATAGTTTTTCTCTGTGCATTCAGCACAAATGATGTGTACGCAAAAATTCTTCTGTTGGGAGTAAACTGCTGACTTAAGCTTGCTGGTCTCGGTGTAAAAGAGAGGAGAGGTAAGCAAACCAGGTTTGCGTTTAAAGCGACTTCGGTACCACATACAATTAATCAAAGATAGCAGCAGCATCGAGTAAATGCCAAAGAGGTAGCTTAGAAACGGAACGTTAAACTGAAGGACAGTAATCATGATTGACCGACAAATTAGGGAAGTAGTTAGGTAAACGCTTTAAAAAACTCGTTTTTAGAAGCAAATCAGAACCTTATCTGCTTTAGTCTCATGCTACACGAATGATTTCGTTACCACCTATGATTCGGTTATTTGCTAGGGGTTTATCATTGCTTTTTTGGGCGGTTCGCCTTTCCATGTTAAAATATACAATACCCAACACAACAGAAAACGAAGTACAGAAAAATAAAGCCTATAAGACCATCTTACGTTTTATTTAAATTGTATGAGCCATTTTATACCCTTAGAATCAGTTTCAATCTCGTTAAAACAACACTTTTTTGGCATACTTTTAGCTTAGCAGGTTCTTAAAACCAGGTTCTTAGTCGCGGGTTTTTACTGTATTTAACCCACTTTTTGCTGCTTAAAGTCACCGGCTCTTCTGTCTATATAGTAGTCTTTCATATAACGATTGATTTATTATCTCTTAGCCTGCGTAGCGGGGCGTTTCCACGACGAGTTCTGAGTTCGAGAAACTTGGAACGAGAGCAAAAAAGAGGACGTGTTTCCTACGAAGTCTAATTATCACTGTATAAAGGGGAAAAAGAAGATGCGTAGTAGAAATCCAATGCTCATGAAGAATGAGATTTTTCTTCCAAAGTGATCAGAAAATTGTTGCATAAGTGTAATATGAGTGTTTTGTATTCGATTCAAGAAAGTGAAACCTATTTAAGGCAGACACTGATGCCAATGTCTGCAAATTAGAGGGTTTTTGTGTACAGAACATATAGGAAGATGAGTGTGCAGGGTGTCTTCACTAAGTGCAGCCTTCCCTTTACTATGCTGTAGTATGCTTCGTGCCACTGAACAGTGTCATCAAACAGAAAGTACACTTTCTCTATTATATGGAAGTTTCTGTTTCGTCTTCTGCTGTTGCGAACCCGCGAGTGGCCTGGATCAGAGGCTTTTTGCAGCAGTAGATGTTATAATCCTCTTCCCATGTCTCTGCTTGCTCGACGGTCTGTGGCATCTGAGACGTTAGAGTTTCTGGTAGCCAAAACGCCATTACACCAGCAGCTACCGCCATAACACCAAATATCAACAAGGGGAATGTTTTCATCAGATTTGGGAGATCGGACTATAAAATAAGGAAATTAAAATTTAGTGTTGTTACTTAATCTAGCGTGGGGGACTCTTACTGGTATCCGGTGGGGTGGGGTGGGGAAATTGTGGAAGTGGGTAAATAACGCAGCGCAGGAATAACGTCAGTGTGACTTATTTGCAATTTTTGTCTGACTTTTGTCATTTTGAATTTCATAGGCTAACATGTCATCTTTATGATACACGTCAATTAAAAGTGAGGAAGTCGCTTTTATGTCAATTTCACAAAGTTCATCCGAGTTTCCGATCTGTGAATAGTAACAGCGCGCAGTGCTATATGTAGCAATCATTTAAAACCGTTAACAGAAGTAAAAGAGGATAACTCTAACTTATTGGTTTAACCGAGGTAAGGGCCTGAACGAAGAGTAACGCCTTTACAAATTTGTATTGATTTTTTTATGTATGTACCACGGGAGGGATATCAAAGAGCGTTTAATCCCAGACAAATTAATCTTAGCTTCAATACATCAAAAAACTAGCATAAATTGTGAGTAATGTAAATATACAAACCAGTAAAACGATATAAGGTGCAACAATTCCGCCAATTCGGGCAACAGTTCCACAAGATCCCACTCCATTGTTTCTAAAAAAGTAATATGAATAATAATGATAGTGATAAATAAAAGAATACTACCAGGAGATATTTTAAGTCTCTAGCGTACTTCCTACTTGCTTTTCCTGACTGGATAGTACCGGTTCAATTTCGCCTTAATTTTCTTTGGGTTTAGAGGAGAGGGAAGGGGAGGTGGAGTTGTGTTTTTCACAGCTACACGTTCATTTTTCCAGTAAAACTTCGATTACAAATCAGCTACTAATTCCCTTCCACCTGCGATCCTCCGGAGGTAACACTAAGGCCATGATAAGTAACCCATTCATTTTGTAGTTTGGCGGGAAGGGATCTTATCTGCCACTAAATGTTTCTTCATGCTGTATCACATAGGTTTTCCGTGAAGTTTTGTCAATCATTTCCTGGGGCAAAATTATGTAGATGTAAAAATAATAGCTTTCATGATGACCCCTAAACGGTCCTATACCAGGCTAATCCAAAGCCCCTCTTCGACCCTCTTATGCCGGGGATTATATCGGAATAAAGAAGCCCGCTAGTATTGCTATACCTCCCCTTCCTCCACCCCTGGAAGGGATGCTAGCTTAGCGTAGGATACCTGGGTGTATTGGAGGTAATGCCAAGAAGCAATCTTTTTTTGTCTCAGGAAACTACGCGATGCCGGAAATGCTTGAACTCGAAGCCCGAATTTAGTAACACACTAAATCGCCAAGCCTTCCTCATTTACCTTATGACTGTTGGGTAAAGTTCTGCCGTGTACAAGTAGATCGCCAAGAAGCAAATGGAGATGCAAAATTTTGCAGACATCACAAGTACGACGAGCACCACTGGATAATCTACATAATGACAGTTAAGTAAATGACATTATGTGGTTATTACCACAGTGCACTAAAGAGGTCCTAAAAACATCACGAACTTTATGACTCAATTCCACGCGTGTCCATCCCCCAGGCATTTACCAGGTTGTGTGTTACACTTTCCAAAGGTCTGCCCCCCCTCCGGGGGGGGGCACTCAACAAAGTCTTATACGCACGTACACGAGAAGGCTTCGCCCCGAGGACCAACCGCTTAACCTTTTATACAGTGGCGGATCCAGGGGGAGGGTCAGGGGGTCCACACCTCCTCTATCAAACCTTACACTTGTTTGAGACTGAAATTCTTACATCGAAGGGATTGTATATCACTTTTTAACTGGTTGACCTTTTTAATGAAACTAGCATTGCATTTTGCCACTAAACTAAATTCCAGGATTGTTCAAAAATGTAATTGTTTTTGGGTGTCCTCCTATGATCTGTTCGCCTCTGCTCGCAAAGCAGGTGTTCTGAACTTAAAATGCACTGTGCTTTGATATAAGATACCATCAAAGGCTCACCTTTTACTGAAAGAGCCACAAGACAGGTCACTCCACAACACATCATGAACGTGCTGTAAGTTAGACGGCGACCAAACCTAATAGGCAAATCACTGTGGTGAGTCACCTTGACTAAAGGACTGTCCACACTTGGTCCCCGGGAACCAGTGCCTGGGTACAGTGCCCGAAATCTAGAGTGGGTACTTGAAAAATAAGTGTGTTCACATTACTACCCAGTGAGTACAGTCAACTCTCGCCTTGCGGACACCCCGATAACACGGGCAGTAGCTAAATCTCCGGCCAAAACAAATTACAGACGTTTGACTGAAATATTATGGACTTTCGCTAATAAGGACCACAACTCGAGAGCCCTACAGTGTCCGCAATAAAGGGAGTTGACTGTACCGTGTTCGGGCACCAAGTGTGAACGAGAGAGATTCAGTTTCTCGCTTTGCACATATTTCTGATCGTTAATGGTACTAGTCTTTTTTGAAGACTGCGTGAGCAATCCCAAAGGATTTCAAGTCTTGTAGGCTTTATAAGTCTGACATTAATGAACGGGTACATTAGTAGAAGCACGCACCTGTTATTGCAAAAAGTTAAATGTTAAACGTTGCGTACGTAATACTACAGCAGTAGTAGTAGTAGTTGTCGTTGTTGTTCTGGTTGCTTAGTGGCAGTGGCAGTTACAAACTGGTAGACACAACTAAATTGTTTATACTTTCATATCACAAATGATATCAAACGCACTATGATACCCACCTCTTTAGGCAATAACAGTTAAGTGGAGCGGAAGGGTAGCCAACCGCTGTCAAAATAAAAGCATTTAGGTAGAGATTCCCAGCTAGGTTATGGACATTGTAGTTGATACCGTAGAAAATAATCGCATTGACGTTCCTAGGAAAATATTTGCAGAACCAAAGTCAAGCTTCCTTCTTAAACTTTTTGTACGGGGTAATTAAGTGTAATAGCCATTTTTGTTTAATTACTCAAAGCCAACTTTTAAACTTAAAAGTGACTGATCTCGCGCTATGGGGTTAGAACATCACCCCTACTGAGGCATCATTCTCGCGATCGGTTCTTATGTAAGTTGAAAACGTGATAGTTTGGAACAGCGGGAAGCGAGAACGGCACCCTAATGAATGGGGTAAAGTCTCTGCACTCAGGACTGCAGATTGTAATAAACTACAGTAACTGTCCCAGAGATTTGCTCAGATGTTAAGAGTATCTCCTAAAAGAATAGACTGAACCAGCTTAACAAACAAGTCCTTTTTACAACACCGAATACCGCAATGAATGGAAGAATGACCAATCATTTTGTCCATTTTTATAACGTAAGAGCCTTGTTTCTCAGCACTTTTCCCAATACTATACCCATCCCCCTTACCCACCCAAAAATGGTTCAATACAAAACTATGAGCAACTGAACACCAGTAGAAAAGGGTCTGCGTCGAATCGAGGTCTTTTCGAAAGGTTATCTCTAAAATGCAAATAATCATGGTGAACCTTTCTTACATAAGAAAGCAAGACACCAAAGGGACAGTAAGCCCCCACATTGTAGAGGTGTTTTTATTATAGAGGTAGCAATTATACCAAGTTTGGTGTCTTTGGGACCAAAAGAACTGTAATGGGGGCGTCCGTATTATGAACGTGTCTGTATCCGGAGAGGTTTAACGGAAGTGCGGAGGGTTGACACTCGGTGACCTTCGAATGCGAATTCCCTGTTCAAGGCGAGAGCTACGCTCTTTCTCCTCAGCTCAGTTTTTTAGTACGCTAGCGGTACTTTTTCATAAGGGAAATGCACGATGCACAGTCCCCCGGACATGGGAATTTTGCATTCTTGGGCAGTGGTTTTGCCCAAATTCTCTGGCAGATCGTGACTGTAAGAGAAAAGACAATTGCCAAAACAGATTTGTTTGCTTCAAGGCATATTAAAAGGGGAAAGGCCTCACTTCCGGTTGACATACGTCCCTCAAAACCTCCTTCGCTTAAGCTCCCTATTATATGTTTTAACCCCTCCCCCACCCTAAAGTAAACTCTTACCAGTTAAAAAACAAGATCAGAGATCTTTTTCGTAGTCTGGGAGTCTTGAGGACATCAAAAAACCCATGCGTTTTATTGTCCGTCTCTTTCCTTGCGCCATTCTCCCAAACTACTCGAATCAAGTGTTTAAGATGAGTGGGGTCCACAGGCGGCTGAACTTTATTTCCTTCGGCATATTTCATGAGAACTTCATAAGCCTCGTCTAAATGGTTGCTTGCGATAAGCCAACGAGGCGATCTGGGAATCCACCTAGCGCGAGTATACCGTACGTGCATGAGTAGATAGCGACTTGGGGTTGATTTTAAAACCAATATTATTGTTTTAGCTTTAATTACCGAAGATGTATGGAACGGAGGTTTTGGTGGGAGAGCGGTGGTTGGCAGGGGGAAGGCCAGGGGTGGATCGGAGTTTGTGGTTTCGGCCGACACCGAAGATTCCCGCCGCACGTGAGGAAAAACGACTGACACCCAGGGTAAACTGGCATGACTAAAGTACTTTCTAAGAAAATTGTAACATTTTTTTCTATGTTCTCCTTGTTTCTTTTAGGCACTATAGGGTACTTTTGTCCAAAAATTGTCTTAATTCCGAGACTAAGTGGATGTTAAATCATCTTTTATAAAGCGGAGTGGCGAGTTCTCTCTTTCAACAGACAGGCCTCTTCGTTAAAACCACTTGTTATTTGGTGGAAACCATAACGAAATTTTTTTACTCAAAGCAACGCAATAGTGTTACTTACCGCCAGGCAAGAAGCGGCAAGAAGGCTGGTATTGTCGCCGCCAACATCAAATAGCGCCAGTTTGGAATCAAGAAAGCCATCAACGACAACAGCGAGCCTCCAATAACGCTGAACACCATGTTTATAATAACGACCAATGATCGATGAGTATTGGCGGTCATCTCAACACAGTAAACAAATTTGACCAACATACAGCCAATGGTACCAGCACCAGCGATGAAACGAAACAACAAGAATAGAGACAGGCAGTCAGCTACTCCCGATACTACACCAGCAACAGCCTAGAAAATGAGGCAATACGCCGGCAAAGGTTAAAAATTGTCAAACAACTTTGAGTTCTGCTATACGGAGTTCTTGAAAACGAAAATCTTATTTGGGAACAGACATTCAGTCTTTTAGAGCTATGGAAATTCCTAGGCATTACGTATGCCCTTGTTTGGTTATGAATAAGAGAAACCCCCGGGGTACTCCCTTATATAAGCTATATAGGTCTGTGCCGTCCCATCGGGTAGGGTTTTCGAAATGAGTAAGAAAGAGAAATATGCGAATTCGAAATGGTTTGAAAAATGTTTTGTTTGCGCCCTAATCTGAGTAATAGTGACAATTTCTGCCTAAAGGCCAGGTCTGAAAACTGGTAAGGATTTCAGAGGTCTGGTCTGAAAACGGGTGAGGAAAATGGCCTTTCTTGGTCTGAAAAAGGGTCAGGAATTGGGGAACCGGGCTGCACACCCCCACCAAGAATTCCCAGGAGTACCCCCACGGGAGAGAAACGTGGAAGTTCTGGGAGAGGAAAGCCGCCTAGCCCTTCAAACCCCGACCTTAACTCATTTCGCTACCCATGTTGTACAAGAGACTATTTTTCATGACCCTGTCTCTTTTTATTTCTCTCTCAGAAATACCTTTTTTATTATTATTTATTTCATTTTCTTATTTAACTAACATCGGGGAATTAAATTCTAGTCAGCGAGCCGCCAACGTTCAAAACTCGTTCACGGCTTCCGGTTCAGAAGTATACCCTGTTCAAGACCCTCATTAAACGCAACACCCCGAAAATCACACCTTGTTTGATTTGGCGGAACGTACCAAAATAAGAAAGCCCCCCTTGAAGCTGAGGGATAGATATTATACACTCACCATGACTCCAATGCTGGTAAAAAACGCAATCTTTCGCCCAAAATGATCCGATACAGCACCAAATACAGCAGACCCAACTAATATGCCCAACATATAAACCGCTCGACTCATGGCACGTAAATGGCGACGATCACATATCATATCCCACTAAAAAAGCAATTAGGAAACAGGCAAGTACCACTGGCTGGCTCCGTTAAAGGGCAAGTTGAAGAAAAGCCTGTGTTCTGATTAGCTACCCGGAGGGTAAAATCTTAGCAACGCGAGGTTGCTTGTTTCGTTCTTGCAAGGAAAAAATTATTCTTTAAGGCATTTTTAACAAAGTCATGGACTAAGCTTTTCCCAGACTCGCGCGTAGCTAGCATTTTTCGGCGAAAAAATGGTTGGTAATAACTGGGCTTGTCCACAAATACTATACGTGGACATCTAGGTTGAGTGGGGGGGGCGGGGAGGAAGTAATCGGGTTTCCGTGATATTTTTGGAAAGGCTTATGCAAAGTAAACTACGACACAACGATAGTCACGTACTCCTGGTCCCAGGGTTATCAAGAAGGGACCCGCTTTTAAAATGGGGTAGTGATTCAAGTTATATTTGAAATATTTGAAGTAAGACCAATCTGGACGTAGAGGACGCTGTAATTTAGTATGATTACAGAGATCAGTAAAGTTTCGTCTAGAACACAGTATTGTCTCTAAAATATCAATTACAGCTTTTTCTCGATCCTAGACGTTTCAGGTCATCTTTTGGTTACGATACTCACGAATATTCACATGTTTGTCGGAAATACAAAACACCAATTGAAGTTTTTACTTTGGGCCATGATCATGGACTTCATCCCAGGAAAAAGGTCGTTAATCATCACAAAAACACACAGGTAACGATGGTGAGCAAGGGGAAAACTAGCTACTCATAGTCAGTTGATGTCATCTAGAAATCGATATTCCTCGAGGAGAGAAATGGTTCTTACCTCAGACACGGCACTAGTGAAACTTCCTTTGAAATCGTATTCCACGCAACTCGAGCAGCATTTTCCCGCTGAACAAGTTCCATTTCCAGCGATGGTCTCACAGTTAAAAGGAGGAGAGATACCATAGAAAATTGGGATGCCGAGCTGAGCGCTAGTTGGAATCGACACCAAAAAGAGGAAGGCGTAAAGAGCCATTTGATAGCGACCAAATTTCCCGGTGAGCCTTAGAAGATCGTCAATCTCGTAGTTCTTGTCTTCAGTAATGATTTTGTCGTTGTTTTCGATCCCCTCTTTAAGGGGTGGCGACAGTTTTTGGTTATTCATCATCTACTCAGTGCTTCACGTTTCCAAACTGCCTTGCGTGAATAATTAATTTAGAAGTATATTGACCTGTCCGACTTGATCACGTTACCACCGTTAATTCACCTTCTGAGCGTTAGATTTCACGTGTAGTTTCACGTGACTTTTGATGACCTTTGTTGCAAACAAACCCGCAAAGTTCGGACATCTGTTTTTTAACGAAGACTAGTGAGCAGCACAAAGGAAGACTTCTTGTAGTTGTAAGCTTTTTCGTTTATTTCCGACGCGTTTCGTCTCTTACTGAGACTTCTTCAGGGAATGAATACAACTAGCAAAGAACAGCATATATAACACGTTGTGTGCGTAAGCAAAACTTCCGGTGGAAGTGAATAATAACTTAACTATGCTGTAAACGGACGTTGCAAGGAACGCCTTAAGAGCGACTTTCTGTAAATACCACGGATAGGTGTGCAAGATGGAAAAATCGAAATCCCCCAAACTTTGTCCCAACAAAGCCCTTTGGAAACTATTTTAGAAAATACAAGACTCAGTTCGTTTGACTTAATATTTTCCAAAATAATAATTTTTTTTAATTTTCACCTTCGAGAGGCCTTCAAACCACCGAAAAATGTGCTTGATACCCTCGATTCGTGAATGGAAACGGAAACTAATACCATAACTTTTCTTACATTAAACAATTTTATGATCCTTCCTTTCTACCTAAACGTTGTTACAATTTCAAAAGATTTCAATCTGATTTTTTAATATTTTTTCAAAATTACCCTCTAAATCAGCATTATCGCGACCATCAATTTTGCCATTTTTCAACGGCGAAAATCCCTTCCTGGTACATGGCTTTCATTAGAAAAATGGTATTCCAGAGAAAGAGCAATGTTTCCCCTATCAATCTGTGAAATAAAATTCTGGGGCAATTGAAACTGCGAGTTTTTACAACGGAAAACATTTACGGTACTCGCGTGATTTACGACCTCTGAACTTGCAGTTGTCGTGATGAATACAAGCGAGAACCTAGACAGCACTTGAAACCCTGACGCAAATTAGCCCCTTTTCCGCCAGTTTAAACACCAAAAACGATTTTAGATTTCACAGTGGTGAATTTTCAAAAGGAAAAGCAATTTTATTGTGCGAAAGTGTGCTATGAACTTCTTGACTACAAACACTTCCCTTACGTGCGTATTTGTTTACTTTTGCCGTACACATATGTACAAAACGGCTTTAGTGTCGGTAGCTATTCTTTCAAATGCTCTCATTTCTCATGAACCAAATCGTTATAGCTATAAAAAAGGAAAACGTTTTGACCTACCTCACATTATTTGACAACAGAACCGAATCCTTTACTGCCTTTAACGAAATGAGATTGCGTGACAAAGGACTTTGAGACCCAGGTTGAAGACAGATACCATTCCGAAAAAGACACTCACGCAGTGCCTTCAGTAACTATAAAAGCAAAACATGTAAATAATCAAAATCCTTAGTTTCACTGACTTATCCGCTAGAGCGATTATGAAAACGTAAGACTGAAAAAACATATTTTCCACAACAGACTATGAAGTGGTTGGCCCTTACATTCTCTTACTTTCCATAAACGCCTGCTTACACATTTTGAAATACGATTATGAATTCCTTACTTGTATCCTTAGAAAAATGACATTTAGGGGGAAAATAGTGCTAATTCCTAGTCTTAAATGCCGTCCGTCCCTTCCCTCCACCCCGTAAGGGGCGGCATCCCGTTTCGGGGTGGGGCGAAGAAACGCAGAACATTTCAAACTGGACATAGCGGGGCTAGAAAACCTGCATAATTTTATAGCACCTTTGGTGTTAAAAGCAAAGCTTTCAGTAGTTCTGGCAACCTCGAGCAAGTTTTGCATTTCTGAGCAACGTTTGGGAAAAATATAGGCTTATGTCAAGCCAGAAAAAAAGTGAGCAGTTTGATAGAAAATGTCAAGTACGACTGAACCGCGCCCGTATAAGCGCCCCTAATGATTCTGGCAGGGGAGGGGGAAATTTTGAAATGGAGCGAAGGGGACCCAGGTCTAACCATACCGTCTGCGCTTTAGCTGTGAGTCTGCCTTGAGATAAATTTCGCTCATATTTTTGAGCAACTCTTTAAAGAAGATTGCAAGCCGTATAGTTGCGTCCGTCTGGAACGCTGGAGCGGTGGAACCAATGATCACGCCCCTCGCACCTTGAAAAAAAACTGCGTTTTTTGAGAAAAAAAGGAAACGAAAATAAAAGAGAAGGAAAGGCCTTTCGCACTAACTAAAAGCTATTGTTTTTTGCATTGCTATTGAAAATCTGAAAAGGAACAGTCTTACACACGTAGCCCTCGGGGCGGTACCAGGTGAATATATCACATACCCCATCGTTCCAGGTATATAACCTTTACGTAAGCGTAGGATGTAAGACACACTTGTGGATACGCGTAAGCATAACGTGAGATACCCAGGCGCAAAAAAATAACAGAGGCGCGGCTAATGTTGGCTCCCCTCAAAAATGAAGCGAATTAACGTGGGCTTGAAATGTGAGATATTCGGATATCTTCGGGATAATTGATAGCGAGTTATTTCCAGTCCACGGACTTTCTCCTAAATTTTTCGAAAGTATTTGTTCTCTTAGAAAACCCAGAATTTCGAGATTTCTTGATAGTTTTATACATACGCTAATTATGAGATTCCTTTTCTTCTTTCCTAACGATAAGTTAAATAGGTCAAGAAAAAACAGCTTTCAGTAAGTTAAAATAAGTTTTTTGAGGGCGCGATCTTTGGTTTCACCGCTGAGCGTTCCTGACGGGCCCAAATATAAGGGCTTGCAATCTCCTTTGAAGAGTTGCTCGACACTGTGGGTAAAATTTATTGCCAAGGGAAACGGACAACTAAAAAGCAGGCGGTGTGCTTAGAGCTAGGTCCTCTTTGCTCAATTTCAGAGTTTCCCCTCCCCACCCAGCCTCCCCCTCCCGCACGAGTCATTAGGGGCGCTTTTACGGGCGTTGTTCAGTCGTACTTGACATTTTCTATCAAACTGCTCACTTTTTCTGGCTTGACATGTGCCATAACCTATATTTTGGCAAAACGTTCCTCAGAAATGCAAAACTTGTTCGAGTTTGCCAGAACTACAGAAAATTTAAACACAAGAGGTGCTATAAGGTTATGCAGGTTTTTTAGCCCCGCCATGTCTAGTCTGAAATGCCCCTTAGGGGGTGGAGGGAAGGGACGGATGACATTTTAGACTACGACTTAGCACTTTTTCCTAAGAATACAAGTAAGGAATTCATAAGCGTATTTTAAAACGAGCGTGATGAAAACAAAAGACTACGGTGGAACCTCGATTTAACGAAGGGCCAAGGGCCTAAAAAAATTTCTGAGCCACCCAACGACGGTTTCCTTCTAAATTCATTGAAAACATTTTTCAATGGTGCACCCAGAGTACTTTTAGATCTCTAGAAATGCATTCTAAGCGGCTTGTAAAATTTGTTCCTGTTCGGTCATCCTAGGGAAACTTGCATTGAGCATTTTTGAAATTACAAGGGCTTCAGTATTATTTTCCCCAAAATTTTGGATGCAATTTAACGTATCACGAAAGTGAGAATTTTTCTGATTCCTCTCTCAATCACATGTTTGAATCCGACCATTTTAGGCTTCCTCTTTTCTATGAAAAATTAGCCCAACCTGGGATGTAAAATTTGAAAAATTAAACTTCAGAAAATCGTAGGGAATTTATAAGATAACCTTCGAAAATTGAACAGGAACGGAACGGTCGTCTAGAAATTTTTAGGCGTCCTCAAGCTATAGAAAATTCAAGGCAATATCTACTTCTCCCATGATATATTTTACAGAAAAGAGTCGTTGAGTGCCCCTGAAATTTGCTCGCTAAAACGAGGTTTCGTTATATCCAGGTTTTTTTTTCATACCGTAAATCCTCTATTAAGCTCCCCCGGGGCTCATTATTTCAAGCTCATTTGAGGGGAGGGGCTTAATAGAGACGGGGGCTTAATATGTTTAATTTAGAAACTAAGATGGTATCGCTTCTCCATAAAGCCTACAAAGTGGAAAAGCTCAAGTACAGGAAGTTTTAGGTAATGCAGTCGAAAATCATTATCAAATCCGAACTTCACGTTGGTAAATAAACCATCCCGGATCAGTCCACACGAAGCCTTTACCGTCGTGATTGATTAATACAGTCTTTCATTTATTAGTGAAGAATAATTACGGGTGGGAAGCGGGTGCTTGATAGAAGGGGGGCTAATCAGAGGGAGGGGGCTTATTTGACAGGGGGCTTTAATATAGGTTTTATGGCATATTTTACTATTATCGAGGTAAAGAAAATCATTCGTAGGTTCTTTATTCCACTGTATAAGGGCCCACCCCTATATAGTCTTTTGACGAAAAAATATTTTTTTAGTGTCACGTTTGCAGGGTCGCTCTGGCAGATACGTCAACGAAACTATGGATTTTGATTTTTACATGTTTCGCTTTCATAGCTACAGAAGGTGCCGCGTGAGTTTCTTTTTCGGAATGGTATCTGTCTGCGCGGTATAACCTGGGTCTCAAAGTTCTTTGTCACGCGATCTCGTTTCGATAAAGGCAGTAAAGGATTCGGGTCTGTTGTCAAATAATGTGAGGTAGGTCAAAATGTTTTCCTTTTTTTATAGCTATAACGATTTGGTTCATGAGAAATGAGAGCATTTGAAAGAATAGCTACCGACACTATTAGCCATTTTGTACATATGTGTACGGCAAAAGTAAACAAATACGCACGTAAGGGAAGTGTTTGTAGTCAAGAAGGTCATAGCACACTTTCGCACAATAAAATTGCTTTTCCTTTTGAAAATTCACCACTGTGAAATCTAAAATCGTTTTTGGTGTTTAAACTGGCGGAAAAGGGGCTAATTTGCGTCAGGGTTTCAAGTGCTGTCTAGGTTCTCGCTTGTATTCATCACGACAACTGCAAGTTCAGAGGTCGTAAATCACGCGAGTACCGTAAATGTTTTCCGTTGTAAAAACTCGCAGTTTCAATTGCCCCAGAATTTTATTTCACAGATTGATAGGGGAAACATTGCTCTTTCTCTGGAATACCATTTTTCTAATGAAAGCCATGTACCAGGAAGGGATTTTCGCCGTTGAAAAATGGCAAAATTGATGGTCGCGATAATGCTGATTTAGAGGGTAATTTTGAAAAAATATTAAAAAATCAGATTGAAATCTTTTGAAATTGTAACAACGTTTAGGTAGAAAGGAAGGATCATAAAATTGTTTAATGTAAGAAAAGTTATGGTATTAGTTTCCGTTTCCATTCACGAATCGAGGGTATCAAGCACATTTTTCGGTGGTTTGAAGGCCTCTCGAAGGTGAAAATTAAAAAAAATTATTATTTTGGAAAATATTAAGTCAAACGAACTGAGTCTTGTATTTTCTAAAATAGTTTCCAAAGGGCTTTGTTGGGACAAAGTTTGGGGGATTTCGATTTTTCCATCTGGCACACCTATCCGTGGTATTTACAGAAAGTCGCTCTTAATACATAAGTTATTGCGTGTTGCTATATTTGTTTGGGGGCCATACGATTAGCGCTAATCGTATGGCCCCCAAACAAATATAGCAACACGCAATAACTTATGTATTAAGGCGTTCCTTGCAACGTCCGTTTACAGCATAGTTAAGTTATTATTCACTTCCACCGGAAGTTTTGCTTACGCACACAACGTGTTATACTCCAGTTGATACGAAGCCGTCGGAACGGGTCTTCTGATTGGTCAACAACTTCACTTCCGTTGCAGCGGTTGCAAATTTTTCATTGGTCAATAAAGAATAGTGCTTTTGAAGTCGATTTTGATTGGTCAATAAAGAATAGTTCTTTGGCACATATTTGAAAGTTCATTAAATGAGTCGCGTAGGAGATTTGTGGAGAAAATTTACCTAAAATTTAGTCAGTTTTGATAATTCGCTGTTCCTTTAATTATCAGTTGGAGCAACCGGGGGCAGGGCTCTTGCCCGAATTGCGCGACGGTGTATTTTAACCGCTCGAAACCAGTAGAATGCAGCAATTGCGGCTACCATTTGGGAGGTTCAGCCGCGGCCAAGATGCCAAAATTGTCTTGCCCGGTGGCAGTCCACATTCATGGTGGACTGTACTCTTTGCGAACAAGCACCAGGGACGATAGATGTTTCGTTTACAAAGAATGCGACAACTGGATTTGCCTACACTCAAAATGCAAGGACATCCGTGCCATGTATGTATCAAGCAACCGGACAGATGAATTTTCTTGCCAGCACCTAAAGCACGTGGCAGAGAGCGTGGAAGCCAGTGGCATTTTTCCTCTCACCGAAGACAAAATATCTTCTTAAAGAAAGAAATAAGCGTTGACAGGCCAAACACGACTCATAAGCTCGTGATAATGTGAAACGTGACCTTGAGAGTCTGCTTGAACAGTGGTTCTCTTTCTTTTTTCTCTCGCGCGAAGGTTACTAGCACTACACAGTGCAAGAGGTGTAGCATTCTAAACTTTGACTGAGTAAATCTTGTTTTTGCCGCACTAAATCTTATATTTAGAGGTCATGAAGCAGGTTTGTTACATGCATACTGAGTAATCATTTCCTGTGGTTTATGCTTCGGTAGGTGTCCCTGATAGGATCTGATTTCAGATGCAGTTGTAAAGTGTTTTATATCCTTTGACCTCTGTTTATTAAGGCTGAATAAAGATTTTAGTTTTTTTGGTTTTCTCCGAGATGGCTGTATCTGAATAACTACATGCATGCATGCAAGTTTCTTTGTCCGTGAATGTGATTATTTCCTGACATGTCAGTATGACTCTGGGCCCAGCTCTATAGTGTGGTTTGCAGGATTTTGAATTTCCACGGATAGTGCGATCTTCAGATATGAGTTGTACACTGTAGCTTAAAAACTAAAGCTACACCAAGTTTGGAGAAATATGCCGTGCGGAGAAAAAAAAAACAGACCCCCGAGCGTCTCACCCAATCGGCACTCATGTGATTCGTCCGTGACTGAAAAATACTACTCCCGATTTTACATACTCAAAAGGTTGGACTTTCAGTTTGTACCGTCTAACCTCACTTATTGGGATACAGTAAGGGACAGAGCATAGTACGTATTAGAAAGGTGTCCGTATAAGAGAGGGTACTACGATAAGGTTGCTTTTATGACAGACTGCAAACCAGTCCGTATTTTTGCGTATTCAAGTACGGGCGAGCAGTTTGAGAAAAAAACCGACTGTTTTGCAGTCTACTTTTATGATGCCACTTGCTAAAACCAGGTTCACACTGGTCTTTCAACTGCATTTAATTTTATTAATTCAAAGTACAAAGACACTGTCTTTCCCCCGTGGGGGACTCTCTATAATGACCTATACGGGGAGGGATTTCACTCGTTGAAGTATACGAAAGCGTAGGAAAATCCGAGGGAAATCTGAGGGTTAGTAGTGAACTGAAATTTGGCCAAAAAAAAAAAGAATAGTCAACTGATAATTAGCCAAAAAATTAGTAGTTAACTGAGAAATGAAAAGTTAACAGTTAAGTAACATTCTATTAATTATACTGAATACGATCGTTGATGTTAATGAAAGCAACAAAGTTTTGCAAACAGAAATGCTATTTTCTGACTTTTTTCTCTCCCTCTGGTGACCCGGTGGCACATCAACTGAACATATTACATTATGTGCAAAAGGCACCGGGGCAGTACCCGGCAAACAAATAGCGTCCGTCATAGCGCATGGTTGTAGACAACTCCACGAATAATTCTTTAGGATAAGGAAATACTGTTGTTACGGATCCAAAAGGACGTCAAGTTAAACATTACTAACAAAGAAAAAGCTGTGACTCTTAGCATTGGTTCTGGCTAAAAGGAATTTCTGAAGTTTCAAAGAAATCAGCATCTTTCATTTAAGTACATGGAAAAACGGTTTTTACCGACCTAATACATGTAAATCAAGAGACTATGTAAATGTCAATGAATTTTTACTTACGAGATATCACTTTTGTAACTGATGTTTCAGTTCCAACTATTCAGACTTTTAAGCTCATGCTTAAACCGGTCTTTCCGAAACAGTTTCATTTCTTAAAACCTTTGGATATCTTTATAAAGCTTTTGAAATAGGCGAAAAAAGGGTACGTCTGCGAAAAAGGTAACATTGAGGATGTAGAAAAAGTGTGTATCGAGGTACAAAAAACTTCTAAGAACGTAGGTGGAAAACCTACCCGCGGTTTCTCACTTCAGTCTGAACAAAACATGTAGTGCTTTGAAGTACGCCCAAGACTTTGGAAAAAGAGTAAAGGAATCGCTTAACAGAACTACAAATTCGAAGTGGGCTACACTCACGAAAAGTCGAATTGCCCCATGTCAATGAAATTAGTCGTTAACTGAGAATTTGCCCAATAAATAGTAGTTAACTGATATTTGGTCGAAAATTTAGTAGTTAACTAAGAATTGGGTACCCCCATTAGCACCTTCAAATGTGTGTCTGTGAAAGAGCCCAAAGAGCGGCTAACAGATGAATGTTCAGGCTTTATATGATAAAGTTCAGAAAACGTTCTATTTTTGTGAATGATTCCTATTTTAAAATGACAGTGCATTTACAGTATTTAAAAGGGATGCAAAGTTGTAAACTGCAAGGTATGTGAAAAGGGGTACCATTTGTCAATACAAGGTATATGAAAGGGCTACCCTTTTCGTACAAAATTGGACCTGGTCTTTCGCTATTTTGAAAGTACAGAAAACATTTACTAGAGTACAAAATGTAATAGAAAAGATCTTTATGCTATCTGCAGTCGATTCAAGCCTTATAAAAATGTTCCTCTGTACACCTAGCATAGCACATCAACAAGACGGGATACCCCCTTTTGCATGCCGATTAACGTGATCGGGATTCGAGATTCACCTGATCACCGTAGTGTCCGTAATAAAGATAGGTTAAGTCTATATGAATGTAGTCACTGAGGCCGAGATTTAGTGTCCGTTTTATTATTGAGAAAGTCCGTATTATAGAGGTAATTTTTTAAAGACAATTTATAAGAATTGTGTCGGGACATTAGAAACAATCCGTAACCGAGAGGCGTCGGTACCGAGCGGTTCGACCACGTTTTTTTGGCAAATGTAGTGGATTTACCGTTTGCTTTATCTACAACTTGGCCCTAGAAATGGCAAGAACTTCGCGTGGTTCGGATAACCACGTAAAATGGCGGTCCCGTCTCCTAATATTAAACGCAATGATAACGGAGAAAATCTAGCACCCCAACGATTTCCCCCCCAGAAAATCACATCCATCGTTTAGCTTTAAAACTTTGCCGCAAAAATGTCGAAAGATTCACTTTTCTTCTCGTGCCTTCCGATCGAAAAACCATCCAAAAGGTCCGGAGCTTGCTTGTACGGAATCTAACCCACGCCCTCTGCGATACTGGTACATTGGTGCAGCGCTCTACCAATTGAGCTAATGACTGGCCAATTAAGAGCTGGTATAGCAAAACCAACATTTTAAAATTACCGGAACGGATCACAGCACAACACACAATTTTTTTTTTCAAAAATACAAGGACCATTTTGTTTGGACCTCTCCCGGCGAGCAACCCTTAACAATTGTCATTTGAATACACTTTTTTTTAAAGAAAACGTCCAATTTTGGAACTGAGGCTGCACGTTCTTATTTTTCGCAATTTGAGGTTTGAAAACGTTATTAAAATGTTCTTAATTTACATGGCATATGGAAACTACATTGTTAATATTGAAAAAATAAAATGTCCCCAATTGTTTTGGTCAATTCATCTGTTAGACTACAGTTTGCCTTTATTTATACTACTCATTCAAAAAACAGACTGGAAAATAGCAAATAAGGGAAATTAAGACGTTCGTGACTGACTCTCAGCCTGGGTAGGTTCTCAGCTCATTTTCTTAAATTGAGTTTAATCTCAGCCTCAATACCCCAGGAGAGAATCATTACGATATTTCTCTTAAATATAATGTACTTAAACAATAAAATACTCTCTAACAATTCCTACGAAATCAACAGAAGATCCACCTCACGCGCACTTCGAAATGTCCAAAAAATGGTACGTGGACAGACTACGAAGAATCCCACCGAAAAGGTCTAAAACCGAAACACTGGAAATTGTGTGAATGTTGTGAGATTGACCCGACGTGATTTAAAAAATAAAATTACTAACAAAAAGAAGTTAAGGCGCTTCGACTTTCTTGACAGCACTCCCGACTTGAGTGCTGTAAGAATATCACTGTTGTTAACCGAATATCATAAAATAATGTAATAGGATGAGTAAAAGTAAACTCAAAAAGAGGTTTTCAGTGAAAGACAGAGGATCCAATGAAACACTAGGCAGGATATTAAGCGCATTTCTGGATGTATCCGACGCGTACATTTGATTTCGGGATGAGGTAAACGCTTTTCAAACCGGCAATTAAAGTAGTGTCCAGGTCAGCGCTGTCCCATAGCTAACTGTGTCCGTTTAAGTCTCAACATTCCAAAAAAGCAAGAATACATAAAACTAGCAAATTAAAGCGAGCACGTTTTTCGATTTTATGCTTAGGGACTGACTGGGAGGTCGTCGGAAAATTATAGTAAAAGGCCTAAAGGATACTTTTCTGGGCGTGGCTCAGGCATTATTTGAACTCTATAATAAAACCTTAACCAGACTGATTTGACAGCGTTTCGATTTTTACAGAAATATGTCCTTTCGCACGGCTCTAAATTGTACCTATTGCCGCGAGCTTAAGTATAACCAAACTTTGGGTCATAATATATAACCGGCATTCACCATCCATGTAAATAATCTTTATTCCTATATACGGAAATTACTATATATACTATATACTGATATTAATATATACTGAAACAGTGGATAGCTCGCATATGCCACGGGAAAGCAATAGTTTTGGCCTCCGAGCAAACGCGCGCGGAAATTGCACTCCTTGTAAGGAATGAATGTGTTAATATCATAATTTTAGTGCTCTATTATCTCATTGCTTTAGTATACACTAAAAAAACTATTCACCTCACTGTCGTTAGCTAGTGGTAGGCATTTAAGTATCCAAAATAAATCTTTTGCGTGAAAATTATGGAATTACCTTTTTTCGAGCGGAAGATAACTAACATAAATTCTAATCTATCATGATTTAAGACAATATGTCCTTTTTTTTTTTGAAATCGTGTAACACAATGAGTTAAGCAGTTTAAAGACAACTTCGAATGTATACGCTGTATTCGACATAACCTGAGTCGTTTTTTTGTCGCTAGTGCTGAATGGACAAAGTACATACACGGAGTGTGGTAGATCTCTTAACTTCTCGTGACAAAGGTCTAAACATTGAATATGACACATATTATTGAGATGCCCGAAATTCTTATGACGACTATTTAACAGTAATACCAGGGGCGGATCCAGGGGGAGGGTGCAGGGGGTGCGCCCCCTGGGATGACCTGCTGCCGCTTTCTAATTAACACTGTGCAGTCGCTTGACAGACATACAAAATCTGCTCTATCGTTTGATATGTATTCTCAGCAGTTCACATTATGTTATTTCCCAGTCAAAAGCCCTCTTCTTCGTATTCGCTTTTAAAATTTTTTACGTCATCAGTCAGTTAGTGGTGCACCCCCTCCTAAGAAAAATCCTGGATCCGCCCCTGAATACGTTTCTTGAAATGGTATATCTGATGCACGATAATGGTTACAGTGTAAAAAGTTTAGAATAAATGCCTAACAAGCCTCCCCCAAAGTCTCCAATCTTTTTTACGAGCCATCATGAGCCACCTTCTTCCATCAACATGCTGAGGTTGTGTCTTGTAAGCGTAAGCATAGGCGTAAGACGTGAAATGCTTTGTTGCTGTGAAAATTTCAAGGGCTCTAGTATGATTTTCCGAAACTTTTAGGTGCAATTTAACGTCGTACGAAAGTAAGAATTTTTCTGAATCCGCTCTCCATCACATCCGAAGACTTTAGGTTCCCCTTTTTTCTAAGAAAAATAGTGTAACCTGGGTAGTATGAAAATATGAAAAAATTCAACTTCCGAAAATCGGGGGAATTTATTACATAAGCTTCGAAAATTGGACTTGATTTAATCGTTCATCTGGCAAATTTTAGCCGTCCTCAAGCAAAACAAAAATCCTTGGCAGTAAAAGAAGAAGAAGATGCTTTTATTGAGCGAGGGTAACTTCTACAGTTACAAAAACTGATATCCTTAGCGGCCCTAGATAAAAAAGAATTATAAAAATATGTTAAAAAATAATTAAAACTAGTCCTAAACTAAGCAAATAGAAAAATATCCCATAGAAAAGGATAAAAATTATTACAAACTATTAATAAAAACTACAAATTACGGTTAAAAACTTCACATACATAATAATAAAAAACTTTTTTTCGTACAATATTTGCGTCTCCAAACAAATATTGTACAGAAAATTTTCTGTCCGGCTATTTTTTAGCCTCCCGCGCAGACGTCCTTAGCAAGCTGTTTTAACCTCATTAAAGTCCACTTATGTTGATGAAATTGTATAACGGCCA